AAATGTTTATTCTTTCTTGCATATAGATATTTTTTTCTATTTAGATTCACCAGGAAGTATTATTTCATAATAAAGATACTGTATGTATTCGGATATCTTCACAGTCGGTTTCTTCCTTAACAGCCAAATCTCACTACCGCAAGTGGTGGTGACATATCGTTATGATCTTCAACTTTTTGTGGATAGTAGTTGGTGTTTGGCATTTGATGCTTGGTGGTTATTGTTCGATGTCTGTAACAAATGACAGGTGGTGACATTTTGCATGTTAATGCCTTGTTTTAATTATACTGAATTCTTGCAAAAGTGCAATATCATAAGGCTGTTTAGATAAGTTAGCTGTGTTTCCAGATTTAGGTTAATACTATGGGAGTTGTCTTACCTGTTGAAAGCATAGGTAACATGTGGGGCAACCCAAGCCAGGTGGATCAAATGAAAGTTAACGGCCAGAATCAACTTGTGTTTCCGGACTATCACCGCAAATAGGCAATCACTCAAAATAGTGCCAATCTAATGGTTATTTCTGCATGCATCTTTGAATCGTGGTTCTTATAAGAGGATATATGCAGTGATAGTTTGATGAGGGATGTATTCGATCCCCCTAAAAAATGTGAGTTCAGAAAGGAATGATATTAGATAAAAGTTTGTTTTGGATCATCATATATGATGAATCTAAAATGTATCGTGATATATTAGTATAGTCCATTCCCAAGCTAGTATGATAACTGTTATTATAGTGAATGAAATTCTTTAGTGAATGATCCTCTACAATCATGAATGATATTCTGAAGTAAATGATCCTCTACAATGAATGATATTTTGTAATTAATTGATATATTTTATAATTTTATGATATTCTATAATGTAACAAAGTTAAATCTTTTAAGGCAGAAGATCTGAGGAAATAAACAAACATCTAGGTGTCTAGATAAGTAGATTCCTTGAATTTTTCCTGGTCAGCTCTTAGTCCAAGGCTGTTTTTTATGTATTTCCTGGCCAGTTGTTATCTAACTCACTAGGCAATCAAGTGGCTGCTCTAGTTCCTTGAACTCTACCTAAATGATAAATCTGTTTCTTGTCCATGATCCAAGGTTTCAACAGAAATCAACCCTCTGGACCTTAAATGTAAAACCTGTTCGCTTTACTTACATGTTAATTCATCATGGTAAGGTTGACTCCTAAATTGCATGTAGCTCTGTATTGATTTAAAAAAACAATATTAGATAGAAATCTGAAATATTGAATTCTGTAAGTTGTGGTTAAGACTGGAGTTGACAAGATAATGAAAAAATTGAGAGAAAAATTGTCAACAAATATGTGACTTTGGATGACTGTTAATATAGAAAGTTCCTTGAATCCACCTCAAAACATTTTTTAAAGGTTTAATTTAAAACAAAATCTTATCTATTTCAGATCATATTGTTGCTATATTTTAAATGAACAGCTTCGTTTCTCTTCATTTATTTAATATTATAGCCTGTTACACTTTCTTAATATTTATATTTTTTCTGGAACACCTAATGAGATGTTATGTTGCTCTCTAAAGCAGCTGAAAATAGATTCAAGCAAGTCACATTTATGGACACTTGAGCTTACAAAATTGTTCTTGCGGCAATAATGTGACTTCACGACTACTTATTACACCATTAGTATATTCAGAATATGTAAAAATTGCGTGGATGAATGAAACATTCTGTACTCAGTGGTGGAAAGGTATCTTCAGTCCCTACTCTTTCATAGCTTTCTTAGAGGTCTAACAGATCTGGACTCTCATTTGGGGTCTATTAAATAAGCAGCCTCAAAGAAAGGAAAGTATAAATAAATGTGAATCCAAAATATACAGATGCTCATTCATTGTCTTAAATATATTAATGTAAAGACTAAAATCAATAACTAGGTTAACTATATGTGACACCCACGATTCCCAAAGCTCTCAAAAGCAAAATGGCTTCTCCCATTTGGAGACAACAAAAACATGATAGGCTTCACCTACACATTATAAGCAAATGTCATGTTTCTATCAAAGAATTAATTAGTTTAACGCTTGTTTGGTGCAAATTTGCTGAGTGGGGGAAAAGGGGAGCTGTTAAAAACATTACAGGGGTTGGAGAATAATATGGAGTGTTAATATATGCATTTATAGTTGTTGCTATAAAGATTTGTTTATCTCTCATATATATTTTATCCGCTTGATAACAATGCAATGAAGTAATCAGACATTCTGAATTCTAACAAAGGCTATTTGGCATTCAGAATACTTAGAATTAATCTTTCCTATAGCTACTTTATTCTGAACTGATTCCCATAATGATTTCCAATTCTCACGTGTCTTGGAGATTAAAGCTCTGTTATTTAGGTCTACACAGAGCATGCATCATTGAATACATAAACCACACCAGATTTAGCCATTCAATCAGAACGACCTGACCGATCTCTCTCTCTATACAGAATAATGGTAATGGCCCTAACAGACCTGGCCCTGTAGAGTTTAAGTCCATTGCACCATTTATAAAGTACAAGCGTGCTTTGGTTCATTAAACGGATTCAAATGCCAGATGTGCAGGAATTAATCAGTTTGACTTTAGATATGATTTTGTTAACTTCGAGGATCTCTGGACTTATTTCATGGATAAGTTTTTTATAAATAATACATGATGGGTATATATAATCTGAAATAATTATACACGATATCAGTTAAATGATTTAAAATGATATAGAAAACAATTATAGTTTAGTTAGTGTTTTGTACTTTAGACATGTAGTTTACCATAGTTCTGACTAATCTAATCATGTTATTAAACTATATGTCAATAAAATAAAAGTATACGTAATTGCATTTTTATCATTGAAATGTATTCACATCGTATATTGAAGCCATATGCATTGAAGCCATGTATTTCCAAGCTGTAATATGTATTCAAGTCATATCCTTTTAAAATACAAATGTAGTTAACACTAGATCCCTTCTTAAACAAAAACTAAACTAAAAAGGTGATTAGCATGTAAGTCAGTAAAGGCACTGGTCTGGTTGCTTTGATGTGGTAGGCATAGACTACATAGACAAGATGGAAAAGAAAGATATTGTATATTTGGGTGGATCTGTAGTGCTAGATCTAGGTGATCTTGGTTGAATATTTGGGTAGATGTGTTTTCTGTTTTGGTAAGGGGTCTTCAGTCTTCACCTGTGTATTTAGTCTACAGGGTGGTTTATTATAACCCTTCACAAAAGCTTAATTAGGTCTTCACTTATAAACTTAGATATTCCCTGATTAAGCCCAAGGGACCAATATGCAAAAGATCGATGTTGGATAATTATCTGTTGATTGAATCGATTAAAGAGATTTAGATCATAATATTTTCTAAAGAAATAAATATATCCTAATAAAAAAAATTCTTATAAAAATGTAAACAACTTTTGAAATCATTAAAATTTTATGGTAGTGTGCCCAGCTAATTGGGATTCTGTAAAGTTTTACAATTAAAAACTGAATCAGTCCGGCGCATATCCACGAGGAAATATGGACAATATTTTGGCCAAATAAATGATTTATGAGGCAGTAAAGTTGAGACATTTCTTGAGGTTGTAGGAAAAGCTGTAGAATAAGCTATTTATATGAAATGGCTGACACTCAAGACATGTAATGTGAATTAAGGCTATGTGTATATATTGGTGGTTATCAGAATGCCATAACAACAAAATATGTAGCTAAGTAACTAGGTAGCAACAGGAAAACATCTCTGTATTGGGTAGCAACAGTAATTAAAAAAAGTATATTCAGATAAGTGAAAATGAAATTAAAATTTTAAATTTTTGTCATTTAAAGTTGATAAAATTTCTCACAGCAGGATTTGAAAAACATGTAGTTACATCACAGCTGGTGAATTTGATTGATTTAGAAATATGTAAGTCTTATTTGCTTGTATTAAGCCTTTAATAACCTTCAAATGAACCTAGAACAGTCCAGTTGTTGCCCCAGATTTACATCAAGATCAACCCAGATATCACACGCCATTCTATATCAGTTTATAAACAAACGGTTTGAGGTTTGCGCTCTGAAAAATTTGTATATGTTTCGGGTGAAATCACTTAGATATGAAGTTGTCTTGGTAAATTCTTTAGAGATATTTGTGTCAGTTGAGAGTACTTCGTTGGATTGTGAAATGTTTAACATTTGACATATTCCATGGCTATTCTGTGGCAAAGCTATATCTTCTATTATAGCTTGCAAGTCTTTGTGATGGTTTGTTTGTAAGTTATATAAACCGACAAATATCATATCCGTGAGACTTAGAGGGTTTATATATCAGTGAATACTCTAGATGTATTGCAAAGAATTGAATTGTATAACAATGCCAAATGCTTTTTCTATTTATTTATTTATTTATTTATTTTTTTTAAATAAAAAAAAGAAAACAAAAAAAAACAAAAAAGAAACAATGCCAAATGTCGCATGGAGCATTTCAATTTTACATGACAAGAAGCATATATTTTCACACGTGGACATATCGTATAAGTTGCATTCAAGATATTGTGCCAAGTCTTTATTCTTCTTCCCAAGATCTTGTCAAATAGGAGACATTCCAGCGTTCTGTTATATATGCATTGTGTTATGTTGCAGGAAGTGTTGGCACTCTCTGTAGGGCAGCACAGCATCTTAATTGAAAGGAGGCTATTATATTGATATAGTTGGCTCTGTTCTTTTTAGGGAGACACGATTTAAAACCACAAGATGCCAGCTTGAAGACCGATGAAATAGTCTTTATTATGTCACCACCAGGAGTGGTGGCATATTGTTATAGTCTCTAACTTGTTTGTTTGTGGATGGTGTTCAGCAGTTGGTGGTTTGGTGGTCAGCATCTGTAACAAATGGCAGGTGGTGACATTTTGCAAGTGTATGTTCCATTGCCTTACAAATGTTGATTGTTTGGATATGTCTTGATAATATTCCATTGCATTAAATTTGTTGATTGTATGCTAAAGTCATGTTGTTTGTATGTTGCAGGCTCAGCTCCATGCCCCTTCATCCATACGCGAGAAAACTGGCAGTTTACCAGGTGAGTAACCCTGATTTCTTCACATTGTTATCAATCACCTCATCTGCTATATCAGCCAAGATCATGTCTGTGCCATGAAAAGACATGTACATGTATGCAGCATATACAGTAATACCCTGATTTCTCCACATTGTTATCAGTCACCTGATCTGCTATATCAGCCAAGATCATGTCATTGCCATGAAAAGACATGTTCATATGTGCAGCATACGTCCACAGTATAACCTGTCAAAGTGAATAATATTGTCATTGGGTCAAAATGTTCATATCAGAAAATGTTCACTTCAAATAATGAAGAAAGTATTGAATTTTTACTTTAGAGAGGTGATTGCATACATACATTTTGCTGTATTGTATTTTAGGATAAGGACGTGTATTGTTTTCAATCTATTACAATTGATGGATTTTGATATTTAAGATTTAGATTTTCAAAAATACATTAAAGCAAGCTATGTTGTATGTACCATATACCAAAGTGAGACCAGTTTTGTACAATTTTTTTTTTAAATCATTTTGTACAATGATTGACCATCCATGAGTGATAATACCCTGCATGTTATAACCAATTGTTTTTGTTTTCAGTTGGGAAGAGTTTGCGTTCTTCCGAGTCCTTCAAAGAGAAGCGCTCTAAGTCTGACCCTCAGTCAAATAAGGTGAGAATACGATGAAACAACAACATTTTTTACTAACCTTCATTGAGTATATTCATAATCTGGTAATCATTAAATGAAGAGTTGATACATCCCAAAGACTTGTTTGTAATGTTTACCTGAAATGTTTTGAAGAAACAAGATCTTGAATATTTAGTTGAACCATTTGCCAGGAGATGGCGCTTGGATGATGCATCCATCAGTAAGATATGATAAAAATATTTTTGATGCAATAAAAGATTTCAAGAACTAAGAAAAGATATATAAAACATTTATGTGGCATATGTCTTTGTTTTAGATCACATCTCTCTCTACCAGTGCTTTGCCCCGCAATGTTTCGCCACCGAGGTAAGTCTTGAAATATATATTTCTAATAATGACTAATCCATATTATTTGTACTGACGAGTATTACTTTAACAAGTAAACAACTTTTGCTTTGTCATCTTCATGTGTTCTTCAAAAATAAATTTTAATTTGATGACTAATTTCGATAATTTAGAAAATCACATAAAAATTTCATATTATTTTTGTTGTTTTATCTAAAAAGTGATAATTTACAGCGATTTGTTCCCATTTGAATATAACAATAATAAAAGTCAAAAGTCGATAACTTCTCCCCGTTAATAGCGATAATTTACAGCATAATTGGAACCAATTTGAATTGATAATAGCAAAGTAATAATGCATCTTTCAAATAAACTTTTAGATTGATCAAAATAACTAATACATAAGAAGTTAATTTTCATGATGGACAAAAACAAATATGTTTTGATCATTTTTTGAAGTACTTGAAAATTTCTGGTGAAATCTGCTTGTTTAATCAAAAACAGAACATACAAACACATTCATCTATACTTTAACAATAAACTTTGAATTTGTTCTAATAGGGCATGTTGAAATACAAAATTGGCAGGAATTTTTGGAATGTCTATTTTGGTATTTAAGGCCTGACGTAACTTAATTTTCTGAATTAGTCATGGAGATTATTCAATGCTAATAGAGTTAGGAATAGCTTATGGAGTTGTTTTTAACCCAGGGATTAATTCAGGGATTTCAAAATCAGATCAATTCATTTTTTTAGTTCTGAGCGAAAGCAATTATAATTACAATCATCAAAACTTTCAATTCATCAAGCATTAACAGAAAGTCCTTATGCAACACATATCTAAAAAGACCAAAATGGTTTAACATTTGAGAAATTCATAAACTATAAACTTGAAATGTCATTTAGCAAAGACATTGGTCTTACTCATGCACTAGACTATTAGTGAGATGTCCCTGGTAGACCATTAGAATTTAGATAAGATTGCACATGTCATTATGTACAATACATGTATATCTATAATGTTAAATCAAATCTCACTTGTGTGTCTACACTGCTATATAATATCTTCACACACAAATATGTATGTTAACATTATCAATTATCAAATGGTTATATATTTTTTTATTTATGGATTATTATGTAGCAACTGTATCCATAACTGCAGTCGAGGTTACAAAATGGTGTAACTCATTACTGTAACAATAGTTATGGTTATTGTTGCTACATAATAATGGTTTTGATTTTTTTGTTCTAATAATTGACAAAAGTGTTTAACTAATCAGCATGCATGTCACTACAGTCATTAACTGCATGCTTTCATTAACAGCCACACTAATGGATTTTCAAAGTGGCGTCTGGCCGCTACCAAATTAGGAATTAAGTAAGTCTATGATGATTGCTCTTAGCCAATCACATTCAAGTTACTAATGATGTCACTTTAACCATCTTTGAAGACAAGAGGATTCAAAATGAACGAAGTTTGCCTTCAAAGAATGTGAAGTTGCATGCTTTATATTGGAAAATGGGATTTTTGTGTTATAAACTTTTTTCAACTAGATATTGCCTTTACATGTAGTCTTAACTCTTGTAGATATCTAGTAAGCTCTTCTGTAGTTGTTGTCATGTCAATGTTCATTCAGAATATCAGTGATTTTATGCTGAAAACCATGTTTTGGTCCAATTTTTGTAGTGCTCAATAGATCTCCTTTTATTTCAAATTTCTAATGCACTCTGTACCCCTGCACTTTTATTATTTAGTATTTTGATCACATTAGTATTTTGCTCATTTTGACACTTGTACCATCTCCTTTTATTTATTCAAATAGGTTTTTTGCATGCTAGTTCAGTCAATTGCTACTACTAAGCCAATGAAATTTCCTTAAAATAGTCACATGATTTGTGATCTATACTATAAAAATCATGATCTTGAATAAATAGATTCACTACTGCACAAGTATGACACCCACTCTGTCCATCCATTCTCATTCTCCATCCATCCATTTTGATTGTCGTTCTTAAATAGCGTAGGGAGCACTGATTGTTGTTTAGTGTTGTGATAATATACTGTAGAATGATGATTTTGTAAATTCTTCTTTGGTTGAAGTGATAGTAAGGATCAGGACTTACAAGTACCTCTCTTTAAAAAAGATGGTTTTTAGAAATTTGTTTTTTATTTTTTATTACGATTATGCCTCTCCTTGTCTCACTTCAGCTAAAGTTGAATGTAATTTACTGTACAGTACTAATTACAGTACTAATTCAAATATACTGTACTAGCTTTTTGTCATGTATGAGTCTCATGTAGATTATAGAAGTGCTTTTAGCTAGATTAGTCTGACGTATATGTTCTGCACAACTTTGAACTATATTGTCATATTAATTCAAAGAAGATATAAAGACATAAAAACAATGAAATTGGGAAGAAGTGAATTTTATATAATACAGGACCTTGTTCTTTGGTACCTTGTATTGAGACATCTATTAATCCAGGTATACCATCCCTCAAGTTATCAACCTGCCATCACACTTATGGCCTTGTCAAGTATGTTATTCAAGGTTATGAAAAACATAAAATACTGAAAAACATCTCTCTGGTGATATATATTATCACCCTAGAGCATCACCTTGGCATTTTGAAGGGTATTACCCCAGAAAGATAAAAAGCATTTACCCTGGATGAATAAACCCTGGATAAATAAAAATATTACCCTGGATATAAAAATCTTACCCTGGATGAATAGCAATATCACCCAGAGGAATAAAAACTTATTAATTTTAAAATCAAATATTTTTTGTTCATGTTTGTATTATTTTATATTTTTCAGTAAGATTATTAATGAGGAAACGGAGACTCTACCAACTCATCATGAAGGAAGGTAAGTGTGCTTTTTCTGTGATATCTTGGGCAAGTGTGCTCCTTATCTCATTATGTGATATCCTCTCTATGTGAGCTCCCTTACAAATGTGCTTTGTACCATTGTTTATGATCTCCCAGCTAGTGTGCTCTGTATCTGAGCTCCCTTCCAAGTGTGCTTCATAGTTATCCAGACAAGTGTGCTCTGTATCAGCAGTCGGCATCTGTAACAAATGGCAGGTGGTGTCATTTTGCATGCGAATACCCTGTTATCATTATGCTAATTTTTTTGCCCATTTTATTATATGAAATGTAGGTATAGTATTAGGTGTTAATAACATCTGAAAAGTTTATAACAAAAATATAAAATTATATATTGGAATTGTTTTTCTCTCCAGTATTAGTAGCCTCATGTCTGGCTCCGTTGAGTCTATACCAGACGAAGCTGCAATTCAGTCACGACTTGGTTATATCAACGACCCGGAGCTCCTGAATACCCAGAAGGAGGCTGAGGCATGGAGTGTAACTGTCGACAAAAAGACACTGAAGAAGATGAATTCAAAAGAAGTTAAACGACAAGATCATATATGGGGTATGTCACATATTAGTTAGAGACCCATGCCTCTCTATCGTTTCAAAAAATGTACCCAACGTGTCGGTCTCTGTTAATTTATGGCATCCATACTTTTCTGAAAGGTAACATATTGAGGTTCAATTTTCTGCCGGATGCCCTTGCAAACTCTCATTGGTTGCTCTGTATTGTAGCATTCCGTTACCATGGTTACGCATCTATAGACATCTTACCTTGGAATCTTAAATCATTTGTAGCTTTGTCATTATTTTGTCTATAGATATGATATTGGTATCAAATTAAACCTAAATAAATTTCCCATATAATTACAATATTCCATTATGCAAATTAGCTCATTTGCATAAATTGTGACGTCATAAATCTATTTTTCGTTCAGAATTTTTAAGTATAGCAATGTATCTTTAAGAACTTAAGCCGTACGGTAGAATTTCTTCAATGTTATGACTTTTATTCTATGAGCAGAAAGTTTAAGCAACATAAAAGTGAAAACAGATTCAAAATTGGATCAGAACTAACAAAGTTATTAAGCTTTCTGGGCAGCTACCATGAACGTTATCATTGAACAATTAACTTTAAACACCTTACCTTAGAATTGAAATGTTTGGTAGCTTTGTCATTATTTGGTCTATAGAGGAGATCTTGGTATTGAATTGATCCTAATTGAATAAACGGTATGGTAACAATATTCAATTATGCAAATTAGCTAATTTGCATAAATTATGATGTCATCAATCTATTTTGGGTTCAGAACTTCCAAGTATAGCAACAAATTTATTAGATCCGAGGTTGGATGGTGTAGTTTCTGCATAGTTTGTCATTTATTCTATGAGTGGAAGAGGTATGAGCAACAAAAAAAAATATTCAAAATTGAATGAGTATTAGTAAAGTAATTCAGCTTTTGAGGCAGCTGCTATGAACGTTACTATTTGACAATCGTAAATAAAACACTGAAATAACAAAAATGAAACAAAGTTGATTCAAGCTTATTGAGTGAAAAATATATATTTTACATGTCACTGAATTAGTTGGTGTATAGAAATGATATGGGTATTCATAATTTTGACTGTCATTGACAGGGGTCAAAACAATATTTTTTTTGATTTTGTAACATGATTTATTGTTTGTGAGAAAGTCATGGATTAATCAGTTAGTGAATGGGTAAATGGTATGGTGAAATCTGTTGTAATCTATAAATCTTTGAAATGATTTGCTTCATAGGCATCAATCTATTTAAAAATGCGAAACATCGTGACTGGTCAAACATCAATATTTGTGCTGCAATTCAAGCAGTGACCATCTACATGAATTTTAAACTGATTTGCTTCATAGGCGTCAATCTATTTAAAAGGACGAAAACCTAACCGATTTTACCATACTATATGCTTTTTGAAGAAAGAAACCTTATTTGTTGAATTTTCTAGCAGAAATCGACTCACTTCACTCATTTTGTCAGATTACTGGCAGTGACATTAAAGAGACAATTTTTATTATCTAGAGTGTCTCAAAAAATGAACCAAAGGTATATCAACAGCAAAGATAAATCAATCAATATTTTCAGATAATTTTGCATGGTCATTTAGGAAAAGCATGTAAGTTTTCTCTCCAATACTAATTTTTTAGTTCAGTCTACCCTGCGTGCAGAGTTTAGTTAAACTACACTCTGCCTAGTAGAGACCATATTACAGTTAAGTAGCCCCGCCCCCACGACGGGTACTGGTGACAGTTTCGGTATATCACTTTTGACCTACGCGCTAATCAGCGAGCTTGAAGAAACATACGCCAAATGCGTTCTAATTAAATATGCGCATGTCATTGGTCAATTCCGGGCTCAACGATGACGTCAGAAGGAATGACCATATAAAGAACGTCGGTCAAATTTGGCCGACGAACACTGATTGGCGCGGTGAGTTCACAGATTTATTTTAGTTTGAAAGAGTGAAGACGAAGCTCTCTTTTAAGAAGTGAAGTCAAACGAATGCAAAGGGTAAGTTCAGTCTTGCCTTTTTGATGCTTTAACCCTTTTTATACCATGTGTTTAATTTAACCTCCTTACATTTCGATAAAACCCTGCATCCTTACTGCTACATTGTTTATCATATATGACAATGTTTCTGGTGGAATGTTTTGAATTTTCTTTCACATGTTGACCTCAAATTGTTCTATGTCTCTTGGCTTTGGGATAAACATAAACATGGTTCTTGAAGTCATTCGAGAGAAAATGTTTGGGGTGTCAAATCTGTTGAATAGGGAGGCCTTCACACTGTCTTTATATAGAAAGAAGAAACTGCTTTCATGGGAATGTTTGTTTGGCCCTTGCTGTACATGGAGGGGCTCAAACTGTCTGGAACCACAGTGTTCTCATTTAGATATCATTCAGTCTATGTAACTCTGGCAGATGGAACTCCATTATCAATTAACCGCTAAATCATTTGACGATAATTGAGCTGGTTCTCTTTGATTGTTATGCCATCTTCAACCTTGGAACTTTTTTCTCTGGGGCTATTTGAAGGAGCATGTTAAGCTAATCCCAAGCCAAAAGACCTAGAACAACATAAAGCCAACACCCAAAGAGAAATTAAAAACGTTCCACCTAAAATATTATCAAATGTGATGAACAATGTAGCACAAGGATACAGGCTGTCATCGAAATATGAAGTAAAAAAAGTAAAGGGTTAAATCATCAAAATGCAAGACTGAACTGAAAACTTTGTATTGGGAAGGAAAGTTACATGCTTTAGCAACATGACCATGCAAAAATATCTGAAAATATTGATTGGTTTAACTGTGGTGTTAATATACTTTTGGGTACATTTTTGAGACACCTTGTACTATTTATCATACCAAGCTATTATAGTTCATAAATAGCATTGCATTTTTATATTAAGTCTTGATGAAGCGAGGACTTTAACCCAAGAGTTCCTATATCCATGTGACATTTATTTCCATGTGACTAACATCACCTTAATAGTGTAACTTTGAACAAATTAACGTTTTATCACCATGTCATCCATGTGACATTGATATCCGTGTTAACATCACCTCTATGGCATTCATTCATGTTATAGCCATCTACATGTACGTATATGTAACATCAATATTTATGTAGCATTACCCATGTCAAGGACCCATATGGCAGTGGTTGAATTTTTCTTTTGTTAATCTATTTCAGTGGTGACTTTCATGACAGGGATGCTTTTTATTCTTAATGTTTCCATCATCTTTGTCACATCTCCATGTTCACCTCACCAGTGTGATTTGACACCCAAATATCATCTGTGTGACATTAATCTCCTTGTTAACATCATCTGGAGCTGTGACATTGATTCAGCTCCTCTCAGCACATCTTATTGTGATGACTTTTGCCCCAGCATCCAGGCCTATATATTAAAATCACAAAACTAGTGATGACTACATCAATTTCATTCAATGTACCATAAAGCAACATCTCTCCTCTTTGCGATGATATGTCTTCATTCACATGTGGTAATGGTTGGGTGATAAATCCTTCCATTTGCACAGTGGGTCAAAATCAGCTCTGGACCAAGTTTTAGATATTGCAAAAATCGTTGCAAGGGCTAAGTGCCAATGGGAGTTCCCCTGACTTGAAATGCTGTGACCTTTTCTTTTGGAGCTATCTTAGGAGCATCTGTGCTCACAATTCCTTCACCAGATATTGTGAAACCTCGAGAAAGAATTGCCCATAGGCTGCTTTTCTCTGCTTTAACCCAAAGATGACTCACGGCTGAACCATGCATGACATGGACAAATGAGCGCATCTTTATGTGCAAGGAAGTGCTGGCAATTTAGAGAGGTATAGGATGTATTCTTGCAAGAGTATGAGTATGAACACTTTACTGTCTATGCCACACCTGTCACACCTTCTTCCAATAGCCCCTATGTCCCTTGTACTGACCTTTGCAATGTTTGAAACTTGAGTCGGAACTGAATTTTGCCCTACTTTGCAAAATAAATGATTATTCAGCCAGCTATGACTCCCTGTGAATGAATGATATTCCATTGCAAAGAGGAGTAATTTGGCTTTTCGGTACATTGAATGAAAGGGATACCGTCAGCATTGGTTTTATGTATTCTTCCAATATTGCATCGGGCTCCGTACGCTGACTTTTGCGATGTTTATAACTTGGCCCCAAGCTAATTTTGGCCCACTTTGCAAATGGAATGATAACCCGCCCAACCATGACCAAATATCAATGAATGATATATCATTGTAAAGAGGAGACACATGGCTTCATGGTGTTTTGAATGAAATCAATGCTGTAATCACTGGTTTTGTGCTTTTCAAGGATAACAATCTGTTGCGTTTTTTTTTTTTGATACTCACTGTATTGATTAGATCTTCATTAGATTAGATCATCTAAACTATAAAAAGTGTAAATTACAATAGTTAAGATTCAACCTCTGTCAATCATACAACGTGATTAACTCCTTTATTTTGCACTTAAATCTCCTGTTGTTACAGTTCTCAGTTTTGAATGGTATCCATAGTCTTATAGGGATTTACCTGAAATCCATCCATTTGAGACTCATATTTTTCATAGATTTTTGGTATTTCATATTTTGGAAACCTTTTAAAACAAGTTCAGATTATAAGTCCTATACCACACATACTTTGTGACATAAGAGATGTAGGAAACCTATATGTAGATGTAGGAAGGGTCAGTTAAAGTCCTACAAAAATCAGTTCTTTCAAAAATATTTTAAAGGGCATTTTTTCTTCGTGGCTATTTTGATCAATATACTTTAATTTCAGGATTACTAGTACTACTGAGCTCTTGTATGGATTTTGTCATCATTTTTCATTGCATATCGAAGAGGTTATATTATGTAAAATTATATAAAAACTACTTTTCATTTTGCTTCACTAAGTACCTACTTTATGCTTATAGTCCATTTTCAGAAAAGCTATAACATAAATCATTCTAAGGTTGAATCATCAAGGATTTTGAAGGTTAAAAAATTCCCCTAAAGTAGTTGTCACATTAGCTGTGTGTGCTCGCCATTTGCCACCGATTGACTTATTTTTGGCATTGATTTTTGGAAATGTTAACATCTAAGTTCTAAAGTTGACACTCTATCTGTATTTTAAATATAAAATGGTAATTAAGATTTATTTAGTTTATGTCCAAATATCAACAAAATTTTGTTTTCAGCTTTTTCACATGTTAGAAATCAAATGAAACCAGGAATACTTTTCCATTTAAATTTTGTAAATACTGATATGTATATTAGTCAACATATGTCAAAATAGCATAATGAAAGCATTACTTTGTATTCATATGGATCATTGACAGTGTATGGTAAATTATAAAATTAGATTTTAAAATACAAGATCAAGATCTCATTATTTTGACCCCTGTGAATGATAGTCAAAATACATGTAACATTTCCACATACTTTCATGTACAGTTCAATGGAAAAATATGAACAAGTCATGCACATTTTTACTCAATAAGATTGAAACAACTATGTTTGTTTCTTTTTTTGTTATTGTAATATTTTTATAATTGTCAAACAATGACGTTCACAGTAGATGCCCCAAAAGCTGAATAACTTTGCTCATTCTAACCCAATTTTGAATCTGTTGTCTCTCGAATGTTGCCTCTATCTTCCACTCATCAAATAAAGGTCAAAACTATGCATACATTCTGTCATTCGGCCTAAGTTCTAATATATATGTTGCTAAACTGGGATATTCTGAACAAAAATAGATTGATGACGTCACAATTTATGCAAATTAGCTAATTTGCATAATTGAATATTGTAATCGTACAGGAAATTTTATAAGGTTTAATTTGATACCAATATCATTTCTATAGACCAAATAATGACAAAGCTACAAACACTTTAAACGTCCATGGTAAGATGTCTGAATATAATTGTCAAATAATGACATTCACAGTAGCTGCCTCGAAAGTTTAATAACTTTGGCAATACTGATCCAATTTTGAATCTGTTTTCACTTTTATGTTGCTTAAACCTTCTGCTCATAGAATATAAGTCATAACATTGAAGAAATTCTACCGTACGGCTTCAGTTCTTAAAGATACATTGCTATACTTGAAAATTCTGAACGAAAAATAGATTCATGACGTCACAATTTATGCAAATGAGCTAATTTGCATAATTGAATATTGTAATTATATGGGAAATTTATTTAGGTTTAATTTGATACCAATATCATATCTATAGACAAAATAATGACAAAGCTACAAATGATTTAAGATTCCAAGGTAAGATGTCTATAGATGCGTAACCATGGTAACGGAATGCTACAATACAGAGCAACCAATGAGAGTTTGCAAGGGCATCCGGCAGAAAATTGAACCTCAATATGTTACCTTTCAGAAAAGTATGGATGCCATAAATTAACAGAGACCGATACGTTGGGTACATTTTTTGAAACGATAGAGAGGCATGGGTCTCTAACTATATATTGAATAGGGTTATTTTAACTATTGTTACAAAAATATATTATAAAATATATTTTAAAAGATATATTACCAACAATGAAATTTAAACAGTTAAAAATATTGTTTTTGAGACATTTAAGCTCTTTTTGAATTATGATATTCGTTCTTTCATAATGGTTGTACACACTATAGGAATAAAACTGATATACCTTGGTACTGATTTGTGTCTTGGTTTTCCAGAATTGATCGCAACAGAGAAAAATATTGGGAGGACATTAAAAGTAATGCGAAAAATATTTATGGAAGGAATGATGCAAGAAGCTAATATTAGCCGAGAATTAGCAGATCGTTTATTTCCCAGTATAGACAAACTTATCAACATACATTCAGAATTCTTACAAAAGTTCCAAACTCGACAATCATTGAATCCAGACAAGCGGATCGATCAGATAGGAGATATTTTGCTTAGTCAGGTAAGTGGGGAAACATGATATATAAAGAGGAGTACAGAGATATAACAATGGAGTTGTCTATTCACTTGTTAATACATTGAATGAAGGAATCCTTTCAACAATGACTCATTGAATGAAGAAAGAAATCATTTCAACAATGATTCTTTTGGAGCCATGATAGTATTCAATGAAGCTGCTTAGGCCTGTAGCACCTTTTACATCAGAAGGCCTGAGTTATATTCTAAGCATAAATCATGAAATTATTAAGGTTTGAATGATAGGAATTCAGAATTTATTTTAAGTTCTTGTGGCTGCTCAGTTGTGAGACAATGAATTCTATATACTATTTATGTTTTTTTTGTGTGTTTAGTTCAAGGGGTCCAGTGGAGAGATGATGAAGGCTGCGTATGGAGACTTCTGTAGTAAACACAAGGAGGGCCTGGCCATGTATAAAGACCTGCTAAAGTCAGATAGAAAGTTCGCTGCATTTATTCGAGTAAGTATTTTCTCGAATGATCCCTATGTTATTATCAATCATTATCAGGATGTGCCAAATGAATTTTGGAGCTACTTGTACTTGTTAAGATTAAATTAAGGACCAGTTATCCTGTCATTTTTATCCCATTTGTACATCTATACATTCTGCAAAAATATCTTGCCCAGATAGAATCAAACTGACTCTGCCAATATTAATGTTGAACCCTCATCATATTCATATTTCAAAGAAAAAATGACAACGGTGAGCAACAAACCAATCATGGAGAAACAAAGTATAACACTCATGGAAATTAAATACAAAATAATGAAAAAATTCTTAATTTTGATTTGTTGATTTCAGCAATGTGAGATGAACGTGTTGGTTAAGAGGCAGAGTATACCTGGGTGCTACCTGCTGGTAACTCAGAGGATGACAAAGTACCCACTCATGATTGAGGCCATCCTAAAAACAACTAAAGGTATGAATACATAGCTGTATTCGGAAAGTTGTACTTCCAGGGCTGGTCAGTACATGTAGCTGCATCGCCCAATGAAAAATCAATATAAGATTGATAATATAGTTTTTCAATCTGTAACCATGTATAAATTTCCATCCACAAAGTAGTAAGTTGTGTTTTACAATATTGTGTATATATTGACCTGCCCCTCTAACTGGCAATCAATTTTAATAAACTCATAACCATATATCTCAACATTATATTAACATGTACATATTTGATATACATGATAAAATTCCAATTTTTTCAGACCACAAAGAGCACAAACGGGAACAAGAGCGAGAGAATCTACAGTCGTCTTTGATGTATGCGAAACAAATCCTAGATGCTATAGATGAGCGCATAGACGCAAGAGACAGGGAGCTACGATTACAGGAGCTCTACCACAAAATGGACCCAAGGTCATTCACAATATATAAGGGTAAAAAATTCAAGGTAAGCTCATGTTCATTTAATGATGATAATACCAAAATCTTTATATTTCTCACAACCTCATAATAATGATGTAAAATAATTTTATCATCATATCTTTTGGCATAACTGTCATCCAAAATATAGATTAAAAAATATGAAAATTTAATCAGTCAAAAAAATTCTTGATTTTTTCTTGTAGAAATCAGACCTGATGAATCGTAAGTTGATAGTTGAGACGCCAGTCATGTGGAAGAGTGCAAGGGGCAAGCCAATAGAGGTCATTGCAGTGGTCTTATCAGATCTCATGTTTTTCATGCAGGAGAACAATCAGAAGTTTGTCTTCTTTGCACAGGACAGTAAGGTAGGAAAATAATGCTTACATAATTTTAAATGCATTATGGCTAAATTAAAACACAGTATCAAATCCTATGCTGAGAGGGCTGATTGTGAAAAAATCATTCTGCCATTGTTGGGAACATAATTTCTAAAAATTCAGCTGATGTGGGTTCTTAGTTTGCTTGTCGGTTGTCCCAATTAAACACATCAATCAATCTATCATACAATATATACTTCTAGTCAGCTGTGATTTCGCTGGTGAAGCTCCTAGTGCGTGAGAAGGGAGACTCGCGTCACACAAATGGCGTCTACCTAATCAGCCAAAATAAGGACAATCCAGAAATGTATGAACTGACCTGCAAGACCCCAGAGATGAGACGACGCTGGATCGCCAGTCTCAGAAAGGCAATTGATGAATGCCCAGCTGATGAAGGTAGCTATGATTTATTTTATTTATATATAGAAATGTATTATACAAGAAAATGTTAATTTATACACCTTTAAAGTGACAACAGGAAGAAGTTATTTTATTCATCACCTCCGTCATTTCTTAATCAGTTGATTGATACTCTTCATGTTTTAACATCTCTGGAATGTTACGATGTATCTTTTCTTTAACATATCGTCAATTTGGATGCTAAAAACAAAAATGAAAAAGTTATTAAGAAGTTAATACTTATTGTAGAAGTGAATGAAGAGGATCAGAGGAGGATTGAAGAGGAAGAAGAAGAAAGACGGCAACTTGAGATCAAGTTCACAAAATTACGAGAAATGCTTGATAAACTCAATCAGAAAGATGCTCAGATCAAAGCTGGTCTAGATGGCAAACTCAAACTGTTTGCTGACATGATGGCAGTCTGGGGAATGGAGGATGTCTTGAAAAATGTAAGTGCTTTTCTCATGTCAGTAACGAATTGGTGAGAGTAATTTGCAAGACTTAATATTAAAGATGAACAATGGTCACAAACCGAGCAATAGAGGGAGTATTAGTACAGAGGCCTTTATTTGTGTACAAAGGCTTTATGATGAAAATGGTCACAAACCAGTCAATAGAGGGAGTATTAGTACAGAGGCATCTATTTGTGATCATCATTATTGTATACTAATTATTATAGTTTAGTATCAATTAAAGATGGCAGTTGGTCTAATGCTAATGATTTTACTGGAAGAATAATCAGTCCTATATATTAAAATTTCAGCAGCATTGGTAATATACTATACAAGATAGAATAGCATTATGAATTCTAGTTAAATTTTATATTTTAAATTTAATATTTATATCTGATTCCAGTTGAAGTCTATTTATAAGGATGAGGAGGGAGAAGAGTTGAGGGATGCTGATGATTTGCTGCAGGCGGCAATACAAGATGGTACGACATTATTGAGCAACCCTTAAATATTCATTTATTAACTTTTATTGAACATTCCTAAGATATTCATTGGCAAACCTTCATCATGTATATTGTTTTTGATTCAACAAAATAGGTGTCAATACAAGATGGAATGGCATTATTCAGCAACCCTAAAATATTCATTTATTAATTTTTATTGAACAACCCTCAGATATTTATTGGTAAACTTTCATCAATTCAACAATCTTAAATATTTATATATTTTTCATTTTAAATAGTCATTTATTTATGTTGATTTCTTTTAGTGTTTACTTTCTGCCTAAATTAATTTTGAATTATTTTTGTTTTTTAGCATCCAAATTGACGATACTGTTTCAAAATAGCAGTAGTAGTAATCTCAGTACAGGAAGTGTGACAGACCAAGAAAATAGTTCCGGTCACGTGTCCCCTTCTTTGCCAAAACGAGCAGAAACTTTCGGAGGATTTGACAGTCAACCCAAAGGTTCGTTAACACTCATTTCAATTTATATTTTTCAGCTCACTTTCTTGTCCAGTCGTAGGATTATCCAGGAACTAAAGTAGAAATTGGCAATCATTTTTATTGAATTTACGAATGGTGTCTTGAATAGTTTTTGGACTGGGTGAAGATCTATACCTCTACAAGATGGACCATGTTTTATTTTTACTATACAACCACATGATAGGTGTCCTCTGCACGCCAGTGAATGAAAGATGGCAGCACAGTACATTTCAATTGAGTAGCCAGTCGACCATATTTGTTTATAACATTAATGTTTATCAGATACTTGTGTGGAATAAAAACATTGTAACAATTCAACTACTCAGATTTCTATGCACCCGATGACCTCAATCCTCAATTCTGTTATCAATTGAGGAATTCTCCCTCTCTTAATCCAATGTGTACAGACTAAACAGAGGCGAACATGTGCTTAGTCAGGCCCAGGCTTAGAGCCAGTCATATTAACCCACTTTAAATATAAAGAGATAAAATACATTTTCATTAATGCTTGATAATTGAGGTTCACATTCAGCTTTTTCGAGGAATTTAGAAGATATTGTACATTTGTAATTTTTATTAATCGCAATTTATTGGCATGAATATTAATAATATTTTATATTGATTTCTTCCTTGAATTGAGCTTTTGGAGCTATTTCAAAAACATATAGATATTATTAGAGTCTTTTTCTTTACTTTTAACTAAAGGTCACACTTTTCGTGTAAAAATCCTATTTAGCACTATTATTCCCATATTAAACTTATATTTTATGTTAAAAAATACATTTTAAGAACAATAACGACATCGTAAAGAAGGTGTGAAAAGTGCACTTGAGTTTGTGATGAGGTAGACGCTATAGCTTCTTTGGCTAGAAATGTGAGATGGACGTGACATATGACAGTGACGGTACACAATGCTTGCCTTGATATTAGCCAGTAAACTGCAATGAAAGTTTCTAGAATTGTCATTTTAGTGTCTGTAAACAAACATTCAGGGGCGGTCTATCAAATTAAGGTCTTACAAAATCTGACATTGGATGGTGTTGTATCCATCATTAGTAATTTTCATCATGAAGTCTATCTAGGAATTTTTGATACAATGATTGCATACTTTAATTTGATTAATAACTACATTTGCACATTGGTTCTGGGTAACACGGCAGTAAATATTGTGGTCTCTCAAGATTAACAGTCTTTCAATCTTCCCAATGTTCAGTAAATAAATATAATCTATTTCTATAAACATTGGGTAGCTAGCAAAAACTTCAAAGTATGTCAAGTTCCAATCAATTGTGACATATTGCTTTTATTTTCTGGTTCAAATTGTCTCTTTATTACCAGTTTGGTTGTATTAACTGCCCATCATTTGTTCAAATATTGCAACATATGTCATTTATGAACTTCGGTGCAGAATTTTACTAATTCGCCAATTGAAATAAAGCAGAATTTGTAAATATTTAGGTTTAGATTTTGATAGTTTGACAGATTTTGATAGATTTCAACCAGATTATTAACTTTTGATTAATCTAATTGACTTTATGGTGATTGGTTAACCCTTTACATCCTATGGTTAGCCCTGTATACTTTAGGATTAACCTTCTGTTCCTTGTATTGGGGTTAACCCCCAATCACAAAAGTCAACTCAACTGGTGTGGCTTATAGCAAAGATACTGGAGATGGAGGCAATGAGAAAATATTGAGAATTCCTGTTTGCCTTATTCAATTAATTATATTACCATAGTAACATTATACAATGTATGCTCCTCCTAGTATTCCATGACTTTGTGTCGCCGCAAAAAATCCACAGAATTTTGGTTTTCAGAATTTGATTTGATTTGAAGATATTTGAAAACAAGGAATTGTAATTTACAAAATCATCAAGAAATGGCCTCCTGGTGAGATGTGATTGAATGTTTGGCAGGCTCTTTAATTCCAATGACTAAATGCCAAGATCAAGCACATGTTTATAAATCCACCATACATGTACTAACACTCATTTCGAACCATTAAACATGTTTATTTTGGTAATATCACTCATACACGTGCCTATAAATTAACATGTGTTAATATGAGCCTTGTTATGTTATAGGAGGTGTTCTAAAAAAGCGCTATCCTTCGTCCTTTAACGATCATGATCTAAGGACAAGTAGCCTACAAAATCTTCACAAAGATCACGGAAGCGATGTTGATTCTGCCCTTGGCTCGCAGTCATTGGAGGTGGCGCCCTCTGGGAGCAACAAGGTAGGTTGGCGTGCTGTGTCAAAAATTGTTTAATTGAAGTATTTTGTAAAAAGTAAGATGTACATCATTTACATGTTTGTTATAACACACCAGGCCAAATGTAAAGATGAAATGGGTGTCAAGATTGAGTGTCTTGAATGTGTGTCATTCTGTTGTAGGATGTTCTCAGACGTAACAGCGGGGGTCAAGATCCCAATTCTGGGGTGAATAGAAGCACCAGTTTCAAGGTAAACAATATAATAGCTTCTATATGTGTTTGTTAATTATTCTAACATTACTTCAGCCGTGTTATTCAAATTTTTCTAAAAACAGGCAAAATTTATGCAAACAATAGGTGAAATAAATACGATTTTAACATGTAAACAGTTGTAAAAATTCTTCAAAACAAGCAGAGAAAATCAATAGTCTACAACAACCATTGGCTGTTGCTCATGAAACCCCTGCTTCCTGTTATTTGACAAAATTTCAAATATGTTTGTTTCATCGTTAATCTATAGCTCTAGTATTAAATACAGAGAAGGTATTTGTTACCATTGATGAATCTCAGGTCAGAGGATTTGTGTAAATATAATCAGTTAGGAAAACTAATTTTTTCACCCGCATGTGTTCCAGGAGAGAACAAATAGACGTTTGAGTACCAGTTTCCTCCAAAATCTGCTCACCAAGCAGCACAAAGAGACAGAGGACAGCGATGCTAAGTCTGATAAATCCAGCGATCGTGGATCAATGGGGGAACTGTCCAGTACATGGTCTCTTGGCCCTCCTAGTCGTGAGCAGGTCGAATGTGTCGGATCACTGATTAACTGTATGAGAGGTCTTGCGGTAAGTTTCCATTATAAACATTCTTTTAATGGTTTTCTTTTTACCCTTGGCAAGAAAGATCATTTGGGCCTCTCTTTAGAAGAGATAAATCTTTGAATCTGACAAACCAATCATATCCTGCCTTTGCTCACCTATGCGATTTTCATATAGGTTTTAATACTAGTAGTTAACATATTAGTGTAGCTCTGCAGTGTTGTCTGATTGGTTGAACAATAGACTGTAAAATGATCAATCCTCCTCAGAGGGTTTATGTGGTAGTTTTTGACCGCAGGGTAATTCCTGTGGTTGGCACGAGGTGTTGTTACATAAGTGGGAGCACACTAACCTTTATGCACTACTTTTCTCCTAATTTGTAGTGTCTTAAGGTTATGATGATTCTCTTGCAATGGTTATTTTCACGAAATGAATATTCACATTCTCACGGAGATGCAACGGGCATGTGCATCAAATCATGTACCATCAAAAAACCATATACCATCACTTAAAAGATAGAGATGCCTATTTAGAATTTAGGCTATAAAATATAGTTTTTATGTCAAGAAATTTGACCAAAAATATTTCAAAGTCTGTTTAATTTGAGTTAGCCCAGAGTCTTGACTCTTAGCATTCAAGTGCCCTGTTAAAGTACAGGCTACTAACCCCAGAATATCTTGGTAGGGGTTCATGTTTTATATCCCAAATAGTATAGATGAGAATTCAAAATGCAAGAAATAAGTCGAACTGAAATGAAAATTAACTTTAAATTACACCAAAAAACTAGAAAATTGAGCCGTTGTTTAAAATTTTAGAGAGAAATGGCGTGGAATTTGCATGAATTTGGGGAGTTTTTAAGAATGGTAAACTTGATTGGTCATGCAGGTTAGTGTTATAACATCATCATTCAGCAATGTTCATTCATTTGTTTTCTTTCAAAAGAGGACGATAAAACACTCTAATTTTCCCTTAATACTGGTGTACCCTTTCATACAGACCACAGGCATCAACATCGGTTGAATCCAAAATTCATTGGTGTTTAAGAAGAATACAAGTACTGCCCCTTATATTTTCTAATTGGATTGAAAGACATTGCCATCTGACTATTACAGCACATATACAATTTTGCTGCTCACATGATCTTACCAAGCTCAAATGCACCTTTCAAAGCCTTGAAAGAGTGTGAAATAAATGTTATCTACTTTTAATGTTATGATTTTCTGACTTCATTATCTGATATGCTAAATCAATGAATTGCCCATATCTTTAATATAAAGAGGTAGATAAAGTCTGCAACAGGTCAGAAGAGTTCCATGTGAAAATGTATAGGTTTGATAACCAGCAATTTCCTCATTTCGCAAATGAACACAAATATGTAACATTTTATCAGACCAGATCATTTATTTCCTTGTTCTTATCCACTTGAATTTAAAAGCTACATATCTCCCTGACCAGCTTTTATGACCAAGTCTTAAAGATGCGGTTGCCTTAACTACTGCAGTACATGGTGGTCCACAATGTGGTTGAGCATTGGTTACAATGTAACAAGGACCTCCTGTCATAACTCATAAATTTCAATTCCATTTATTGCAGATTTATTTCATAAATTTTTTCTGTTTCAGACAATTTTTACATATCATTGAATCAGTTTATTTATTTCACAAAATTGCTCTATTAATTTTACATAATTTCAATATTTATGCACCATTTCTTTATTTATTTCGCTTTATTTCTTTCTACATTTCTAATCAATTAAGAGTTTGGACAAACTGAAGATGAAAATGAAATCTTGCCCTTTGTGCTTTTGATAAATTGCTTAGTTCTGTCTGAAAGCCTAATCATGTACGTTTGTGTCTACATTATCTCAGTCACATATGACGTATTATCTTATATCTTCACTCAACACATCTGCAGTGTGGCAGATCAGTCAAAATGACCCCATAACACAAGAAGGTCCAAATGTCACAAAAATCATAAACTTGATAAAAAACCTCCTATATAATTATATAACGATAACTCAGATCCTTAATAACTTCCTTATTCCTTAACCCAGGACATCCAGCTAAAGATTTGTATATATGATAGGTGTCAGACTAGGATACATCTAGTAATTATAATGACACCAATACTCATGATTCTTGACCTTAAAATGACTAATAGACTGCAACTTTCAAGTTTGGAAAAATGAACTATTGAGAAAACCAACAGATAAGAAAGTGATATAAACAGAGAGCGTGTGGTGATGTGAATATCTTGTATTTTGTTTGTTTGTTAGCATGTGGCAACATACTGCCTAGATTGGAAATGTATACTTCTAATATTATACAAACACAATTAGCATTACCTCCAAAAGATTTGTAACAATTAAAGCTCACGTGCCATTATTTAGATTGATATTATCCAAGCCAAGCCTTTTCACTCAGAAAATATTATGTATTGTCAATTTGTTCTGGAATTTTATGTTATCCTTTTCCATTCATGCTATCGCTCAGGTTTGTGTCTTCTTGGCAGCTGAAGAATGAATGAGAATCTCTATGTCTACATTTCACAGATTTTTGTAGGAATACATTACGTCATTGAAATAATGAAATACTTCCAAGTTTTTTTTGGCATACAATGGGTTTTGGCCTGTTTCTTGAAATATTAGGATATCAGAGGCCTTGCATTTATATATCTTTCACAATTTTATGTAACTCGGGCTGTGGGTTTTACTCTGATAAAATTCATATTGCATACAGTTGGTGGCAGGGGTGGGTAGAACTCCATGTTATAGTGTTGGGTGAATAATTGAAGGCAATGAGGAAATGCTAGTAGAATTCATAAACAAACACTTGAGTAGTATAACGAAAGTAAATTCCAGGCTCTCTAGACCGCTCTACTTCTTGAACCTCTATACCTCAATTCCTATCATTAATGTAATTTTGCCTTGCATTATAATTGCAATTCATTCTAATGGCACAGATGAATTAATGTAATCATAATTCTGGTTTCACAATTTCTAATTTTGCCTTTTACATTGGGCATGTTTTATGGGGTTTATTGTAAGGATTTACAAGGCATTGCAGATATATGAACTCTTCAGTGCCATCAGATCACTCTTGTACATACACTTAACATGTGCTAGGATTGAGCCACTTACCAAAGTCAAACGTGTCAAACTTACATAAGATAAGTCATGATAAGGTCATTCATTACATATTTTTCAATGATTCATGGTTTTCATCTCAAAGTGTGGTCGGATAGTCATTTACCTGCCTACTTAAAGGTTTCTCCCTAAGGAGACAATGGGTTATATGTAGATGTGGATGTTTTAGGACTTGACCTAATAACGAATGTTATAAATTGAATTGTGCAAGAACATACCTAGAATGCTCTTATACACCCTATGCAGACAGAGCCTGTGGGAAATATTGGGTGCGGCGCAAATGAGCGGAGGGTGCGGAGCTAACGGTCATTTTTGAATTTAAAATTGGGATATTTCTGAAACTAAGCCGTTTTGGGACTTCAAATATACCAAGATATGTGTATTTGACACCAAATATCAATAAAATTGTGAAAATAGTAGTGCAATTCATTTTATAGCGACGCAGTATGCCTTTAACATTTCCCAGACCTATATATTTTGAGACTATCCTTTTAATACTGCGTCCCCAGCATTCATAAAAAATGATGTTCAAGATACACTACCCATGCAAATTATTTTTGCATCTTGGAAGCCAGGCAGTATCTGTGTGATTTTATAAAAATTCGGAAATGTTCTTCAGATATGAGCCCCTCTAAATATTGGGTGCGGAGCTACGTTTATGGAGCTGCTCCGCACCCAATATTTAGAGGGGGCTCATATCTGAAAAAATTTCCGAATTTTTATAAAATCACACGGATACTGCCTGGCTTCCAAGATGCAAAAATAATTTGTATAGATAGTGCACCTTGAACACCATTTTTTATGAATGCTGGGGACTCAGTATTAAAAGGATAATTTCAAAATATATAGGTCTGGGAAAGGTTTAAGGCACACTGCGTCGCTATAGAATGAATTGCGCTACTATTTTCACAATTGTATTGATATTTGGTGTCAAATACACATATCTTGGTATATTTGAAGTCCCAAAACGGCTTAGTTTCAGAAATATCCCAAATTTAAATTCAAAAATAACCGTTAGCTCCGCACCCTCCGCTCATTTGCTCCGCACCCAATATTTCCCACAGGCTCTGTCTGCATAGGGTGTTATAGCAGAGTTTGGTGGCTGTCATTAATGTACATATATTTGAAATAACATGTATTGCATTCTGGGCATTCAACCAGTAAATATACATAGTGATTGAGTAAGAGACTGATAGCATAATTCCTGGACACCTAGTTCTCATTGCATCATTGTAAAAATCCTTTAGACATTTATACTGATCCTCTGACCCCTAAAATTCTAAGATGAGATCTCCCAGGTCTATTATAACAAGGAATTGTGTTTCTAGCTTTGTTATAGGATGTTTAGATGAGCCAGTGACACTTATCCAAAATATAGGAAATAATTTCTTAAAAAATCAATTTGTTGATCATAACTTAAAAAATAACAAAAACATATCATCCAGGTCCCATGTGGCTACAGTGTTTATAGAGTTCCAGGTGGCTTGAGGCAAGGCCAAAAAGTCACTTTGCCTGAAAATGTTCTGTTCTTGGTCGAAATATCAGAATGTAACATTTTAGAAAAAAGCTTTATCTTACGCAAGAATAGGTAAATAGTACTAAATACAGGCTCAACATATGTCTGTTAAAAAACACTTTACATTCATTGTTGGATTGAAAACAGCTAAATAACAGTGATATAATTTTCTGGGTATTATATTTTGAAGTGATTAAAAGTCTTTCAAGTTTGCTTATCAGTAAATTAAAGAAATCATGTATCATTGCTAACAGTTTGTTTTACGTCACAGAAAGTTGCAGGATAAACATTAGTCAGAATGTTTGATTATTTTTGATTAAACACAGGGTAAAACATTATATCAAGACCATCAGAGTAGGATATTACACATTTATAAAAACCTACTACTACTCTGCTACCAGGATCTTGTATCAAGAATCTATTTGACTTCCTGGCTAGACCTGTGAGTCAAGTACTACAGAAGGTCACATTTAATGAACATATAACAACTGGTCTTTATTGCTTACTTAGATGTCAGTTGTTTTAAGGTAGACATAGTGTTACAATCAAGGAGACAATCAGTATGCATGTCTTTGTATAAAAACTCAAAATTAGTTCTACTATATCTTCCTTAATGATGTCATATCTATTTGTATGTGTTAATATTAATTGTACATATTGTGAATAATTGTAAATTATCACTGGGCCTCTTATGTAGGAAGACCAGGATTTTATTTTTTGTATTGAGCTACCCAGAATAAATATAGTTTTCAAATCAAATCAACTGAATGTAAAATTTGCATTAACAATTTCCCATTTTATTTTTTCAGTTCATCTCAACTCAGCAATCCACACAAATTGAAATGTAAGTATATGCAGTTTTTCATTTTCCATCCACATTCCACATGCAAGTCAAAGTCCACTCTTTTCATTGAGAAATATATGTATGAGAAGGGCCCCCTCCCCCTTAAAGTAAGCTTGAAGTAAGCTTGGAGTTGGAGTAAGCTTGAAGTAAGCTTGGAGTAAGCTTGAAGTAAGACTGGGCTTCCATTGGAGATAGTTAGGTGTTAATCTTTTTCAATGGGCTCGGGTTGTTCTTGATGACTTCTGGCTGTTGAATTGTGTTTATATCCATAGTAGTTTATTGCAGTAAAATTAAAGCAAAGTTGAAGTAAAGTGCCGGCATGCCAAGGAGGCAGGGCAAAGGGAGGTTTTTAGTGTTTGGTTTAACCTGCTCCATGGTGTGTTATTTTAGAAAAGTCTGTTGTACACAATTCTGGATCAAAATGTTACTTTTTTCTACTTAGCAGCCACTTAACCCTCACATGTCTGCCAGCTTGTTAAGTGTTTCAACTTGTGATTTTTGGGAATGTAAGGGTTAATCTGCAGGTGCAGTGGGGTCATTAATTCCTTGTAAAAATCTACTTGGATTGACAGTGTGTTTATATATGGCCTAGTTGTGGCATTGCAATGTCCAAATCTTTTCTAAATAAACATTTTCAGCATCAATAATCACATTAAGGTTCTAGTTTCTTTGGTGGTCTGAGAATAGAAAAGTTCAATTTGCTACATTTTGGTCAGTTGTTGGTCAATATTGAAAAATATGTCCCATCTTCAAAATATTAAATTTAGAACATCTGAAATATATTCTCACTTTATTCCAATTACACCCAGTTTCCAACCATACATTAAGCAAACTTAATCTTTAAAGACCATCTTTTGAGAAATTCAGTAAGTTGAGAGAATTCTGTCAGATGAAAATTATAACACACATTCTTTTGCAGGCTTAAAGCGAAAATACTTGAAGCAGAAGCAAAAGTTGGGAAGAGCGAATCGCAACGAATGGTCTCCGAGAAAAAGACATCATTTCGACATAACAACCAACTAGAAGAACTGCGTAATCTCCAAGAATCAATCAGTCAGGAGCGCCAGAAATGGGATGCAGAGAAAGAAAAGGCGGGGTTACGTCTCGAGACTGAACGTAGCACATTAGAGGAGCAACAGAAACAACTGGAAACTGAGAGGGTGAGTTTAAAGGCACTTCTGTAATATAACTAACCTACTTAAGTTAAGCATATGTGGTTACTTTAAAAAATAATGCTGGTACTATCAACATTATACACCACCATGAAAACAGGTGAACACAAATTAATCGGTTCTTACTTTTATATGTTAAAGATTAACATATCGTCTTTGTTCGTGTGGATTCACTGGGGGAAGGGGGAAATATAGTGTCATTATTGTCATATAATTCAGTGTATTCTATGTAGATGCCAATTGAGTTGACATCTAACGCAAGAATCCTATGATTGCAGGAAGAGATGGCGGCACAGAAAGAGGAGCTACGTCGCCAGAGAGAGGCACTTCAAGCTCAGATGGATTATTATAAGATGAAGCAGCAGGATAAACATGACAGTCGTGAGGGTTCACCACAAGGGGGCCCTGGCTTTCGAAATACAAACTCTCCATCTCACGATATTGTCGATGCATTCAAACAAAACAATTCTCCAGGGAATCATAGACGCTGTACATCTGCAGATTTAACGCAAGGAGGATCGTTTGAACCAATGAAAGCAGAATACAGTAATAGTTTAAAGGAGCCATTGAATTTAAATAACAGAAATGCAAAGGCGAAAACACTACCTGGAAATCGGAGTAATACACCTCCAGGTTTAATGACCCGTATAGACAGTGGGTCAAATGTAAATAATCAACTGGGGCCTAGGATGCCTATACATTTATTAAGTGCTGCCAATGAAGCCAAAGTTGGTGTCTCACAACAACATATGCCTTATCATAAACTCTCCACTGGTAGTAATCCTGGTAGTAATAGTCAATACAACCAGAATCCTGCTGGTAATCTACATAAACTGCCATACAAATTAGCATCAACTACAAGCCCAAATGCCCCAGGAGGGGGCAGCCAATTTTATGTTCACCAGGTGTCACCACCGCAGACTCAAGTGCCCGCAAACAATTCAAACTCAACTTTGAAGCAAGCAGCTTCAACTGGGTCATTTTTACCTATGAAACTTGCATCAAATTCTCGAGCCAAATCCAACTCACCTGGCACCGCCCCGGGAGTTGGCCCAGAACAGTCATTATCGTCAAAATTACCTATGAAGCTAGCAGAAAAGGTGACTCGGACTAAATCTGCTTCTTCTTTGATGCAGAAATCCACTACTCTTAAAGATACATCCCCGCCCAAAGACACACAGAATGGAAAACAGTTAAAGAAGCCACAGGAGGTGATATACTTCTGAAGTTACCTCAAGGTATGTTATTTCTTATAGTATAATCTGAAAAATAGGTGGTTATTCCGTGAAGTATTTTGAAATAAGATATGCTTAAAAAGATAAGATTTAGCATTAGCAATAAAATAAATAGTTAATGTTGGTAGTTTCCACAGAAGTTCATTGACTTACAGATCTAGAATTAAGAACAATATTTATGTTTGAGTACAGGGGTACTTAAAACAATGAGAATTCATATTCAGGTATTACATACATCAGTATATCCAATAATTCTTTATCAGACAGATCTACTTTATTTGACATTTTAAAATGAGCTTTAGAAGAGTATCAAAATGATAAAGAAATTATGTCAAGTATTTCCTATACACTTAAAATCTTCAAATATGAGTAATTCAGAATCAGAACAAGATACCTTGACATATGATACCCTTGAATATATCTCAACGCTATATAATGTGATACCTGCTCACTTTAACCACACGTCAATGGGGTCACATGACATGAATGATGTCACCCGACATGCAGTGACATCCCTGAAGAGTAACCTGACATGATGTCAAGTACATGTTACATGTATATGTGACAACTCGCCCATATAGGCATTCATATGAAAAAATCAAAAACTAACTACATACTAAAAAGATAATTCAGAAATTGCAGTAGAAATTGTTTTATTTTTCAGATCTTGCTTCAGAATCACACTACAGAAGGACATATTGCACCAGGACTCCCAAGACCTGCATTCAACTATGTATGAAGGACTTTCAGTCCCTGGACAATAATGATTGAGTGCGAAATCATATATAAATCCTCTTGCCGGAAAGAAAGGGTGTTATTTGTATACAGGGATATCATTTTTATTATTTCCAACATTATAATTCCATTTATACTTTTATGTACAAGTCTTCATATCAACTTTTATTTTGAGTATGTATTCAAAGGTTTTAGTTTCTTGTTTGAAGAATGTAATTAAGTTCCAAAGTAGCGTTATATATGTATGAAATACATGTTTGTACAAGTTTCTATAGTAACATGTTTGTTTATTTACGATGATGTACATGTAACCAACCATATGTGAGTTATGTTTAACATATAAATACAAACATGGTATTCATACACAGTACTCATAACTCACATTTATGTGTAAAATGTGATTTATTTATAATTTCACTGGTTTCTATTGTACATTTAACAACTTTGACACCGTTCATATGAAAGTGCAGTATGTAGGAAAATTGTATGAATTATAATTTCCTATATAACGCAATCACAATCAGCACCTAGCAAAATCTAAAACTACTACCAATTTCAATTGACGATATAATGAAAATATTATTACATTACTAGATTTTTACTAAAAACACAGGAGCACTTGGTTTGACAATACGTTGTGATTTTGACCATATATGGTCAAAACATTGATAATAATGTTAAATTAATAAGATAGAACAATGTTTGATTGTTTGTATGAATCATGTCCTAGTCCAGTGACGCGTGTACTTTATGTGCATTTATGTAATTTGACAGTAATTATTACTAGATAGAATAAACATATCTTTGCATTCTTGTATATTATGTCATTCATCAACATGAACTCATGCATGATATTTCAGTTATCAGCGCATGATATGTAATTTATTCCACCCTTGTATTTTTTGCTACAAATGTTGTGTTAAGAGATATTTATAAAATATACATATATTATATACGAGGCATTTTCTAAAGAATCGTACTCCATAAAGGAATTTCATGATTAACTCGTAAAATGTTTTAGTTGTGCCATCGGACAAATCAAGTTATCAGAAGTGTAAGAATGTAATGTACATGTATCATATGTATATGTTTCTAATCACATACTATGTAATATATACATGTACAGGTCATATGTGCTCATGTAAACACAGAGATATGTACAGAAGACACATTTACTTGTACAGTACGAGGGTTGTCTAAAAAGTTTTGTAATTTGAGCAACTGTCGAGTGCATCATCTTGCTATGGTGTCTTAATGTAACATAGAATGATTGGGAGAAAAAAATAATTTGAGCAATACATGTATATCAAGAAAATTTCGTTGAGTTTCCTAGTCTATAAGATTCTATCCTCCAACTTCTTGCTTTTTGTTGTATCATTTTACATGTTAATGCGTTAAAGCACATATGCATGTTAACAAGTCATAGCTTAATAATATAAAATCATTCTGTGTTCTTTAATATGTGATAGCTATTACAAGTTATTGTATACAGATATAATATGTCAGTTTGATGTCAAATGTATACTATTGTATGTCTTCTGTTAAGATGCTTTATGAATAGAGAACGCATGGTCTTACATGTAACAACGGACCATGAATATCATACTTTCTACAACAAGTACATTATTTGTGTTTTCTAGCTTATATTTCATCTCTTGTGATGTTAAAACAAAAGTTTGAGTAAGTCTGGTGCTGTCAAGTCCCAGTACCTCAAGTAAGTGTAGGGGACATGTCAAAACATCAATGTTTTATAATACATTATGAGCTAAAATAACACTGGTGTTTTGACAGCACCCCTATTACTCTTTAATTATCAAAGATAATCATTCCATTTAAGATTTTTTAAATCAACGATTTCTTGCATTTCTATTATGGTTACCATGGTTACCAGATACTGCAGTGATATTATCAATCAGCAACATTTTTAACATCAGATAATATTTAAATTGACATAATTGAAAAATCGCATCTAATTTTATAATAAGTTATCTAATGTTAAAAGGGGCAACCAATTATAGTTTTGTAGCGTATAAATCAATTGACATAACAATTTAGTTTTATAAGGTTAAAGATGTATTGTATAGCAGAATGACTTTAATTCAACTTGTATAAGTTATAACAATCATGTACCTCAACTATATTGTTCCTGTTTTACTTTTTGTTTGTGTTGGATGCATTATAAAGGAATCATGTTTAAAATCAGCAGTAAGGGACCTATATGAAAAAGTACAGTTTATCATTGACCCATGTTTGGAATATAAATTGTAAACTTGCCAATTTGAATGGTTACAATGACAATTCAGTCTAGACAAAGATTCTATTGTAGTAAAAGTGAAAATATAAAAATGAGAAAATATATGATGTTTTTCTTGTGTTGAAATGAAAATACCGCTGCCAATGCATATGTTGTAAATACAGTCTTGTCTCAATTCTTTGTTTCCCTTTACCAACAATGAACTTCCACCTAAAAAGTCATGTTTTTAACCCTTGGGGGGGGGCAACACAAGGGCTTGAGGCTTGACAAGAAACTCAACTTTGAAGATGATAACAAAGCAGATTAATTATTTAATATTTCCCTGTACTTATGGAAAACCATGTGTTTAGATTGTTATTTTGATTTTATTTGACAACATGTATTTACATTTTTTCATTAGAACATTGATTTACCCCGTGTCATTCTTAGCTTTGGATATGTTTCTAAATTTTAATAGACAGTAAATCACATTTATTTTCTTTCAAAACCGAACACATAACTTTGATAAAATGACAACACATTTCATTGCATTATATTTGGAACCTCTCCCATTGGGGTTTAATCCAAGATTAAAGAAATTGAAATATAAAACCTGAGTTTAGATTGGCATCTGTAACCGTCTACATATGCCAAGCTAATCATGTTGCAAAACACGATAGAATGGTGAAGTATGGATCCAGTGATCTCCCCATCTTTAAATCAAGCAGGTACAGTCCCTGATGCAGATCTAAAAATCATATGTCATCCTGGTGAAAATCTGTTTGAACTTGAACAAAAGAATGAAATACTGCAAAAGAATTTAGCAACCTGTTGGGAAAATCCTTTGTAAGCCATAAAGAAAATATGTGTGCATTCCACATGTTGCAGTATTCCATTCAAATGTTTTGAGAGGAATGCGGAATTGATAGAAGCAGCATCAGAGAAAAAACATGGGCCATGGGTATAACAAGGGAATGGGTTTGACCCACAGGGAATGACTGAGAAACATATTTGACCCCTGAGGCAAGACCAGTGGCACAGTTTAACTGAGTTAACAACTTAACATCTGCACTGTTAATTTCAATTTGAAATATTGATGTTAAAACTGACCACAGACTCACTTAGCCTTGTAGATGTTGTGTTGTTTGCTAAAACACTTGAAAACTAGGAATTTAGCCAACAAAGCTGCCACTTTTTATTTTGATTAAGTAGCAACTTTAACTGTCCAGTTCAGTCTTTATTATTGCATAGTAGTTCAGAGTCTTAATCCACATAATGAGTGGATTTTGAGAAATAGAACTGATTTTTAAATGTGATCTAATTATCTAGAGGACCTCTGTCTGGTTATATTTTGAATAAATTATGCAGTTTTGATGTGAAAAAATCCACATGAAAAAAGACCGACCCAACTGGAAAAAATTTTGACATTAGATTAAAGATGCAGAAATATCTGAATTCATTAGAATTGAAATTAGTGATGTTCACATGGAATGATGAGAGGGAAAAACATAGTCATCTTTATTCCCTCTCCCTTTAGTAGTCTTGTGTCAAGTCCCTCAATTTCCCCTCTTGTTGAAGTGAGGTTTGTGTAAGGGGAGTCACTCAGAGCTTGATGCATTCTGGTAATTAACTTGGATTTCTTAATTAACTTCAATTTTTTAATTGTAGACTTGCATACTAAGCAACATGTGTAAACATTAAAGCTGAGAAAGAGGGCTTAAAAGTTTATGTTTGAAAACACTTTGACAGAACTAGGATATGACTTGGTAGGATCATTGAAGTGTAGATCCTTGATACCTGACATGCTGCAAAAATATTTAGGATTAAGATTTTTCATGTACATACCCTTTTACTTTATCTACCCCATTATATTTATTGAACTGAAGCCCTTGTTAATCAAATCCTTTATTTCAAAGGGTGTAAGCATGATAAGATTTACTATATACAATCAATGAGGTTCAAGTTGAAATTGGGATATATCTGCAATGTTAAAGTGGTCAGAAGATTAGATGATTGTGATTGGGGATTAGTCCACTTGAGGTCAGCTTTGATGGACTTGATAATCTAAACAAACAACAAACAATAGTACTTGCTTACAGCCTGGGAATTGGCGACAATATGTTTAAGTTGATATCCTGTTTGTTCAATTGATAAAAAGAACAGTGCAAAATTCTCATCAATAATTTTTAGTTTCAGTTCCAATCATTGAAAGGTTTGATTTTCCTGTGTTTGCTTGTTGAAGCCATGTATATTCCATAGCACTAATCACATCAACTAAGATGTATGTCACATGACATATATTGACTCCTGAAGGAGAAGTAGCTTTATCAGCATTTCTCCCCTTGCCTCCTTAGAACATGGCCAACCTTTCCTGTTGATTTTCATAGTCTGGCAGTGCCAATATTTTATTTTTAACCTTGCTACTCCCGACCATGTCAATGAGATTGTGTAAATTAACATTTTCCCTCCGACCCTATGATTATGAATGGATTAGATATTGGTAGATATTGAATCCAATTATGAGGGTCACAAGGTCAGTTCCCAAGTGGACAAAACAATCATCATTGGGAAAACATGGCAAACCTTTCCTAAAGGACAATAGAGGATGGCAAACCTTTCCCATGGGAGATAGAACATGGCAAACCTTTCCCAAAGGACAATCTGAAGATGGCAAATCATTCCCATGGGAGATAGAACATGGCAAACCTTTTCTGTAGGAGATAGAACATGGCAAACTTCACCTTTGGAAGCTAGAACTTGGCAAACCTTTTTTGTGGAAGATAGAACATGGCAAATTTCACCTGTGGGAAGTAGATTGCAGTAGACTTTGGGGTGTTGCCCTCACCTACAAAAAGGTATGACTCACCATTATTGTTTTGTTATGAGACTATTTCCTTTGATTATTGATAACGTAACCCAAACATTTGTTAATGTAACGATAGTAGAGACTTTTACACAGAACTTGTCCTTTTAATTGGGGTAATTTACAAAAACAGCGGAAACAATCAAAAACAAGTATTGATAAGACTTTGGTACATTGTTACATCACCTCCATATTATAAACAATTCTGCTAAAAACTGAATACTTAAAAAATATAAGGTCACTTTAAGATAAATATTTTCTTAATTGTTTGCTACAGTCAGTGAGTAATACAAGATACTCGCAAGTGCTTGTAGCCTACTTCAAACTGATGTAACAAAATAATGCATGATTGTATAACAAGATAACCCTTTCTACTTTCAAGGGTTGTTTTATGGGTGTCTGGATGTGGTGAAGAGGTGTAGTGAGGGTTATCCCAAGAGCTCCCTAAACAGTTATACATTTTGTATGTGTTTGATGGGGAGTGTTACAACGCTGTTGTGTTCTGCACTGCTGTTCACATGGCATCGTAAAAAGTAATAGAAATTCAGGAGTTGTTAGCGTATTTTCCTTGGAATGTTGTATCAAAAAGGCAAATCCAGACCATTATAATGCCTCTCTGTACAATTAAAGGTCCCGTGTACTATTTTACAATAACGTTTTACTTTTTTAAATCAAATTTCACATGTTGATAACATTGGGTAAGACTGCAATATAAGTCTTAAACATTTTACTCCTCGAAATTGAAAAGGTTTCCCTTGACATATTTATAACACAGGTAAGACTAAAATATAAGTCGAGGTGGTTTTAACTTTACACAGGGCCTTTTAATAGCTTTCAGATCCCTTGAGAATCTCCTTCCAGGAGAATGGGATTTGACCCATTGGTAATATAAGAATACTTTGCTTTGAAGCATTTTGGCCCATAAATACTAGACCCCAATGCCTATGGTACATTGTTGAATCATTATACTGTTAAAACAAGCAAGTGTCACATCAATTGTTTCTCTTTGATTCATATCTAGGTAAGTGAATATTTTGAAAAATAATCACTTTTCGATACAATGGGTGATACATAGAATTGCCATACTTTAATTAACAGTTGTATGACATGAACAAAGTATCAACATTGTAACCCTTTAAATAAGATTTTTAAGTTGATGACCCTTTTCAAGATTTAAAGAACTTCATCATTTCTAGTCTCTGAGGTTCAGGGTAGATATTGATACAAGTTGAATAATAACATAAAGGGAGAGGGAATTGTACAAATGTGTTGACACTTACAAATGGATGGTGACCAATAATCAACAAAGTTAATTTGTTTGGGAGTAGGGAGTAAATTATGATTTCAATGTGTCTAGTGTTGATTTTATTAATATCTCTATTGAAAGACAAATCAACATTTTAAAATTTCATTTTTCTACAATTGTTGATCATCGGATACATCTTATCCTTGACAATTTATGGTTGGTTCATGGGAAATTAGTCACCCCTCCCTCTTAGATATAGGGAATATTAGAGAAGGGGGAGGGGGTGACGAACTCCCCATGAGTTGTTGTACTATTTCATTCAAGTCATATTGTGTTTTATTGACATTTTATTCAGTTTCAAGATCAACCTCTGAGGACTGAGTGACACTAATACAATTTTTAAAAACAATTGTTCTTTATAAATGAATTAAAGTAAAAATACAAATGAAATTGCTCATTCATTTGTCTGAAGTGTTGTTTTAAGACAAATAATGCTTTGAGACATGGCCTTATGTCTCCAGTGAGTAGCTATGTGGCTATGAAAGCTTCTAATAAAAGATCTAAAAGATGCTTCATCTAGACTTGACTGGAGTGTAAATGTCTCTTGAAAATGCTTCACACAACAAATAGGCAAACTTATGACATTAGGCCATGCAGTTGTTTGAATGTTTTCAAGAGTATTTACATTAATTAAAGAATGTTCATTGAGAAAAACTCTTGTTATGTGCATGTATGTTATATAGTACTATGATAAGTAATGTTAAAAATGATAGATTAAGTCAATTCATTTGTGCATGATTTCATGTAAAAAATAGATAGTCCATATTTTCAAATAAAAATGTTATCACAAGACACATATACACAAATGCCAATGTTTATGATAATGATTAAAAATCAGTGTCATTCTGTATTTTTTAATTAAACCAAATTTCAACAATATTTTTTGTTTTCTGATTAGGCTAATTCAATTTTTGAAAGCAATGAGAAATTAATAGTGTCAAATTCTCTTTTAAAGTGAGAAACTCTTTATTGACCATTCAGATTTCAGACTTTAACACCTTGCATCATTTCATCAAAAGACATCAATAGAAATAAAAAACACAAATTTATTAGAAGTTAAAAATAATCTTAAGGTAATGAGTTTTTAATTAATTCTCATTGTAGATTAAAAGTAAGCTTCCACCCCTTGGTGGTAACCCAAACAAAATGGACTCATCCAATGATGTCATAGTGTATACTTTACTACAAGTGCTAGTTGTAAAAGCCTCAGAGAAGATTGTAATGCCAAGAGAGAACACATGTAGATAAAGCAACTGCTACACAAATTGTGCAAATAGAACTAATTGACAAATATTTGTACATAAAATTAAATGGACTTTACTACAATAGCTAAACTGACAGAGAATTAGAAGTTAGTAGCTGGACTGAAAAGAAAATGAATTTGCTTCATTTTCTAAGACATTTCAATTTAGAACATTTACATTGCAGAAATATGGAAATGCTTACATCTTTAATTATTGTATACCTCATTACAGGGACTGTTAACTGCGAAGTGGACTTTCAATTCAAAGATTCCAGACAGGGTAAGTGAATGTTTTAGTGTATAATAGATTTTATAATCGGTTAATATTGCAATAAGACAATGCATATCCTAATATTTATCCCATACTGGACTTTGTAAAGTTTTGGGGAGATTATAAGGGTGTGTAAAATTGATATCCACCAGGGGTGGGATTTTATATCCTTTTCTCGACTAAATAACATAAAGTAACTTCCCTGCTTTTCAGGGGTATATTTTGACTTTTATTATTTTCATAGGATAAATCATTCATACAGTAGATTTTAGATATAGGATTTATCTTACAGGAAATAAATATGTTCTCCCACATTGCATCTTACTGATTCATATTAGGGCTCCTGTATGAAAGGTTGCATTTGGATTATGATTTAACATATCTACAATATACAGTTATGTACCCACATTTTCAGAATGTTTGATGACTATCCAAAGTAAGCAATGCCACTAGTTACAGTTTGAAGTTTTACTTTATTCAAATAATTTTATTATTCTGAATGCATCAACCCATTCATATATATCAAATTTTGAGATTAAATCTTTTTCTGTGCCCGAAGAGCATCCCGTTTGATTATGATAAATTATTATGATAGATTTGTTTGACATTTGAAAATAATAATTTCAAATATCCCATACTTTACAGGGATATAAAGCAAATTTATTCAATATTTTTCTGCGAAAAGATATTGTAGAAGTTCACTGGAATTTCTCATATCGTAAACAAAAAAATTAATTGTTATTTCCTGCACTCATCCTTGAGATGTGCTAATTTCACCAGCTTCTTTATGTTCTTTCAACCACATGTTTTGATATACATATACACTCCGAAATACACAGACTAAAAAATGTTGATCCAAAGTTCAATTTGGCCTATAATCATTGGTTTGTGTGGTTTAACATGATGCAGCCATAGACTTTCTTATCACGATTTATTTACAATTTGTTTTTATCTTTGATTACACTGTTAGGTCCTGTCTCACAACTTTATAATGAATTAATTGACTTCTGAGTGGTCAATGAGATATTTTTCATGATTTGGAATGAGAGTCTAGTGTTCTTTCTGTCAAACTATAGCTCTTTGTTGAAGTTCATAATCCTAATGACCCTTTTCAATGAGGATTATTTCTTCAATGAGGATTATCTCTTAATATTAAATCCACATATATCATGTTCATGTAGGATTGTACATCTTAGAATCTAATCACGATAGAGTTACCAGCAAAACAATTGTTTTTCAGTTGTCAGTTATGAGGATCGACTCCTCTGGTTACTTTAAGAATTTTTAGAATGTTCACCCTTTAATTGTTCTTTTGTAAAGGAAGTCAAAATTAAGTACCATTTTCATATTATGTTGGCACCAAATAAGTACATATTTAGTGCCAACAGAGTGGTACCATTTTCTATATAGAAACCAATTGTATTGCAACTACTAGGTACAATACATTGAAAACATACCTGTTATTTTTTCAATGTATTAAAAAAACAATTGTTATTTTATTGGGCAATTAACCTTGAGTGTAATCCACTTCAAGATCACTTCTAACTTTATTGCTAAGAGGTGAAGTCAATCAACACTGAAATATCTTGTTTCCATCAAAATTCACACATTCTAAAATTTAAGTTCAAAATAATCTAGAATGACTTCTATTGTGAAATTGTGATGATATGTCTGATGGTAACTCTTGAGGCCCATATTAATTCAGAGATTGAGCTGCACGATGCTTTGAATAGCAGTTGTAATTTGGCAAAATACCCATGCAAAGCTGGTACCTTAAGGTAGTTCTGCACTATCACAAAAATTGTAAAGATTTTGGGAAATGTCATTTCAATTCCACCAATCAAAAAAAGTTTGATTTTGAACTATGTACATGTATTCTATCATTATGTGTCAATAGCCACATTAAAATGTGAAAAATATGAACCACTTAAGAAAGTATTGTTAACTTTAATCATGAACATTTCATTACCATTCTCTATGCATACATCACCTTAAATGTGTTTTTTGCTTTCCAGCTGAGTATGCCAGTCAACTTACAAATTTTGAGATCTCACACCCCAGCAAAGTGTCTCACAATGGGGACTTCTTATCACATACCCTACATAACGTCATACCACACCGGAGTAAACGAGACACTACAGCGAACAATATTGATGAAAAGTTACATTATAAGGTTAATATAGACAATAGTGATTACCATTTAACACTTGAGCCCAATCATAGACTTCTGTCACCCGGTTTGATTATTGAGCGACGCAGGAATCGTCATGGAAACATATCTTATTCAGATTTTCGTCGACAGTCGGGACATCATTGTCACTATACAGGGACTGTCACTGGGCATTCAGACTCTATGGTTGCTATTGCAACATGCAATGGATTAGTAAGTATATCTTGATGTTTTTTTAGTAGCCAGAAGGGTAAAAGCTATAAATTGGGAAAACACTGCATTGATTTTTGTTGCAAATCTGTTTTCCCACTGGCAGATCTAGGGGGGAGGCCCAAGGGCCCAAAAGATTTTGGGCAAAAAAAGGCCTTAAGGCCCCAAAAAGTGGGCCTTTTTGGTTATTACTGGGCCTTTGAAGGCCTTATTTTCTATTTTTGGTCTAAATTTTTGAGAAAATGGGTCTCGAAATTTCAAGAATTTTTTCTCTTACTTGAAGTTTGGGCCCCCCTTGTTTCTTCCCAGATCCGCCCCTGTTTCCCCATATACCTAAAATCACTAGTTCAGAGTACTATAGTATGTTGTAAGAGTAGTGTACAAGGGTAAAGTGTAGTGGTCTAGTAGGATAGGCTACCTGTTCAGATTTACAACAGGTTAAGAGGATCTTGACTTGATTTATCATAATAACACCCTCACCTGTGTAATAGCATGTAATCACCAGGTACATACTTCAAAAGTAGGATATATACAGGAGAGTGTCTAATGTGATAAGGGATCAGGTGTAAGCCCCCCAAAATGTGAGATATACATGTAAGGGCTGTAAAATGTATAAGGCTTAGACATTTTAGGGCCTCCAATAAGCCCCTCCCCTCTGGTTTGTCTGGATGCTTTGGCTTCATTCTTCAATGCCCTTCCCCTCTAAATGCTATGAGTTCATACCCTGATTTCATTTTTTGGCCCCAAAAGTTTTGTTGGGCCTCAAATATGGGCCTTTTAGGCCAAATTATCAAAAATGGGCCTTCAATTCTCAAAATATGGGCCCAATTTTTGGTTAAAGGGGCCCAATCAAAATTTGCCCCCCCCCCTTGTTAGTTTCTGGATCTGGCAGTGGCCTTGCTGAAAATTTAAGTTCATCTCCTGCAGGAGAAACAAAACCTTACTCCTTAATGAGAATATGTATTTAACAACTTGATGTGTTTGTTCTGTCATAACATTAAAAGCACCATGATAATAGCCACTAGCCCTGAAATCAGCTTTGCTCTGGCCTATATGAGACAATCAACAGAAAATGTATGGTAAATCTAGGTTTGCTTGTATTGTATACTGTTATGGACATTTCTGACAGTTTCACTACATTACTGGCTCTATAAATATTACATTGTTTAGCATTCTTACATTTTGAGCACTACATGCCACACAGATCTGACATATCACATCACAAAAATTGTTCCATAAATGGAATGGTCCCTTAACAGTCTCGCATCAAGCCCAGTGTGCCCCTTTAACCTCTAACACTAGATAAATGGGGAAAAGATTATGGGCTGGGGGTCTCTATGCAATACTATTCCCCTGCATTGTGGAATTATCCCATATTGAGTCATTGTCTTAAAGATTTGGATCATATCATGGAATGGTCTCTTAACAGTCTTGCTTCAAACCCAGTCCGTCCCTTTAACCTCTAATACTAGATAAATGGGGAAATAATTATGGGGTGGGGGGTCTCTATGCAATAGTATTCCCCTGCATTGTGGAATTATCCCATATTGAGTCATTGTCTTAAAGATTTAGATCATATCATAGAATGGTCTCTTAACAGTCTTGGATCAAGCCCAGTGTGTCCCTTTAACCTCTAACACTAGATAAATGGGGAAATAATTATGGGGTGGGGGTCTTAATGCAATACTCTTCCCCTGCATTGTGGAATTATCCCATATTGAGTCATTGTCTCAAAGATTTGGATCATATTGTGTTTATGTGCTCTAGAAAATGTAAAACAATAACATTATGATTTCATGAAATAATATCAATAAACAACCTTACTCCAATGAATTAATCAGCCAACAAATAAACCAAACTGATCTTGATGAATCTATAATGGAAAGTGATACATGAAGTCATGAAGTACCCTGAATAGACATTCAGTCATAAAAACCCTCTGGTCACATAATTTTCCGCTGTGCCCCAATACTGTTTTTTCAGTTGGGCCATATTCCATACACCCCCAATCCGCACTTTGAAATAACAGTACCGTACGGTACATTAAGGGTATGGGGTGCTGGGTATGGTACCATTCAAGTATGATAACATAGTGTTTACTGTACCGTACGGTACTGTTATAATCTACAATACCATATTTTATGGTACGATGCAGTACCATAGCCAAAACGGTACAGTTTGAAATTTGCTGTATAGCAGTGCCAGATGGAATGATCAAATCTGCAGATCCTAAATCCTGGATTAGTGTTTAGAGGATTAGGAATTAGGATTAGGATTTGTTGAAGATTGCTTATTTAACATCCAGGGTTGCTAACCTCAGCCTCTCTATTGTTAAATACAGTTTAGAAATTAGACCCCTTGTGATGATAACAAATTAATGACTTACTGGCCACAGCTTTGGAATAAACTAACTCTTTAATAAAATTACATTTTCATTTATTTCTTCTTTTTCCTCAGAAATTAAAATAAAGGACTTCAAATAGATATTTTTGTTTTTAAGAATTTCTTTTCATACTATGCATAATTCACTCAGAATGTCTCGTTTATTCAATTTTTATTTTTATTTAATCCCAAGGAATGTATTTCTTGCACAGGAGTCTCCTTCAGCAACAGGATTCCATTATATTAAGTTTCACTTATTTTTCTAATATTAACAACATAAAAAATATTTACATTCATAACAATATCAAAAAATGAGTTATGTACAAAATTTCCATGTTTATTTTGGGGAGAATACATGAATTTCACTTTCAAATGAACTAATTAATCAATTGAGGAGATGAGTAGATAGTAATCTGATTTAAGTAGAGTGATGATGACAGAGGCAGACAGGATAATGAGTTTAATTCAAATTTTGTTTAAATTGAAGTTTCAAGTGAGTTAGTGTTGAGTTATATCCGCATCAACTTAGGCAATTTGTTGTTTTGTTTGCCAAACTTTAATTATTTTGATTTAGCAAAGTGGTTCTAACCTTTTCAACTTTCCTCTATATCCCAGTGGGGATTACATTTGAAATAATTTTGGGAACGGTCACAAATGTGATGAAATCATTTCATCATAGTCTTTAGAGCCTTGTGACCCCCCAAAGTAGATATGGGGCCAGGGTCCAAAGACTTAATGCAAGGCAATTCTCAAAATATTTTTTGCTGATATGATGAGATAAAACCATGGAATAGTAAGAAAAATTGTATGAAATATGTCTTTCCCATGATAGATAGGCAAGGGTTCTTCTGGAAGAATACCTGAAATATTCTTGAAGTTGGGCCTAACACTTTTTTGCCCCCCCCCCTCTTGATTTCCAGCAGCACCCCTGTTGCATGACCTCACCTAAATACAAACACATCTATGTAACATGAAGGGGGGGGGGGTAGCTATCTATGAATTCTGTGATAAGATCCTCATGCCCATTTTTAAAATTTAGACCCAAATAATGAGCACTGTGTACATATTGCCTACTTATTCACCAATTCTGTTTCTTGTTTAAGTGCTTAGAAATAACACCTAGAATTTGTACTGTCTGGTGGTGTTAAAACACTTTAAACATTCTTAACTAGTTTGCTACCCTCAACTGGTAGTGCATTTTATACTTTTATTTGCCATCTAAGAGAGCATGTTGCTCTCACATAAAGAATTAACAACCCCATTCCCTGTTACGGTGATTTATCTGTGGCAAGTTAAATCAAACATGCATGGTTTTTTTAGGTTTGCCAATATTTCATACAATTTGGTGATTTATGTAAAAAAAATTTCACAAATTACATTCAATTTTTGGAATTCATTGATCTTTGTTTGAAAATGTTACATTAGTGTTGTATACATTTCAATTTTAGATTATTCTGCAAATGATATCCAGATAGAAGTATCACATGCATTCACCAGATCTCATGATACCATTAGTATTTAAAAATCTGTGTTGACAAATATGTGCAGTCCCATACCAGTGCTATATAATACCACCTAGCAAACCCACAGTATCATGAGGTCTAGTTGGTACCCGTGAATAAACTGAACGGAACTAAACTCAAAGAGCGTTTCACCAATGTAGATTAGAGATGGACCGAGATTGTTTCGAAACTTATTATCTCTAACTGCAATAGAAATGTGGTTGTTAAAAATTGATGGCTAAATGAGAGTTTCGAGATCAGGGTCAAGCATTTCCAGATTCGCTCCATCACTAAACAATCACCTCCTGATAAAGATCAACCCCTACAGCTAATAGGATAAAATATTAAAAATGCCGCAACTTGAAAACGTCCATAAACCACTTTGTTATATCAGATACTATGCACTGGAAATGTTCATGTTCATATAAAATTTATCATTGTCAAATTGCACATGGAAATTCACAATTAATCTGAGCATGCATTTTTTCAAAAATCATAATTTTAGAGTCTTTTAGTCAGCAGCTTTTTAGTTTTAATTCAATTAGACATACAAATCAATACATATGATTATAGTAGATAGGGGGTGGGTGCAGTTACAGAATGGTACATACTACATACATTTATAAAGGACTTCAGTTCATTCTAAATAATTGATATTAATTCAGACAAGGGGGTCAGACAGGGAATCTAATTTTCTATTCATCAAAATCATTTAATTTTTAATCCTAGGAAGAACCTTGATGCACTATTCCCATATCCAAGTACTTTGGAAAATAGCCACTGTGAGGTGGTTTGAAATTAAACCCTCACATACTTGTTCTTGTTCCAAGGATGTAGGAATGAGGAAAGAATGCCAGGGATACTGTGAGATACTGACTCTCTATTGTAAATTCTAGGAATGTTGCTATACATCTTAGGGATTTTCTCACAACAGTTTATTTATATTAATCGGCACAGGTTTTAATGTGCCAAAGTATCCCAAAAATTAATTGGTCTGAGTTTTTGTGTGCCAAATATTGATATCCAGTCATAAAAAGAAGAATTTCTAAGTTCAAATTCCTAATTTGAAATGGATTATTAAATCTTGTTAAAATAGTTGATATGTTAATCATAAAAAGAAGAATTTCTAAGTTGTTCAAATTCCTAATTTGAAATGGATTATTAAATCTTGTTAAAATAGTTGATATGTTCACTGATACACATACCCTTTCCCAGAGCTCATTTTCAATAAGCAATAACTCTTCATCTTGCTTTAAAGGTACATCAATAAAAGAAAAAGTGTGAAATCAGAAAATGTTGATATTATCTTTTCTGCATATAGGCTATCTGACATTTATTTTACTTTCCAATATATAAAAAATCAATGTTTGAGATTATTTAGATCTTTGACTAAAAGTCAGAGGGAAATGAGGCTATCAAAGGGTAACAACAATGTACACTATGTTACCTGCTTTCACCTTTTGACTTTATGGCATCTCTACTGGTCAGTTGTTTGGTAAATGATGGTTTAGATATTCTCCACTGAAAGGAGTTGTCAAAATGACAACAGTTGCTATAGCAATGAAATATGGTTGTTATGGTAACTGATTGTAAGTCATTGTAACCTCATTTGTAGAGGGGCAACTGTTGTTTATGGAAATTTAATGAATAAAGAAAATACAATCAACTATATACTTAGTCCAGTCAAACAAACCAGTAAATCAGGCATTCTGGAAATTTTTAGGGAATTTGGAAACATCGGAAAATAGTGTTTTCCTAAAATGCATCTATAAAGCCTACTTTCTCAAGAAAAATACTAGCACAATGTAAATCATCTTACTGAAAGCAGGGAGTTTTGTATGCCAATACACCTTTTCTAAACAAATGAGATCTTTTTGGCATATAACCATATCATATAGAAGATATTGGCATGTTACCATGACAACATGTGGACCCATTACATTTCTTTTATTAATTTGTTTCTTTCCAGACTGGTTTAATCCGAACTAAGAAAGGCGAGTTTTTTATCGAGCCAGTAAAAGGTCACAACACTTCATCTAATGATCCCCACCCCCATCTTATATACCGTAGATCTGCTGTACCCCTTGAACTCGGTGGTCATACTGAATCTGATCGTCATCACCATGGCAACCATAAACATGAGCGTGAAACAGCCACTTGTGGAGTTACAGGTAAGTTTCAATGTTAATATCGTTTTACCATTATCACATCTTTACCATTATCACATCTTTACCATTATCACATCTGTAGGAGTATAGGTTAGAAGAGACTGCTCCTCCAGGAGACAATGGAACATGTTATGTTACTGTTGATATGACATACCTTTATTGTAGCTTAATGAAGCAATGTAGAAACAATAAAACAAATAAATGTATTCATATCTGTAATCAAAAAATCAAGAACAAATTGAGATGTTTTCCCTTTTACTTTGCCATTTTGTTGTTCTTTATCATGATGTGTTCTCTTATGTATTATCCGTCTCATCTACAGCTTCCTCTTGATGTTTTGTGTCAGTTTCATTGCTCAGTAGGGGAGTAGGTATGATACCTGTAACAGCTGATATGATCATTTCTTCACAATAAAATTATTTATATTGCATAGAAGACAACAACCATGAAACTATGAACTTGTTTTTTAAGTATGGAGTAATGGAGGATGATATTTTTGTGTTACTGGGTTAAGTCTGGTTATGAATTTGCGAGAGCTGAAGCATTTCCAAGATGAGTGGATTCTCATTTAGGGACATTGGGAAATATGTTATTATTTTGGTTCTTCTATTGTGGCTTATCATTCATCCTTACCAGTCAACAAACAAACAAACAAGCAAAACACAGACAATCAATCAATCAAATCAATGGATCAGCATGGCATAGAAAAAACCTGCTTCAGAAGCTATCTTATAACAAAATAAATTTCATTTTGGAGTTCTTAAGACAAATATATGTTCCCTTGCACATGCAGTAAAATCTGAATGGTACCATTAATAATTCTCAGACACAATATTGTAGGCGGCATCTCCCAAGGCAAAACATGAGTGTATCCTATCCTTAAGTAAGGTTGGAGAATGTTAACATATTCAATGGTCTGTATACATAATTATTGCCAATTACTCAAAGCAGAACCCTGAGTGCCAGTCAAGTAGCTACATTTTCCTCTGAGGAACTATTACTATTAACAATAGTCTCAATGAGCTCAAATGTATTCTTTTATGGCTGTTTGAATGTGTAACATATTGTTACATATATAAAACCTGTATATAGTGAACATTTTTTTGCCAAGAAAAAACATCGAGTGTTGGTAGGTGTTCACTGCAGAGAGGGTAATTTATACGGAAGTAAGTAGAGTATGTATGGAGGAAGGGTGTCTACTAGAGACATGTAATCACTAAAGAGAGGAGTCACTAAGACAATATGCCGAAAAATATAATGTCATGATTTCTAACTACATGAACATGTCCTTATTGGATAAAGTCTAGATTAAAGAATTATCTCTAATCTTAAGAGGGAAGATAAAGATGTGTTTTTTCAAAGGGTAGTCTTGTAGATAATGAAACTTTCTCTATGGTACCATTTAAGTAAACAAATGTAAAAGTGTGCCTCAGTGCAAGATATAAAATGCCAATAAATATATTTCTAAAAAGCATTCTATTTTTGGGAATTCCGAGGCTTACATTACTTTCCAATGGTGTATTGTGCATTAAGTCTCTTACAAACAAACAAAAAATGTTTATAGAATACTTCAAAATGCAACTTAATATGAATAATCAAATCAAACGTCATCTTCTTGTCAATTCTGAAATCCTAAGAATGTTTTCAATGAAAATAGAATGAGATATTTTTATTTTTTGTCATTTTTCATTCCAAGCTCAGTTAGATATTGTACTCATATAGGTAGGGTGATTCCCAAAAACAGTGTTACTAATTACCACTGTCAGTTGAGTCAGTCTAATTGTTCATTAACAAATATTTTATATTCTTAATGGTGAGTAGCACCCTCAAGACAAGGATGTGCTTTAATAAACCATTTACGTTGTATAGCGTTCAACAATATCCGCATTAACAGGATTCAGGGAGTTTATTTTTCCTTTGAAGAACTTAGACACATTGTGTTTGAATTCATGGGGCACTTTTGACTTGTCTCGGTTATATGGTATGATGAATCAATTTTTAGTTGAAAAATGTTTTAATATTTATTACATATATTATTACATACGTATGTTGTTCAGTTTATTTATTCTATTTAATAAGCCATTCGGCAGAACTGGAGATATATCAACTAAAAAAAGATATCCATAAATGTAAAAATGTATCCATAAATCAATTATTACATAATTTGTGATGGCTATAGAGTATTTGTGAATATCACCTGGTCTTTCCACCTGTTAATTGGTGTTATAATTCTAAACATTAATATGTTTCTATAAAGAATGAGAAAATTCAACGAAACAAAAGTTAAAAGTTGCATAATTATTAATGAACATGATGTTTTTGAAATTAGCAATTGCAAAAAGATAAAAATAAAGAAAATAAAGCAAGAAATCTCTGAAGAAAAGTCAGATTGTTTTATAGAAAAATTGTAAGGGATGTTGGTGAAGAAGTGCAAACCAATAGCCGCAACTGGAATAACTAATAACTTCCAGTCAAAATAAAAATAAATGTTTTCTCAGGCTGCAAAGATCTTCTTGATGATAATTGTTCTTGTTTAGCTTAACCTTATCATAATTTGTTAGTCGATCTTTGTTAGTTGTTATAATTTGTTAGTTGTTATAATTTGTTAGTTGAGCTTGATTGAAATCTGAATCAGTCAGTCAATCAACCATCTTATATCAGTCAATCAGTTGTTTGTCTATTTGTTTGTCTGTTGAGTTGATTGGTCATCTTCTAGACAGGAAAACAAATGCTTATTTGCAAGGTTGTACCTCATCATTTTTCAGAAGATATGAATTGAATAACATTTTATTACCACTTTAATAGCTCCTGCATTTTACCCTTTCGAAAAAAGAGATCATTTAAAACCAAGCAGACATTTTTGTAAGATTTTGATACAATGGGGTAAGTAGATGTAAACATGTTTTATTTTTATTTTGCCTTGGAAGGCTTTTCTGTACAATCCATATGCTCTGTCCAGCAAATGTATACAAACAAGGCCATACATATGGCTGGCACCTTATTGACCAAATCTGAACCTGTTAAAGGTTATAATCATCTTAGTTTATGATGCAAAAGACTTAAAATACAGATTGGGGAGCGAATTGTTACACCCATTCCTTGTAAGGCTATGTAACTAACTAGGCTCTTATCACTGACAATAGCTCTCATACAGTAGCTGTGGAACACATGTTAAGTTAAATTAGTTTAACTTTTGCAGTCAAAACATTTATAAGAGGCATTATTGAACACTTAAAGATAAGACAGGAAGAAAATTGGAAAACATCTGTGGTGTACAGACGGAGCAGGGGAATCCCTGGGAAATCAAGAAAACAACATCCATGCAATAAACTATAGAATGAATCCATAAAGCATGAGTAAGATATGAAAAAATACATTTCAAATATAAACCCCACCATTACAGAGATTTATCACACACTGTCACACTCATAACAGTGAAAAGGAAACTACAATATACAGGGTGTCTATAACGTCTCTTTATAATTACAATCCAAAGCCTGTGTAACGTGTTAAGAGACTTTATGGACTGTACATTCATGGATATCTCAACGACAATCTATCTCAACTAACAGGGTAATTCATAAAAAAAATCATAAAAAGAGAATTTCTATCTTCATCCAATTAAAAAAAAATGTAAATAAACTGTATATTAGTATTTACATAATTACATAACATGATCAATTTACAAAAGTACTTCAAGATAGCTGCTATTACTGAAGCAAAGATTAATATACCAACATGAAATGTGCTGTTATGTAAGCAGCCTGTTCTTCACATGCTAATTATAATTAATTAACCTGTCTAGTGTTCTATAACCCAGTGGTCAGAGTTGAGATGATTGGAGATGAAGATTTCTTTAAAAAAGGAAAATGAAAGCATTGGAAAAATTAACATTCCTGACACCATAGTCTATAATGTCTGCTGGATTTTAGGAGTTTTAACTCTTTAAAGATGGTCTCTTTTGAAAATTGATAAATGTGTATTCATAGTGTTTTGCATATTAGCACATTGAGCACAATAAGGGCTAGACTTATTGCTTTAAAATGGTTTATTTGGGCATTATTGAAGATTTTTTTGTTAAATGTATCTTGTGATCTTTGTAACAATAGTGAGGTGCTCACTCAGAAAAGGGTTAACAAGCACTCTTATATATATATAATATACACTATAAAAACAAGCCGCTAGACACCCTAGTGGGTATATGTTGCGGTTTAACAGAAATCATTAAAATGACAACTAGACTACATATAAAAGAAAACACTTATATTATGTTACATGTAGGTATATAAAAATGGTATTAACAGTTAATCAAAGGATGTACAGTGTAAAAATGTTACAAAAATCGGGTACCAGTATAAAATCAACAGTATAGTATGATATTGGTATTATACATTATCGATAGATGAGTAGTTTTTTATATGAAGATTTGAAAATATTTAGAGTGGAGCATTTTTTAACATCATGTGGTAGAGCATTCCAAAGATTAGGACCCAGATAGCGAAGGGAAAGTTTAGAGCATTTAGGGATATGAAAATGATGCAATTGTCTTGTGTAATGATGATGAATATTAATGTTGATATCAAACAAGTCTTGAAATAGATTTTTTGGAAGACTGGGGTGCTTATTAAAGATTTTGTACATGAACTGACCAGTACAATATCTGTTGACATCAAAAATATTTAATATTCTAAGATCTTCAAATAGGGGAGCGGAGTGAGAAAGTCTATCCTTATTTAAAGCTAGCCTTAAGAATTGTTTCTGCAGTTTATGTAGACGATCATAAAATGATTTAAATGTGTTACCCCAGATTATGTTGCAATAATTTAATTGAGAGTGTATCAATGAGTAGTAAATTGTTTTGAAACTGTCTATTTGAAGTAGATGTTTAATGTGATAAAGAGAACCAATGACGCGAGAAATCTTTGTTTCAACAGATTTTATGTGTTCTTTAAATTTCAAGTTTTTATCAATAATAATTCCAAGAAAGTCAATTTTTTCCCGGAAATTTATGTTCTCATTGCGTATTTTAAGATTCAGATTTGTTTGATTTTTTTGGGGTCCAAATAGAATAGCATTGGTTTTGCCAATATTAAGTGAAAGTTTGTTTGCTTTTATCCAGTCATCTATTGAATTCAAGTTTGCATTAGTTCTAGTCATAAGTTCATTTAAATCATAATCACTATCAAGAAGATTGGTGTCATCAGCAAACATAATAAATTTTAGATTAGGGGCAACAAAAGGCAGATCATTTATGTAAAGAATAAATAATAGTGGTCCAAGTACCGAGCCCTGCGGAACACCACAATTTAGAGATGATTGTTTAGATTCATAATTGTTAATGGTGACATATTGTTTGCGGTCTTTTAAATAACTTTCAAACCAGGACTTAGCAATTCCTCTGATGCCATAATATTCAAGTTTTTGTATCAAAATGTCATGATTAATTGTGTCAAAGGCCTTGGAAAAATCTAATGTTATGCCAATGCTCGTTTTCCCCAAATCAGTTGATTTTCGAATTTGTTCAATGAAATATAAAATGGCCATATAGGTAGAGTTGAATTTCTGAAATCCAAATTGATAAGTAAAAATAATTTCAAAACGTTCTAAAAAACCAGTGAGTTTGGCGTGCATGAGCTTTTCTAACAATTTAGAAAATACAGATAAAACTGAAATTGGTCTATAGTTCGAAGGATTTGTAGTGACACCTTTTTTAAATACAGGTGTTACTTTGGCCAATTTGAGGGCGTCTGGGAAAATACCAGATTTAAAAGATAAGTTAAATATATACAAGAGTGGATCAATTAAAAACTGTCTTGCAGACTTAATAAGTGATGGTAGAATCCCATCAGGTCCAGGCGAGGAAGATTTTAGAAGACACAATTCAAGCTCAGTTTTTGAGGTCTTTTTGAGATAAATAGATGATTGAACTTTTTGAGCTCTTGCTAGGTATTCATTAAAGCATTTTTTGGATTTTGGAATCTCCTTGGCTAGATTTTTACCAATATTGGTAAAAAAATTATTAAATCCATTGGAAATGATTTCATGATCTGTTGTTTCCTTTCCATTTATAGTGAATTTAGATGGCAATGCAGCTTTTTTGTTTTTTCCAAGTAGTTCATTAATGATAGACCAAGACTTTTTAATGTTACCACTTACTTCGGCAAACTTATTTTGATAATGTGTACGTTTTGAGTATTTAATTATGTGCTTAAGTTTATGGTTGAAGGACTTGTAAGCTTTTCCTGTTTTGCAACAGGGATTTTTCAAATATTTGGTATATAGCTTATTTTTAGTTTTGGCAGAAGTTAAGATGCCAGAAGTCAACCAGGGTCTATTAGGATCATGATTAACCTTGATAAATATATCTTCCATATATATTCCATATAATGTTGGAATTTGGTTTATTAAGAATGCTGAGTGTTCCTTTTTGCTTATTGTGTCATCAACAAATGGTGCATATTAATTTTATATTGTATATCTATTTTTTGGGGTATGTCCATTTGATTGTCTTTGATTGATTGAAATGCATATAATGGCCTTATAAATACCAGGCAGTAATTGTTCTTTTTTTAATACAAATTCCTGCACTTGATGTCCAAATGACAAAAAAAGTATAAAATATGCAGTGCTTGTCAAAAGTCTCAAGAGCAGAACTTGGTACCTTAGGGCTCATTTCAGAATCCAAATTGTCTTTTTAGATTCCAGATCTTTCAAGCGTCTGACAATTGAAACTCAGCAGAAAATTAGTAGCAATTTACCAGCAAGTAAAGAAGTATGTGTAATTTATAAAAATGGGGCAATACCAAAAATACAACTTTGAAATCTAGGGGCTGCCAGATATCATCCTTGTTTAGTCAGCCTCCTATGTTATATGTAACAAAGCTTGTTTATGCAAAGGGCACCATGCAAAGATGCACACTACATATCATAAAAGGATGAGTGAAGTTAAACTGGTGAAAAAAGATGGTTCCTTATTCTCTACTGACCTTGCATTATACGGACAGGATAGATTCAATTAATGCAATTAAGATATTTGGCACCATAGTCTACATATTATGGAATAGCTCAAAATAGACGAGACAAAATTCCATAAATTCACAGTCTGGGAAATATGGTACTTTTGAAAAGGTGTCTTCATCACCAACTTGACACTAAACTCTTAGCCGGTAGATAAGTTGCTTAAAATAATCTGGTATGTATATTTTTGGTGGGCTATACACTTGTATGTATATTTTCGTTGGGTTATCCAACAGATTCAAGTGTCCATCTACTTAGAGGCTCATCAACATTCTATTTATGTTATACTCCACCATTGAGCTGGTGCCATTGTAGAATCTCCACTCAGAACAATCCAACAATCATAGACTTGACATTGCTTTTGAGAGCTTTGCTGAGATAGGGAGAAAGAGTTTTGAAGGTGTGTTTGAGAGTAAAAACAAAAAATAACCCTTAACTTTTTTATTTCTGTATGTTTCAAATGTGTCCCATTGAGTATACTAATTGCCTACATTTTCTATTTAATTGAGACCATTTTTATTTTACCCGTAGTGTCACTTCTACTGAAAGTCAGTCAAAAATACCAACCATATTTGGTACATAACTCTGGAGTGTTCCCATGACAATAAACACACAACGAGAACAATTACAGAACAATTAACAATACACTATTGCAGTGCCTCGTGGCTTGATGCTGTTAGGACTCTGACATAGTCCAGGTCTGTTCAATCTGGGGGCCTTCTCACTCCACATTCAAGATAACCCGGAGCACTGAAAATAAGTCATGTTTCATATCACTACATCTGTTGGCACCTTATTCATGATTGGCAGGTGATGTTTTTGACATTTGGAACATTTAAACAATACAGTACAATATAATACAAGACAATTTATAAAAATTATGATACAATAAAGTAAAACACAATACAATACAATACAATAGCATATTATACAATACATAACAAAACAATATAGCATGACATTATAAAATAAATACAGAATAATATGGCCATCATATGATCTGTAGCTACCATACCATACCATATTCATACCATACCATACATAGCAGATCTCTGTCCCATGTCGTATAAAGCAATACAATACAATATCAAAAAATGTTGCAACTTTGTTTTTCAGAAAATGCTGAAGATACAGTGGAGAAACAAAGAGAAAGATGGGAAAATCATGTTAGGCCGTCCAAGACAAAGGAACATAAACGTCGCTCAAAACGCTCAATTAGTCAAGAAAATAATGTAGAAACCTTGGTAGTTATTGATACGAAAATGGTGGAATACTACAAGAATGATGACATAGAAGTTTATATTTTAACAATCTTAAACATGGTAAGTGTGTATTATGTTAAAATATTTTTTCTACAAGATGTTTTGTATAATATGCCATGCTTTTAGGAAACTGAGAAGTTACAAACATTGATATGAAATTAGGTTCATTTTATCTATTGTATATTTGTCTTGTTGATAACAATTTGTGAAAATGTGTTTTTGATGGTTGACATCGTGACAACCAGTCCAAAGTTGTCCACAAGGGACCTTCTCTTCAACACAGAAGCACCTGCCAATTGCCCTCTCATCCATAACAAATGCCCTTTAATTTACAATACTATACTTTCACTTTCTTGATGTTTGACTTATTACTTTGGGAAACATTTTCATAGTTTATTTTAAAGCGATGAAGATTCACAAAATTAATTGATTTTCATGGCACGGGAAGGGGGTCAGGGGTTGTGACTCTGCCTTTTCGCCACCTGTTTGTAAACCTCCTATGACGTACATTACACTTGTCTAACTAAAGTGCATTCTAAACAATTCTAAACACATTGTCTACTTAGCCTACCACCTACCAGCAGTTACATAGTATTTCTTCAGAAATATTTTGGGAGGCAGATTTTTCCATCACTATTTTATGTGATCTGTGAAACTGGCCAGGTGGCTGGAATAAACAGATAGGCGATAATCCAGTTTTTGAGTAATTAAATCAAAGATAATCTCTGTTGTAATACTGATTAAAAGGTTATATATTTCCTTGAATCGGGGATTAAGTTTCAGGAAATAGTCCGAATAAAGTATCCCTTGGGGCGATCGAGTTTCTTCACAGGTGGGGATATATACTAATAAATGTAAAACTTATCAAAAATATTTATTTCATTTGCATTTTATGTTTTGGATGATTGGGAATGTAAATTATTTGTTAACTAGTTTGTATCATTGGCAACTGGTTTGTTTCAGTGTTAACAGATAAATTACATTTTACGACTGTTTTATTCCTGATTAATTTCAGGATTCCTAGTTAGATTGCATTTTCAAAATTGATAGGATTGCTCACTTAAGTATGCTTATTTTGAATGGAAGTTCCTGACTTTAAGATCAAATCCTCAAGCAAAAAAAGTTCCCAGCAAAGGTAGATTGTTTGAGATGTTTGTCCTGTGGTATTATAAGTACGATTGATAGTTCCATATCTTTGAATAAGTCAGCAAAATAAAGGTGCTTTACCCATGCTTGAAGCACAACCTGTAAAATGATGGATCCTAGTTAAGGCTAGTCCATAATTGCTCTCTGATTGATTGACTGTCACACATGTGACATAATGGTGCTCTCTTATTGGTTGAATGTCACACATGTAACACAATCATGCTCTCTGATTGGTTGAATGCCAGACATGTGACATAATGGTGCTCTCTGATTGTTTGAATGTGATACTGTAAAATCAGAGGCTAGTTTACCTTACCTGACTTCCTAAACAAAAGTAAAAATGACCAGTTTATAACCCTGAGTACTTCTCCAGAGATGGCTTTTATTGTATCTAAAACTGTATTCCTTATGTACAAACACAGACAAACAAATATGTGATAAACAAAGATTATGTAGTTAGTAAATATTAATGTATTTATTTATTTTTTAGAAACTACTACATTGTATCTTATGCTATATGGGCAATGATTTAGCCTATGTGACAAATTATTGATCGACGGTCATTTGATATAATTATATGTGCAATACTTTTAATATACATGTATGAAACGTCTCTCATAAGCCGCACTGGCTGGGGCAGTGTTTTTATTATGACATTTTAGTACTACTAGTATCTGTAAAATAAATCTGCTGTGAGACGAAAAATAAAAAAAAAATATAAAACTAACCAAGACATCAGGGTAATTTTATTGATACTGTTTGTATTGTACAGGTGTCCAGTATGTACCATGACAAGAGCCTTGGGAATGCAGTGAACATTGTCCTTGTGAAGCTGATATACTTAGAGGAACCAGAGGTAAGAGTTCTTCCATTTTGGTATTGTGTGGCAGGGGGGGGGGTTCTTTATAGGGGTTGGGAATTGGATGCAAGAATGTAATAATGACTAGAATGGAACAGCTGATTTGTAATCATTGAAAGAAATGCAAAAGCCAAAAAGTCCATCAATCTTTTATTCTCGATTTGAACTTGCCACACTAGGAGAGTTCACCAAATTTGTTTTGCTTGGCTAATTAGCAGCTGAGATAAGTAGTGAGAGGGAAGATATGCGATATCTATTATGTGATTAATACAACAATACCTTAACTAGGTCTGGCATGCTTCCCCTGTCTTTATACAATGCATTGCTTAGCTGCAGAAACAAACTGGTCAGTAACTTAAATACAGAAAAATATTTGGGAACTTTTGGTTTCTTCAAAAATTACCAGAATGAAACATTAGGTAATAATGTTATCGATACCTCAAGGCTTTTGCTTTAGTGTATCTTTACCCAAATGCTGTTTAAACCATTGGTCCCATATTATACAGTATAACTCATTTTACTTGAGTGTATTACATGGAAAGAGATTTTCCAAGGGGGGGGGGGTCACTTTGGCAAATTTGGCCAAAAATCACTCAAAAAATAGTCAGAATGGTGAAAAACTGCATGATTTTGAAAGAAATTTTGGCCAGGGGGGTTTGCCCGAAACCCCCACGAAGGGATATCCATGTTGAAGCTTCTGTTACAATGTGCTTTAGTAGAATGAGATGTTCCAAAGACAATAGGAATACCATGCCACACTGCTGACTATCTCCATGTGATTAATAACACACTTTTGGTACAGACTCATTAATTCTCCCTCCACGAATGAGATATGTCACATCTGAACTTATGCTACCAAGATTGCACCACGTAGGTCTGTCTGTGATTTGACTATATGGAGTAAATTACGCAAACATAATTTCAAGACAGTTTGAATAAAATACAGTGAAACCTTTAAAGAAATACCTCTTTAAATGGAACACCTCTGTCAGTGAAACATTTCAGAATCCCCAGACCAACTAACTTAATGTTAAAATGAACCTCTGTATAAGAGGAACACCTCCCATGTTAGAGGTAGCAAAGTTGTTCCACTTAGATAGGTTTCACTATACTATAGTAATTTTAGTAAAAGGCACAAAGGGCACAAGCATCATGGAATTGAATAGATCATAAATTAAATGTATATACACACATTTTATGACAACGACATCATCCAAAACAAAATCATATTTGTCCCTGTGTAACACCCTAAACAATAACATTAATTGTGAAAAGATAAAGACACATATTGTATATCATAATTATCTTGTAAAATATGTGTCTGATAAAGATATGACACGCTTATATAGCTACATGATATCAGGTAAAGTGATGTCTCCAAACTATGGCAGTCTACATGAAATATGACAGCTAGTTTATAGTTTATATGAAATATAACATGTAATCCATCTACAAGTACATGATACTTTTTGCATGTCCCATTCAATAAGGTATTTTGCTAATACAATATAACATTCTCTTTCAGTCACACTCATTAGGATATTTTGTCACTATACCAATAGTATTTTTATAACACACAATTGTCTGTGATTTCACATTCAATGAGAAACGTTGTCATATATAATATAGTCTTTTTTATCACATACAATACATACAATAGTCCGTTTCAGACATAAGACATTTTGTCACACATAGTCCATAGTAACTGTTCCAATAAACATTAAAATATTTTGTCACCTACAATAGGAACTGTTTTCTTGTACGTTCAGATATTTTGTCATATACTCTTCTCTGTCACACACTATTGAAAAATATAACAAATACAACGAATAATTAAAAACAAATCAAACATCTTTCATATTCCTACACAATGGGGGAAATAATATTTCCACTTTTATGAATTTTTCTTTTATATCTAGGTGACTTTTTTTAAAAACTTTTGTTTAAAACATATACATTCCCTTTTATTTCAACTGTCTATGCAATAATATAGCATTCATTTTTGTTTTTAATGAATGTTTGAAAGCCTATTATCACTTTCAAAAGTGTTTTGCCCAAATATATGTCGCGACACAAACTGTTTTGCATTCTTATATTGCCAAGCAATTCAGTTAGTTTAGTCTTAAACTAGTAAAGGTGTAGCGAGTCATGATCGACCCCTTTTTGAAAATACAATTGGCGAATAATTTTCTGTTCCATATCGAAGTATATGTAGAACTATTTGTCTTTGTTTAGATTTGAGTAGTATTTTCTCTGTAGCAGCCATGTACTTATATAACAAGTGTGTATTTGTATGAATAGCAGCTATATTTATGATTTGTTGAAAAATAATATTTTCGGGTTTAGTGTATACATGCAAAATATTCCATAAATTGGTGAATTTTTCACAGCAATTAACCCGTCTCAAGTAGAGTAGGAGCCGGCTAGCCTCATCCCCGTATACTAGCAACGAGTCGCGACTTTTTGACTTTTTTCACTGATAAAACTGACCAGAAATGTTAAGCGAGTGTTTGTTTTGTTTTCTGATAAGACTTTGATGGTCAACTGTTATCATAGTAATGATTTGATTCATTTTGACCGAATATAATAATTTATCGGTCATTACTTCACTATAAAATCCACATTGCCTTCACATATCTGAAACATTGACCTGCTAGAAAATATGCAGTTTATGAAAATGCATCAAGGCATGGTCTTTCAAGATGCAGATTTTTGTCCAAATTATTATGGCCAATACATGGAATTAGCATCAATTTTTAAATGATACTTATATGATTATCTGCATTCAAAAACTAAATTACAATAGGCAACATTAGAATAAATGATCCAAACCTCTGGAAACCATATCTATTATATATAAAAACAACATATTTTTCGTTTTAACCCAGGAACATCCGGAATGTTGTTGAAGCACACAGTTAAAGTAATGTACAATGAACTTAGTATAGAAATGTTTATATTGGAACTTGCCTAGAAAGTTAATTAAAAAAACAACCCAACAACAAGATGTTGCTTGGCCTTGTTTGACCAAGACTTGAAAAACATGCTTCTTTTTCTATTCTAGACTTGGGAGAGAGGGATAGCTAGATTGTATGTTATGCCTTTGAGCATGACCTGTTGTTATTTGAACTACAATGTAAAGTTAAATCATTTTGACAAAATGAACAACGCTGATTATTCATTATTAATGAAAATATAATAACTCTTTCAGGATGAGCTTCCAATCACGCATCATGCTGACAACACATTGAACCATTTCTGTAAATGGCAGAATAAGATTAATCCACGTCATGAAAGTCACCCGAACCACCATGACGTCGCTGTCCTCCTCACAAGGTAGGTTTGGCTTATGATCTGTATTTCTTCTCTCATTTAAAAAAGTAGTATATGCTATTACTTCTGATGTTTTTGTGATGACCTTTACTTTTCATGTCTCTCTCTCTGATCTTTCCCATTCTCTTGTGTATTCATATCATTCATTTCTTCATTGATTTATTGTTCTTTGTAATGAGCATTTTCTCTTAATGATAATGAATCCACATACCTTTTTTCATGACTCCATACTTTTCTAAATCGTTCATTACTTGTGATCCTCCCTATTTCAAGCCATTTTTCAATCTTTATACATTTAAATCTTTGGGGCCCACTCTTTGGGCCACTTTCCTTTTTTCTACACATGATTTATGTAAATGCCTATTGTTTCTTTCATCGAATCTTTTTCCTATCCTAGACTAGATACCTTTTCTGGAGTTAGGTAAGGTGTAATATACATGTAGTTCATGTATTATACTACATGTAGTATGTACATGTTTCATCTCTAATATGTTTAACATACTTTGATTTTCCACTATCATACATGTATGTGTTCACAAATACTCACTTTTATAATATATATTTATACAAAATAAATATGTATTAAAATTATTAATAATGGAAATATAATTTGTGTTTTAATCAATGAGATGTAAAATGAATTAACATTTTAATTACAATAAAATTGTTTAACATTTGTGAGAATTTAACCGACCTTATTCACCATTAACTCACATGGCAATGACCAGCTTGGAATATTATTTAACTAATTAACTCATTTTATTTATGTATTTATATTATTTATTAGTTTTATTAAAACTATTGCTTTTCCTAGAATTTGTAAAGGATTCATATAAAATATACACGAATTGAAATAAAGCTGATTTTTGTCTGGCAAAACAATATTACGGAAAAACTATTTTTCTGGAAAAATCTATTATCAAAAAATCACATTAATGATTAAGTAAACTGCACATTTAATGTGTACAGTAAAATATAAATATAGTGAATATTCCTGGGAAAGCCTAGTATTATTCACAGAAATGTTAATATTTTTCTATTATTGTAGGTATAACATCTGTTCACGCTTGAATGAACCATGCAGTACCCTCGGACTTGCACATGTTTCTGGAATGTGTCAGCCCCATAGAATGTGCAACATCAATGAAGACACTGGACTGGCATTGTCATACACTATAGCGCATGAACTTGGTCACAAGTAAGTCGAGGAGAAATACTATCCTAAAATTCATTCTGAAAAGGTTATTGTCTTGCAATAGTTATCATGTGCCACATTTAAAGGTACCATGTAAATTTTAAATCAATATGGCATTTGTATTACAAAGATCTTATACATGAAACCTTTCTTTTTAAATTCAAAAACTCTATTTTGAAAAGGTTTTACTTAGGTTCAAAAACTTATTTTTCAAAATAATTCTGAAATAGCTTTCAAAGGCGTGATAAGAAAACTTTATTTTCAAACTTTGCATGTAACCTTTGATAACAATATGTCATTGTTCATTGATTCAAAATATTTTACAAACTTTTATTTTGAATAATTAGAGATTTAGGATTTACAAATGTCTCATTATTGTTTTAAGCTTTGGAATGAAGCATGATGGCGCACACAATGGCTGTCAAGCCAAGCAAGGGGACCGTCAACACGTCATGGCACCCCAGTTGATTGGTGATAATGAACCCCTTATATGGTCAAACTGTAGCCGCAAAGCTATCACTACATTTCTAGAGTGAGTACAGTACATGTTAACTATCTAATTACTAGTAGTTTTCAATGTAAAGCAATTAATATTTGTAGCTTAAGTGCATTCCTTAACTTTTTGGTGTAGTATAAATTTTTGAGTAACTTTCTGTTCTCTCATATAAAGAGATTTGATTTTGGAATTGTTTAGCATCTTATCAACGAAGATCTTAAGGCATTATCTGAACATGTGACTCTGTTACAGTCGAGATTGGGGTTTCTGCCTTCAAGATGAGCCAAGTGATCATGACTTTAACTACCCTGTCCTCCCTGCAGGGGCCCTGTACACTGTTGACCACCAGTGCCAGTTACAGTATGGGCCTAGCGCAGAGTATTGCGAAGGAATTGACGTAAGTTTATATACTGTACCTTTACTAATATGAAAGTGCACGAGATTGAATGTCGTAGAGTTGAGCCTCAAACAAACAAACAAACCAAACAACCAAACAAACAAACGAGCAAACATCAAAACTCATTCTTAGTTTTTACCTCTCATGTTTTTGAGGTCATACATTTGTCTCCATACGTCTGGTATTCCATACTTCTCATATCTTATAAAAATTTTGATTGGGCCCATTTTGTATTTCAGGACCCCTTAACCTTTTCAGCCATACTCCCCTGTTCATTTAATATCATATGCAACATACTTTAGAATGAAACATTTTTTTGTTCATTTCAGGATCTTTGTGCCACATTATGGTGTAAGATAGACAATAAGTGTCTTACAAGACTCGAGACCACAGCTGAGGGGACCCAATGTGGACTGGGCAAGGTATAGACTATAATTTTTTTTCCATATTATTTCCATGTATTAGATTATATCATGTTTGCTTTAATATTTATACGGACTATTTTTGTATATGTTTTGAAATGTTTCTCTTTGTGCTTTCTACAGTGGTGCTATTCAGGAAAATGTATTGAGATGGGGCAACGTCCCAATGCCATCAGAGGAGAATGGGGCCAATGGGGGAGCTGGTCTGGCTGTTCACGTACCTGTGGGGGAGGAGTCAGGTACAGAGAGAGGCTATGCAACAACCCAGCGTAAGTTTGTGATTTTATGATACAATTAAAGAAGAACTCTTGCTTTCTATGATTTCTAAAGATTTTTAATAGCTAATGCTCATTCTTCACATTTTATTTAGTGCTCCTTTATTTAGTTTTGGTATGAGACATTCAATGTTGACGAGGATAACGATATTTGTTTTATTCAAGAACATTGAAATAAGTTCTTTTTTGTCAAAAAACTCAAAATATATTTTAAGTTCAGGCGTATGTACACATTGTAAGTTTGTACTACATGTACATTTATTTCATTCATGCTTACAACATTTCCTTTGTAACTCTATCGTAAATCATCTAGATTGTTTATTGTTTCCAGGCCCAGTAATGGAGGAAAATATTGTTTGGGAGAGAGGAAACTTTATGACATCTGTAGCACAAAGGTATTAAGAAGAACTATTTATTTATAATTTATTAAAAATTAGGTAAAAAATGACGAAATCTTAAAAGCTAATGTACTGTACATGTATACAGTTGAACTTTTCACTTTGGTTACAATTTTTTTTACTCATATCGCAGTATTTTTGAATTTCAAGATTTTTGTCGAGATTACTTCCAACATTTTACATGTATCCTTCAGTGTCACCATGAAGTTTAACTTCTCTTGAAACCCCATGGTGCTACTTTAAAGTTGTGACCCAACCTATTTGACCCACCCTATGTGACCTATATTATTGACTCTACTTTCATTTCAGGGTTGTATATCTAAGAAGAGCTTCCTGCAGACCCAATGCGAAGAGTTCAACTATGTGCCTTACAAGAATGGTCTCTATGAGTGGGAAGTGGTACGTAACCCAGGTAGGTAATCTTTTATACACTGGCCCCCCTTTGCATGGCCCATACTGGCCCTTCATGAGTATTGACTAATTTGAAAAGAATTTAGTTTAGGTCACTTTATAAATCAGCATTTGTCTGAAGGACTCCCAAATGTTTACCTGAACTATTGTACAATGATCTTTTTCATGAAATGAAACATTTCAAAAATAAAATGATTTCTGAAAAAATACTTTATTGGACATGAAATAAGGATTCAATATCAACTGATGACTTGTATAAGTACAAGAGTTGATATTAAAGCTTAAAATCAAATCATTTAGCTTAACTGTATATATTGTTAACCATTTATTTCTATTTATTTTGAATCTGTCTTGTAGCAAGTCCATGTCAGCTGCACTGTAAGCCTGTAGCAGAGTACTTCTCTGTGTTGTTGAAGGACATAGTCACCGATGGGACACCCTGTAGGGCTGGCACCAAGGACATGTGCATCAATGGACTCTGCCAGGTATGTAATATTAATCTTGCATCTAAATCAATTTGTTTCTTTAACCTTTATTTAATGAATGGCATAAACATGCTTTTAAAGTGTTTCTGTTATTGAGAGGGCCAGAACTTGATGCAAGGCTAAACACTTGGATGTTAGACATATGTATTTAGTTATCACTTTTAAAAAGGATTGTTACAATTTTGTCACACTTCTTTTTTGCTCACATATGTTTGCTTCATGTGTACAAAAACCTATTAACTGCCATGTTGAAATAAGTGCTCTAAAGATATTGTTTCCTATGTATTCATGCTTTTACTTCAGCATGTTGGCTGTGATTGGGGCATAGGATCAGATGCAAAGGAAGACAGATGTGGGGTGTGTCATGGTGATGGGTCAACATGTAAAACAGTACAGACAAAGTTTGATAAGACAAATGGCATTGGTAAGTGGGATAACATGTGCTAATACATTAAGTGAAACAACACAAATGCATAAAGCGGAACTTTTATCGTTGAATAATGAACAAATCATTTAAATTTAATTCATAAATAAGGCCTATATGCAGTAGTTTACATGTACATGTAATTTGAAGTTAAATTGGCTATAATTGGAGTCCACAAAACTTTTAACTCATTACTTCTATATACAGGTTACGTGGAGGCCACTGTTATACCAAAGGGTGCCAGAAATATTCGAATTGAAGAAGTTGCTGAGGCAAACAATTTCCTTGCTATAATGAACTCAAAAGGAAAGTTTTTCCTAAATGGTCACTGGTTTATACAATGGAGTGGGGACTACAAGGCAGCAGGGACCACTGTGCACTACAACCGTGATGGAAATAAAGAGACGCTGAATGCCGAGGGTCCACTCACTGAACCACTGCATATTCTGGTAAGTTTACAAATGGAATTCAGTTTTGAGACAATTTCACTATTCTAAAATAACACCAGAAATGATGCAGTACCAATGATTGATTATAGATATTCCTGAAATAAAATATCATTCCATACATGTACCTACATTACACACTGTATAGTTCTATATTCCTCTGCCATTCCTTATTTAGAAACTGATCTGAGTATAGTTGAATACATTATGAGAGCATAGGGCACATTGAAGGGAATAAAGCATTAATGTTTCATACATTCAAATGATTATTTTCTATTTCAGTTGTTGTTCCAGTCTCAGAATCCAGGAGTGAAGTTTGAGTACACAGTTCCTAATGCAAATGCTAGCAGGATGCACATCCCTGTCTTTAAGTGGGAACATGAGAAACATTGGAGCCATTGCAGTGTATCTTGTGGGGGAGGTATAGAACTATTTATGATTATCTGAATTACAAGTAAATTAAGAGTAATCAACCTAAACTAAGTCAAAATCAATCCATTTCCATTTGGTTTAGATTCCGGTCTAACTGCAGAATTTTGAAAATGCTGTATTTACAATTTGCATCCTTACTTACGGAGCGTTATTTAAAGGTGGAATATTTGAGGAAACTATATTGTACAATTTTGTATGCTGCAGGACACAGACGTAAGGAGGTTGTATGTAAAGCTCTGGGAGCAGGAGAGGTGGATAGTAGTTATTGTAATGCTACTACCAAACCAGATGATCTGAGGGCCAGCTGTAACACACACTCTTGCCCTGCAAGGTAGGACACTTCAGTCATATTCTGTGCCTTCCACATATTGCCTTTGGTGCTGTCTCATCAATGTAATAAAGGACTTCATCATTTCGGATAGAGCTTGTTCTTCAATCACCTCTTGTAGACCTTTTGTAGATTCTACCTATAGCAAGTGAACTTTTTAACCTTGTACAAAATATCAATACAGTAACTAAGGTACAGTACACCTAAAAATTTGCCATTTATTTCAGATGGTGGCCAGGACCATGGCAACATTGCTCAGTGACATGTGGACGAGATGGCATCCATAGACGTACTGTGATCTGTGTCCAAGGTCTAGGAATGGATAGGCAGATTGCCTTAGATGACAGCAATTGTGAAGATACACCTAAACCTACTGATGTTGAGGCCTGCCATCATAAAGATCCCTGTCCTGAGGATGTACACTGGGAAGTGGGACCCTGGTCAGATGTGAGTACATGTAATTTTATTGGAGCTTGATCGGAAATATCATTTTATAGTGAAACTAATTTCATTCATTGACCTTGGTCAGATATGAGTACATGCAGTTATATTGCACAATGTACCACATATATGTGAGAGCTGGATCAAACAATGTCATTTTAGTGAAACTCATTTCATTAGGGGGACATGAAATAAACCTAGCCATATTTGTAGAAAAATTAAATGTCTTGTTGAATTAACACATTTTTGTTTGATCTGGCCCCTTATTTGATATTTTTATTTCTTATAATAATAATATAGTAATATGTTATTCAGTTCAAAATTGTACTAATAAGAGTCAGGACAAATTCTATGTTTGATGGCCAAGGTCAGTTCAGAAGGAGATTTCTCTCCTCAACACATAAAGCATCAGTTTTCATTTCTGCATTTTAACATCCATTCCAGACATTAATCTAGAGCTACCTCATTATCATCCAACCACTATAACACTAGAAATTATTTTCAGACTTGCAATGGAGACCCATGTATGATCCAGACCCGTAATGTTCAGTGTAGCGATCGCAACTCTCTGATTGGCTGCGATCCATTGGAAATGCCTTCTGTTATGAAACAGTGTACTAACATCACATGTGGTCAGTGGGCCGCATCTGAATGGACACAGGTATGAATGTGTAAATTGCAGTTGTGAAATGAGGAGCTTCTCTGTGTTGGATGATTTTGCTTTTATATCATAATTGGCTTACAGAACATGTTAAATAATATACCAACTACATGTACAAGCATACAATTTTAAGGTTTAAGATTCATTCATTTCAACGATTTGTAGTTGTTACGTTAGACTCAAATTATGTTTTACTGTAAAGATGTTTGTAGAAACTGTATTTTTAGTAAAATGTTTTTCTCCTTTAATATGTCATGAATATGTGTTTTGGTTGAAATTCAAAACTCTAGAATCCATTATTTAACCAATGATCCATTTTTTGAAAATCTTTCAGTGTACTAGAAGCTGTGAAAGTGGGGTTCAGATCCGGAAAGTGACGTGTGTAGGAGGTTCCGTATGTCCACAGAGCAACAAGCCAACTTCTCAACAAGAATGTAACACGCAACTCTGCCCTACAACAACAACAACAACAACTACAACAATGCCTCCAACAACAATAACAACATCTACTCCCAGCGCTACCTCTCCTGAAAATATCTCCACTTCATCACCAATAGATGGTGCCACAACAACACAAGATGTTATCAAAAACAAGGAATTCGATGAAAGGAAATCAGAAAATGAAATAAATAAGAATTATATTACTCCTGACACAAAACATAAGCATCGTAGCAAAAACAATCATCTGAAAGATAATGTTAAAAATACTGAAGATATCCATCCTGCCCCAATACAAACAATAGATGGAGTTACTACCTCAAAGATGCCCAGTGAAACCATAGCAACAGAGATTAGTAAAACAGTTACTATAGCTACAGTACCATCAACAAGCAATCAACTTGAAATAACTAATGATAGTGAATTTAAAAATACTCAATATAAAGAAGCAACTACTTCTGCTCCAACTAGACATGTTACATCTGCAACAGAAGATACATTAAATGTTGATAGTTTGGAAGTCAATGATTTTGAATGGCTCCCTTTAAACTGGGCAAAGGTATGAATATTGCATTAAAACTCAAAATTCTATTAGATAAAAAGATGTTGAGAATATGGCAGCATATCAAAATAATCAAAAAGACCTTTTCCATAATTTGTCTCAATTTGAGCATCATCTTTTGAGCTAATATCATTTCCGTCATTCTTATTTGAAATGGTAAAGGACAATTTACTTGTCGATATCTCTCTGATTTAATCTTTAACAACTGAATTTATCTTATTGTTATTTTAGTGTACACGGCCCTGTGGCGAGGGAATAAAGAAGAGAGAGGTTATATGTGCCAGTAAACTGCTTCAAAGTGAGGTGGAGGCTTCCAAATGCTCCTCTCTACCTGCTGTTCCTAATACACAGCCATGTAATGTTGAACCTTGCGTTGAGTGGGAGATGTCAGAGTGGAGTACGGTAAGTGCAGGGGATAAAATTTAGGGGGAGTAGGGGGTCTTAATGTGCCCCCTGCGTACATAAAAGAGTAATAGTTGTTATCAACAGGCAACACATTGAACTATTTGTTATTATTAATTATGCAAAACCCATTGCATAGTTGGAATTAGGATCACAGGGAAAAAGAGCTCATAGTGGATTGAGCTTACGTAAGTTCAATTTTCTAAAATATAAGGCAATCAATTTTGGTTGAACCAATGGTATCTAAAGTATGTCACTAAAGTTAAAGTAGCTTCAAAGTTGTTTCAGATTGAAGGTGCCCTAGATAAACATACAATTTTATAGAAGAATATAACTTTATTCAATACACAAATTGCAAACAGAATTTAGAGTTTTAGTGTATGTTCTTCATAATTCCAGTGTTCAAAGACATGTGGTCGAGGATCACAGGAGAGAGAAGTGACCTGCCCTATACCCAACATGTGTGATGATGAGATGAAACCACAGACTGTACAGCTATGTGAACTACAGGCCTGCTCAAGATGGGTCAGTGGACAGTGGAGCAAGGTATGTCTACATGCTATAAGCTAGTTTTGCATCAAGTCTCTAGACCCTTGTTTTTGTCTCCTTTACCCCCAGTGAGGATTAGCTGTATAATTGGGGGTAGGGGAGGGAGTCACCTGGGTTTGATACAAGACTGCAATAATACATTACAAGAATACAATAAAGCATAAACATTTACTGCCAATTGATCTGACACCAAATATGGAGCAGTGAAGTCTCTAGACCCTTGTTTTTTGTCTTCTTCACCACTAGTGAAGATAAGCTGTGTAATGAAGAACAGGGGGACATCACCTGGGTTAGATATACAAGACTACAATAATACAATACAACAAGAATACAATAAAGAATAAAGCATTCACATTTACTGCTAATTGATCTGACACCAAATATCCAGTAACATGTACATGTACCATAAAGTCTATAGACCCTCTTTTGTGTTCTTCACCTCCAGTAAAGGAGGGCCGCTGTGTAAAGGAGGACAGATCTCCTGGGAATTTTCAGAGACATTCTATGTTAACATTATCAGTATATGATGAACTCTTTATGATATTTCAGTGCACCAGGACATGTGGAGGGGGCAATCAGATCAGAGGGGGCAATCAGATTTTCAGATACATTCAATGTTAACATTATCAGTATATGATCAACTTTCTATGATATTTCAGTGCACCAGAAAATGTGGAGGGGGCAATCAGATCAGAGGGGGCAATCAGATTTTCAGATACATTCTATGTTAACATTATCAGTATATGATCAACTCTCTATGATATTTCAGTGCACCAGAACATGTGGAGGGGGCAATCAGATCAGAGGGGGCAATCAGATTTTCAGATACATTCTATGTTAACATTATCAGTATATGATGAACTCTTTATGATATTTCAGTGCACCAGAAAATGTGGAGGGGGCAATCAGATCAGAGGGGGCAATCAGATTTTCAGATACATTCTATGTTTTACATTATCAGTATATGATCAACTCTCTATGATATTTCAGTGCACCAGAAAATGTGGAGGGGGCAATCAGATCAGAGGGGGCAATCAGATTTCAGATACATTCTATGTTAACATTATCAGAAAATGATCAACTTTCTATGATATTTTCAGTGTACCAGAACATGTGGAGGGGGCAATCAGATCCGCCATGTACAATGCGTAGACAACAGCAACAATACTCCAACTACAGGCTGTGATCCACAGCACCAACCTAAAACATCAGCCAGATGTAACACAGCTGCTTGTACACATCATAAATCAGGTAAAAAATATTATTTTTTATCACAATGCCAAATTAATTTTGTTCCACTTGTACATGTACTTACCCTACTATCACACCAAACTAGTTCTCACTACGTTCTAAGAAAACGGGCTTCAACTGTGTACGAACGGACTGGACCTACTAAGAACCGTTTGGGATCCATTTACAAACTTCATCGAACGTACTCGAACGGGTAGGTCCTCTAGAACTTAGACAATGCTCAAAATGTTCTCGTGGCCGTCACGTTCTACAATTAGAACGAGTGACAACGTACTAACGACGAGCTGGACGTACTACGAACGGAACCGTCGTACTTCAATCCTACTAGGGACATTTTAACAACGAGTTGAACCGTCTGAGGACGTGTTGAGAACGAGGTAGAACTAATTGCAAACGGGTTTAAACTGAATAAGAACGTATTTAACACTGCTTATTAACGAGTTAGCAAAAATATAGCTTTCACACCAAACAAGTTGCCACTGCGTTCTTCAAAACTGGGTTTAAACTGTGTGCGAACGGAATGAACGTAGCTGCAACTTTCTAAGGTCTATATACGAACTTTATGAACGTTCTCAGACGGGAATGTGATTTTAGAATTTTGAATCGATTCGAAATTCGATGGCGACCATACCGTTCTGTAATCAGGTCATGTTGACCTTCTAGACTAAGGGACGCGTTCTACGACGTTGCACACCGACGTGGTGCGACCTGAACGAACTGCAAACGAGATGGACGTATTGGAGACTGTTTAAGAACGAAGAAGCTAATTATTTCAGACATATTTCCCGACCACAGCCAGATTGAGCCCGTTTTACGACGTTTTCATAGGACTGGCAAGAACGGGTAAGAACTAGTTTGGTGTGATAGGGGGGTTATGTAAAAAGAATTAATTTAAGTTTGGCTTACTTAACTTTTTAAACTCGTGATTTAATTATCCTTTTTTAGTTCAATGCAGGTCATAACATTTTAATTGTACTGTTTGAGCATTTGTTTATTTTTTATGTGTACAAATACACTGAAACCCATAAAAGCGGACTACCTCTAGAAGTGGAACACCTCTGTTTGTGGAACACTTTTCAGAGTCCTAAGACCAACTGACATAATGTTAAATAAACCTCTATAAGTGGAACACATTCCAAGTTGAAAACACTTTTTAAAGGTACCAAAGGTGTTCCACTTAGATAGGTTTTACTCTACTCTCATCATGGGTGTGCTTAAAATGATGCTTAATGGACAAGTGCATGTATGTATAACTATGCATTCTTTTATTCCAGCTCACCTCAACACAGGCAAATTCCAGTGTAGAAGGAATACAATGAGCAATCACATATGTGGTGCCTTAAAACGATTTGGACAATGTCAACAAAGATATGTACAACTAAAATGTTGTCGGACTTGTAATAGCCACAGATACCATAGAACTAAGTCTAGGCTTAGAACTAGGACGACGTGAGGAGAGGATTTTATAGATTTAAATTAATATTATGATTGGTTTATATCAGTCTCAAGCTATATATGTATATTAGTATTATGTATATGGAACAGACACCCCTCTCCAGGGGAATAATGGACTAGTCCCATTGTTGAAACAGTGAAGTGGAATATTCCATGTTGTGTAGTTTGGCCCATGAGGGGTGTGAGATTCGCCAACCCAATATGGGAAAACCTTTGAGTTGTGAAGAGAGAACTGAATTTAGTTTGTACTGCATTTATAATAGAAATAATATTTAAAGTGACATATAGATGGCATAATGAACTAGTAACATTTTAAGGTTAAAAAGGAGAATAATACTACATATAGTAGATGTACCTATGCAATTTGAAGCCATTAAATGACTATTTATTCTTCTCATGACTTGTTTAATAAAGCCTTGACTGCAGATCGATCAATGTAACAATGATATCAGGTTCTAATTCACATAAAGTCGTGATGTTTTATCTTCTTTTCATACAGAATGTGTACATTAATTGATGATGTTACACATCAAGTGATGATGTCATTACATTCTTGAAATTCAAGTCAAGTCATAATGTTTCACATTAGTCATGATGTCTTTGTCATCTTGAAATGTACATTAAATCATAATGTCATTACCTTTATGTAATATAAGTAAAGAATGATATCACACATAAAGTCATAATGTCATTTTATAAATGTTAATCCTAACATGACACTATTGAAGGGTAGAGTGAGTATGAGTACACGTCATGAAAATTATGCTTGTAATGTTATTGAGTGGTGGAAAAGACAAGATTTGTCAAAAGTGAACACTACAAAAATTGTTTATTTATAACCCTCTTCCTCAATAAATAGAATCATACAGTTCTTAAAGGCCCCATACAAAATCTGAAAATGTGGTTTAAACTTTATATGGGGCCTTTAAGAGTTAATTTGAAATATGAATCATATCAAAAAGACAGGTGTTCACTTACACATATTTTACTGTTTATATGAGACTATTGCAAAAATATGCTGAGCAAAAAATAGCCATTGTGTAAACGTAAAAATGATCTGAAGACTATAGGGCTTAAGATTATTGTAGATCGCAGGGGCATAGTCAGGATTTGAAAATAGGTGAGGTCGTTTTAAAATTGGAATGATCTGATTTCAAGTTGAAATGAAAGCTGTACATTTTAGCGTAAAAGTAGTGATAAGAACATAATTGACCTTGTGAAAACACGCATGTTTTTCACAATGAAATCTTATTATGTGTCTGTAAATGTCTGACTTTGTACCATTATATTCATTGTTATACTAGCCCAGATAAATTATGGTGTAATTATATTCAGAATAAATGATATGTTACTAATACAAAGTCAACTCAGAAGTTTTGTTCACTGCTAATGTCTTTCTGTCATACTTCTTTTTTAAAAATATGAAGCATAAAACAAAAGTCAATGGGTTAAAATGAGTTAAATGGTTCAATGGGTTAAAATGAGTTAAATGGTTCAATGGGTTAAAAGAGTGTTTTGAAGTAATTTATAAAAGCTATTTTTTCAAATATCTTTTGTATTTAAAGATACAGTAAATACAACAACTATTTCTTTCCCATGAACAAATTCAGACTTATACAGAAAAACCTGTGTACATGAAGGTGTTCAACCTACAGAGGTTTCAGCCTCATTGGGATTTAAGAAAATACATGGCCATTATAACAACAGGGGTATGGTAAACAGCATGGTTTGATGAATGATCTGTTCAAGGTACCTGGGCCAGTACCTTAAACTCAACATAGATGTTTCACAGGCATCCCAAGGTCTCTATAGAAGTCCCGAATGCCCTTAAATAATCTTTAGGTCAAACACCCGGCTCATGTCATATCTGTCCAAAGTTTCATGCTCTAGTTCTCAAAAATCTCCATTGACAACTTGTTTATATGAAATTGCTCATTTAAATCCTTTAGACTATATTTTTATCCATTTTAGTATTGTTTTTACTTTTTCAGCTGGTTTGACCTTACCATGGGAAAAAAGTAGTTCCAAATATATTATCAAGCTATGGTGCTCATATTTTAAGATATATGTCTCGACCTTACAATGTTTTTATACACTATTTATCAAATATAGCCTACTTCAGAAAAGTATAAAAATATGCATCAAAATTAGATAGTTGGTTGTGTTCAAAAAGTGACCCACTTTTATAAACACATAACTGAATAAAAATTAAATATAAATATACCAACTTTTTTACACACTTAATTCGATAAAATTATTGTATATAAATTAACCAAAAGCTGACTATGAGACAGTAATACAGCAGAACTGAATTATTTCATCTCAAAAACATGATTTATGAAGTAGTAGATTGGTTAACTACATTTGGACTTCATTGTATGATGCAAATGTCCCATTTGGCATAGAAGTACCTTAGGGCAATAGAAATAAATTTATCCAAAGACACAAGCTAGATGGCGCTTTATATTGAAAATATATGCATTTTTCAAAATGGCCGCCAAAAATACACCAGAGACAATATCTTTGCTTCTGTGCATGCTACAATTATAAGATTGGTGTCAAAAAACAGTGATGTAGTTGTAAAATATATTTTATTAGATGTTGAGTCTTGACAATTAAGAACTTCCACTTTATATTCAAGACATACGCGTTTTTCAAAATGGCTGCCAGAAATATAACAAAGAAGATATCTTACCTTACGAATACTTACAAATTAAGATATCTTATCTAACAAATGTCCCCTTTGGCATGGAAATACCTTAGGGCAACAGAAACAAATTTATCCAAAGACACAAGCTAGATGGCGCTTTTTATTGGAAATATATACATTTTTCAAAATGGCCGCCAAAAATACATCAGAGACAATAGTTTTGCATCTGTGCATGCTACAGTTATAAGATTGGTGTCAAAAATACATTAATGTAGTTGTAGAATCTATTTAATTAGGTTTTGAGTCTTGTAAATTCAGCACTTGCACTTTATATTCAAAATAAATGCATTTTTCAAAATGGCTGCCAGAAATATAACAAAGATGATATCTTCGCTTCTAAGCATGCTACAATGATAAGAGTGGTGTCAAAGTATACATTAATTGGGTTGTTGTAGAATCCATTTAAATAAGTTTGGAGTCTTTCATAATAAGAATTTTTACTTTATTGAAATTATGTGTTTCTAAAAATGGCCACCAGAAATATAACAATCATGATATCTTCACATCAGTGCATGCTACACTGATACGATTGGTGTCAACATTTTAAATTTATGGGATAGGAGAATCAATTTCATTAAGTATTGTGAAATAATAGTTTTCACTTTATATTGGAAATATACGCAGCTGAAAATATAACAAAGATTATATCTTTGCTAACAAAGATTGTACTTTTGCTAACAAAGATTGTATCGTTGCTAACAAAAATTGTATCTTGGCTAAAAGTTTCTTTGCTTCTGGACATAATATTTCATAAAACTTGCTTCAAAATCTTCATTTGTAGAAATGTAAAACCTATTTAATTACTTAGATTCGAGTAGGTAGTTACCATTTTTCCCACCAGGTGGCTAATTCGGGTGAAATAACATTGCAGGGTATTACAAAGTTCCCTTAAACTTGAATATTCTTAATTTTTAGTGGTTCACATTTCATATTACTATTTTGTATCTGATAGTTGTACAAATTAAAATATCTCCAGTAAAAGAAAATATTATCAGCCCAGCACAAGGAAAGATATTTCACTTTTTGTGTTTTACAACGTGGGAACTATGGGGAACTTCCCTGACCTAAATGTCACATTTTCGAAGAAAATTTGATTTTAAAGTTGATGGACTCTTTTAAAACCACATTTCTAGATGCAATTTTTCATGAAGATCCCAAATTCGACAAAAGTTAGACTGAATATGAATTTTTGATGACAAAATTAAAGATTGTTTTCAAACTACTGAGTTTTAAATAATTCATTTTGAAAAATGCCTACATGTATGTATACACATACAGCACTGAATATTGTCACATTGAGAAAAATATTCTTATTTTTTTTCATTTGAACATTTAGGAGATTAAGATTTTAAACCGCATTAATATGTCTTTCACCATGAGTACTTCCTGGCCATAAATACATTGTAAAATATCTATCCAGCTTTAATTAATTAAAAGGGGATGGCATTTGAAATGCGCTGAAGTTGAAAACCACATCTCCCATGATATCCATTGTTTTCAGCATAGTTTCCGTCATCGCAAATTGATACATTCAAAACTACTCTTTCAAACTATTCTACTTTTGAAGAAGTTTTAGAACACTTGTTAGATATAATTTTTGTATTATTTTCCACAGCCATTGAGAAAACGGCATACATTTTCAATAAAAAGTGAATATGTTAATAGACATACAGTACATGAATTTTTGCTGATTTAAACATTTTGGTGACCATTTAGTCAATGGTAAAAATCATATTTAGACAATAAAAAATTTGAGATCTAACTTAATATAATGTAACCAGACTTTGACGAGATATCTAGTAAGTAACAGGTAATCAACTCCTTCTCTTGGACATTTTGAATTTTCTGAGGCATTAATCATAGAAATAACACCATCTTCAATTTAGTGGAGGCATCAAAAGTTCGATGTCGGATAGAAAACTAAATAAATCTAGTTAGGGGGGGAGGGGGTTCAAACCCATTTCAGTTTGCTATCCAAAAAAAATTCAACATTTCAAATTTTTGGCAATTTTGACCCAGAATGCCTTGGAATGGTTAAAAATAAAGATTTTACCTGATGCTTTCTTCGTCAAGATCATTCCAAAGGATTCTATTCAATTAGTAGTTGTTAAAAGCCGCAAATGATGATAAGAATTAACAAAAACTAGATCGTGTTTAGCAATAATTTTTTAATTCTCAAACTGGAAGTCAGCGATCAACTTTCATGGTATTTAGTTTTTGGGGGAGGGGGGGGGGTCAGAGTCAAAACTAGATTTATTTAGTTTCAATCCGACATTGAACTAGTGATGCCTCCCCTTAATTGAGTATATATGGCCATAGTTTGAAGGAATCTGAAAATAATTGCAAAATCATATTTAAGACAGACGATGGACTGACAGACTGGCGGACGGAGGGCTTCACTTTATCCCCACTGAACTGTCTTCATTGGGAAAATAAAGACTGTAAACCTTATCAAATGGACTCTACCACCCATTAATGTATACTTGGACATCAATCTTACTATTGTTTTTAATATAGAGAGGAAGTTCCTTATTTTCAAGACTCAAACCCATACTAAATTGATTCTTCACCCACAAAATGTATATTTAGGCACCAATCGTATCATTATAGCATGCATAAAAGAAAATATATTGTCTCCGTTGTATTTTTGGCGGCCATTTTGAAAAATGTGAATATTTCCAATATAAAGCGCCATCTGGCGTGTGTCTTTGGATAAATTTGTTTCTATGGTCCTAAGGTACTCTCATGTCAAAGGAAACGTTTGCATCATAAATTGAAGTCCAGGCCCCCTAAAATGCAGTTAACCCATCTACTAAAGTTATTTAAATTGATGCGGAAATATGTGCGGAAAAAAGAAATGTTTCAAGATTACCTTTTTATCCTACTGTACTTTGCAAAACAACTTAGATGAAATAAGCTTTCCTGGGTTAGCTTCTTTCATCTAAGCCTATAGGCTCATTATTGCCACACCTACTTTCTTCCATCCTCCAAAGCAGGTATCCAGAATCCATACCTCCTTCTTCCCCCCTGCTATAACCAATTTGAAAGCGCCCGATTAAACTGAATCACGTGATATAATTATGCGCAATGACTTATGATTTCTGTCGCAGTGTTGCGACAGCCAATCAGATTGTGAATTCTTAATCAGGGAAATGCTGACTGCTTATCGCAGGGGGTAAAAAGAAAGAAGATATTCTGGATTTTGAAGCCCTTTGATCGGAGGATGACTTTCTTTTGGATTGTTACATTTCCCAAAATAAGTTGGGCATCACACATGATAATCGGTGGTTGCTTAGCAGGTTCAATGGATTTTCCCGGGGCTATGCTGTCTGGATGTTCAAATTAAACATATGTTCAACTGCTGCATATTCAAATGATGATGCACAAAAAACAGATCTAGATATACAGGGTATTGTTAAAGTCTCTTTACAGATCACACAGTCTTTGTATTGAAAAACTAGAGACCTTATGAACACCTTGTATATTTTCAAGTGAAACAATTCGCAATATATGATTGCCCAAATAAAACAATTATGCTCCTCAAAAAAGTTAAGGACCAGTGGTTTTCCTCATAGGTTTAGATGTTAACCCCTTAGTTGTTTGAACAACTATTTTCTAGGCTTGGAACAAAAGAAAACCTGATAAAGTAAATAAATCTGTATCTTGATTCTATTCTCTATAAAGTCTGCAAAATTATTGCAATGTTACATTTCAAAATTTGATGTCAGAATTGATGAATTTCATGAAATTTAACAAAAAATGACTTGATAGTATTTAATTGATGAATCATCCATAGAGGACAAGAAATTTCACAGTCACTATCACAAATAGAGAACAAGGCTGGCTTAAAAGTATTTAGTGCTATATTTGGGAATAATCAATCATGTACTTTTAGTCCTATATAAGGTAACAATCTCTGGACAGATATGTTCAAATAGCATACTTGCAAAAGTATATTTAGAGTCCATCCAAGTCTAAATAATTCTTAAGTTTTTTCATACATTCCTCCAAAAATAGTAAAAAAAAATTCTCATAGAAAATGCTTAACAACGTCATAAAGTCATAATTTTTCACTGTCACTTTGCTATACCTTTACATTTTGACGATTGTTGAATGTATCATATTACAAGGGATATGTAAGGACTGTTCATGCCTATAGAGTAAAACCTGTGTACAATGAACACCTATGGAGCCACAAAAATGTGTTCACTGAAGTTAGGTGGTCAAAACAGAGAGGGTATTTATATAGAAGTCAGTATAAGAGTATGTGTTGAGGAAGGGTGTCAACTAGAGGCAGGTGTTCGCTAGAGTGAGGTGTTCACTGGAGTGAGGTGTTCACTAAGACAGGTTTTACTACATATATGTATAAACTATATAGCATATAAATTATATCAACAAATACATAAATAAAGTAACAAACAAGCAAACAAATATTTTGTTTGGTCAACTTCTAAGCATATTAAATATAATTTTAGTTCGATGGGATTTGCTACGCCTCAGCGTTGCTGTTACCTAGTTTCAATCGAAACATGTAAAATATAGAATGACTAATTTAGGATGATAAATTGCCGTTTTATTTTGAATTTTATTTATTTTGGCCTTTTAGGAAAATGAGAGGAAAAATATAAATCAAATATAAAACAATAATAACAATTTAAACAAGGCATTAACATGCAAAATGTCACCACTTGGCACTTGTTACAGATTCCAATAGCTGAACACCAACCATCAAACACTGGGAACAGAAAATTTGGTGACCTAATAAATATGTGTTCCAGGTTCCAATCCCATAGGGGAAGGGGGCGACTATAGAGATATAAAGTCTATCAAAACATGAGGTATAATAGGCAGATATTATATAGAAGGTTGAATCTAGTCAAGGTAATGTATAATCTTGCTTCAAATCTCTGGACCCCACTATCTACCTCAACACCTTTCGGTGGTGGTGCGTAATGGGGGGGGGGGGGGTCGCAACGGCTTGTACCTAGACTTTGTAATGTATAAGTGAGCACAATGCGGCAGAAAAGTTACACGTAGGTGAGGTAAAAATAAAAGCTTTGCAAAATACAGTACAACCAATCCAAATACCTCAATAGAGCCAAAATCCCTAATTTCACTTAAATTATCAAGAAACTTATACATATTCATTTATTTGAAGGGATGTCATTTTGAAAAATCTTACACTTTGATCTGTTAAACTCAATACAGTTGAGTGAATAAGATATCTCAGCCAAATATTCCTGAAAATCATTGACTAGTTGGATACAAAGCAGCCCAGCTGCTTTTGTCAATATTGTAATCCGAAAAAGTGTAATCAGAATGTGGTCCCTGGGACTTACTAATAACAATAAAACCAGCCTAAGTGAACAAATGTGAAAATTTCGACCTAGTTTCAAAAGTGTTCACATGAGACGGGTTTTGCTGTAGCTAAGTGATAGCTTTCTCAATGATATGATCTTGGATCTATGGTTGTTTTTTAGATTTTATCTTTCCATTTTACCAATAGTGCATCGTAGTTCTTTAATGCTACTGCCATCACAGGGCCTTTACATGTCCTGTCATCTAAACCATTCAACCATTTGTCATTACACAAAGTTGTTGTTTCCCCGAGTCTAGCATTGCTTGGTAAGCTAGCCATCAGGTTTAAGTTGAGTGCCTTTTTACCGTTACACTTCTCCGTTTGTTTCGAGACCACGTGTAGCATCTTTCCATTGGAACTAAAAATGTCCTCAAAGAGCATGAAGTTTTTCCCAGCTCCAAGTAATGTGGATACTTCAACGGGGCGGAGATGATCGTTGATGATGTCATAACAGGTGTGGTCGATGTCAAGATTGTCACTGATGTTATATTCTCGGATCTTGAGATGAACTTTACAACAGAATGATACTGTACGATCCTTCATGTAGACATAATCAATATCGGGACAAATCGGCCATTTCAGATGATTCGTTACCAAATATTCATCATCCTGAGTGATTTCAAATGTTAAAAAATTCAGTCCACTTGACGAATTATAGTTCTCAATCACCAGCCCAAATTTATTTGGATCATTTTTGCAGTCATAAATACGAGCTTTCAATACCCATTGCTGGATTCCAATGTCAATTGTTTTGATACATTGCTCCGTTGACATGTGCCATAGTTTGGTAAATGAATCCGCAGATCCTGTAACAAGGAGGTCCATATCCTTATTAAAATCTAACGCAAAAACTGCACCAACATGTCCTGCATACAAACCACGTTCTTCTCCAGTATGGCTATTCCATAGAGTAGTAGTGGCGTTGTAGGAGCCAGTCACCAGGTAGCTGCCTTGGAACTTTAGGGCAGATACAGAGTGACCTGTTTTTATATCTTTGATGCATTTACCAGTAGAAGCATTCCATAGTCTTACAGAGTGATCATCTGAACCTGAAATTATAAGAAAGAATGTGTAATTACCTGGGTATGTACAATGTAGCTAGAGACAAAATCAGGAAAATAAGAGTAAAGACATCAATGTTATGTATAACCCCTTGCAGCTATTTAGAAGTACATAAGGGACAGGGTTGATGTTCTTTTTCTGATTTGTTTACATTTGTTGTAGCCTAATTAGAAAATACATAAAACCGTATGAAAAATATTCAGACATCCTAATCTACCATATTCAATCAATGACAGAAAACAAACGTACAAATGTACAATCCAGCAACATTTCATCTAAAAAGACTAGCTTTGGGCAAAGTAAAGACATTTACAATTTTTATCAAATCAGAAAGATGACATGGGTAAATGATCCTTACCAGTTGCTAAGATACCATTGCTATAATCCATGGCCATAATTCGGTCATTGTGACCCTCTAAGGTTATGTACTCAAATGCTGTCCCATTTTGTAATGCTTCAAGCTTCAACTTGACTCTATGGTATAAGTTCATGTGATACTGACTAGTACTGGATTTGTTCTCCTTTGTGGCGATTCCATTAACCTCACATATAGATTTCCATACTTTATCGCAAGAGGTCGTGACATTGTACCAGGTCTGACTAACCAAGCAACACGCATCAAGAGAAGACGCATCTAGGTAACTAAGAATCTGAATAACTAGTTCATTTGGCAGTTGGCGCAGAAAATCTCTCTTACAGTAAGTTTCTAAATGTTGTGTAAGATGGAATAGTTGGCTCGAGTCACTGACACTGATGAGGCGATCCAAAGTTTGTGTACGTTGGCCCGTATCTAAGTCACAAAACTCACGAGTTATGGTCTCTAGCCACTGGTCAAACTTGTTTGAATTGGAGATGTGCACTGGTTTGTCCATATTCACAGATCAAGTTAAACCTAGAAATACAAAATATATGGAGGTATTGAAATGATACTAAAAGCAGATGTGTCTACATTTACTTTGATTAAACGATAATGACATCAATTTCATTTTTCCACAATTGTTGGCATTTGGACATGTTCCCTAACACTACAGGGTAACTCTCTCAAGAAACTGGATATGCTGCCTTATTGTAAGTAGGGGAAATAAAATGTATGGAGTTCTAGCCTATCGCACTGTGTCATGGGTCTTCCCTAAAGATAAATGTAGACCCCCAAAATGCACAGCCTTCGGACTCGCAATCAGCCATCTCCGAGTGGACGTACCAACTCAAAATATAGCCCTACGTCCATGCAGAATGTATCATAATAGCAAATTCTTAACTCAGAGATCAAATTTCAAAATTGAAGCTAAATGTAAGTCCCTGGAAACTATAAGCAATGAGAAAATAAATCTTATAAAATTATATAAATGGGAGTGATTGAATTTTCACTTTTATTGATGATTTTCGGCATGTGTTATTTGTCTTAGGCTCTAAATATTTTGACAATATCAAAAGCAAGATAAAAGCAAGAAATAGAATGATATTACAGTGTTTTCAGTAGGCTTGTCCAAAATTGCGTCCCTTGGACGTAATGATTTTCAAAAAATGCGTCTCCCTTCAAAAAACTGCGTCCCTTGAAAAAATGTTCCCGGGAATTCAAAAGTCACGTTTTTACACTGGATGAAATAAATTGATGAAATTTTGTACCACTGCTTTTGCTATTTATCGGTCTGAATCAGCGTTCTTGCAAGTCTAGTATGTCATTGAATGATACAGATACCATCATAACTTATATTCTCCCGGTTATAATGAAAACACGCGCTACGCGCTAACGCGCTAGCGCACTAACGCACTGTTCAGAATGATCGTTCCCACAGGCCCGGGAACATGTATAAAAATCGAGTGAGTGAAGAGATTAGGTGGCTCATCAGAAAGCAGAAGTATGAAGAAGCCCAATGTTTGATCGTTAACTGTGCAAAGATTATCGATTGTCAGTGTGTTTTATCTGATTTAAAAGGAAGATAGAAAGTAGCACCATACAAGATGAATGGTCGCAGATATGCGAATATGCTCCCTATTTCATTGCATTATTTGGGTCCATCCATCGGCGAGAAAAATCCCGTTTCGAAATCTGACCCGGGGGCCCGACTACTTGACTAATGACTTAATATAATGTTTATTTGTCGCATGTTACCTCTTAATATCAAGTCATGGATGTTTTATATATCTTTACTCTTTGTATTTGAAGTTATATCTCACATGACTTACCAAACGGTGGAATAATTCAGGCGTTGCATTTATATTTTTCCATTTTTCTTTTCGTGCCCGGTTACTCTCTTTCGCTTTCATGGGGGGGGGGGGTGTATAGGGTTATCGTATAAGAGGAGGGTGAAAATCTATTGTGTATGGCCGCATAAGAGGGGGCAACATTTATCGTATATGGCATCGTATAAGTTAAATAAACATATGTTTTAAAAGAATTAAAGAAGCCTATTATGAAATTTAAAGGCAGTTTGAACGAATACTGCAGATCCAGCTTATCCCCATAAATTTGGGATTTCAATACACAAGTAGTTGTGGGGGCTTGCCCGTAGCCAGCTTTTTTCCAGGGGAAGCTTTTTCACAATTTTGGCTAATAATCATGAAAAAAATCTCAGAATGGTGAAAAACTGCATGATTTTGAAAGAATCTCTGGCCAGAGGGGGAGCTCCGCTCCCCCAGCTCCCCCTCTGGCTACGGGCCTGATTGTGGGGGTGATTTGAAAAATCAGTCCCACGTTTATGGGGGTAATTCAGATCTCTATATAGTAGTCTCTATATGCCATATGCCAGGACAGTAACCAGGATTTCCCAGGGGGGGGGGTCACTTTTTCAAAAATTCCAAAGTCACCCTCCGAACCCCCCTGGCTTCGGGGCTGTGTACTGCCTATTTGCCGTATGATTATACATTTGGTACGACGTGGATTCTTGCATTATGTTAATTCCTTCTGAATATTATCCAAACTTTTCTCAACGGTAATTTCAAAATTATCGTACAGATATATTATTTACCCGACCTTTTTGTGTTGGTTCACCGTCTATATAGGGAGGTGTGAAAAATATTGCATACACTGTATGTTATACATGTAAAAGGGGTGAAAAATGCTGTAAATGGTATAAGACTGAAGGGCTTGTGAAAAATAGTGTATATGGATTTCCAAGACCCCTATGAACCCCCCTTTCATGTTTGCTTTCGTTTTTCTCAATTTGATTTTAGATTTAAAAAGTTTTGAATTACGTCAGTCCCAGTGAATTGTATTACCTATTTTACCAGGAATATTGTTGAAAACAGGATTGTATTTCATTTGGAATTAAAGTTTTAAATAAGAGACGATTTAAAAAGTAATGTAAACCCGACCAGCGTGTTTTATCATTGTCCGGTAATTGACCGTAAATATTTATTAATTCTAAGTTACTCATGTTCTTTCAGGTCAAATACAGAGAAAAGTACACGTTCATTTAGTTTTGGAATTATTTCCTAAATTGAAGTTGAATTCTGTTTTTTAACGGTGTGAAGAACATCTTAATTGGTCTTATATTTTTAGAGAAATCGTAACTTGAAAAGTGTAATTTTCGAGAGGCTTTGTTTATTTCCTGCGGCCGCAAAGTTCACATCAAAGTCTGATTGACAGGTTAGCGGTGATTTATACAGTCTTTGAAGTGTCAATGTTTTGACAAGTTCCCAGGGAGTCATAACCCTAATTATACATGTCCCTGGGCCAAGGGTATAGACCAATCATAAACATGTGCTTAAAACATGCGCACACATCGTGGGGGAAGGATCATTTTCTATTAGCGCATTGGCGCGTGGCGCGTTAGCGCGTAGCGCGTGTTTTCATTATAACCTATTCTCCCATTTAAAACACCTTTTCCTTGCGAATTTCGAAACAATTTGCTATTGATTTTGCTTTAGCATGTTTAGTTTAGGGGCAATCTGCGCGAGGTTCAACTTTTTAGTTCAGTTTCTTGCGCATATGCAGTCTCAAATAATGATCACGTGATCACACTTGACCAATTGAAAATGGTTTGAATCAGGTCTTAAGCTACCGGCCAATCGTAGGACTCATACTGATTACTGCTCGGAAATCGAGTATTGTATAAATTTTTGTCCTATCACATGCCTCGTACTATTTCGATCAGAAATCAACTTCCGGGAAGGAAATTTCGAAAGAAAATTTTATTTCTTTTAGAAATAGAATTTTCTTCAATTATTTATTGGATTCTGACGAAATAAAGAGACTGAAGGTAAGATCTTTATCAAATCATTCATCCAAAGTTGATTGTATGAGTATGGCTTGCACTGCGTCCACAAAACGCAATCACTTTTTATTTCCGGGTCGGACGGCGTTATTGAAATAGCAGATATTAGATTTGTTGACATCCATTTTTAGGCCACATAAGCACTTCCGGTTGACCTCTGAACTTGTCAAAAATGGTTAAGTGCGTTTTTCTATATTTCAGCCTCTAAGATCTCACTTTTTTTAGATTGGCAGTAAAGATCAAACTCTATTAGATCGTATAAGGAAAAATACAGCTAATATTGATACACGTATAGCCTACACATATACAATATAAAATTATTTGCTGCTTGAGAATGACCTTGACCCAAGGTATTTAAAAATGGCGACACCCAGAAATCAGCTTGTTGCTGCTGGTTTTATCATTTTTCGAAGATTACAAGCAGAAGTACAATACCTCTTCCTACAAACATCATACGGTGAACACCATTGGACACCTCCAAAAGGTATATGCTTACACCAAGATCTGTCATGGCCTAGATAATTTGATACTTTCATTTAGTTCTGCTGTTTTGTAGTTTCCATCAGGCCTGGTTTCACTTTCATTTCTAATTTTTCAATTATTTTGAACAAGAGATACAGCGTATTGTATTATTGTCAGTGTTAGTCGGGTATAATAACATGATTATTTGGGATCCTAATAGATGTTTTATAGCAGAGTATCGATAAAGTTTTGACTGCTGAAACTTTATTTCCATGAATGTGTTCACATATTGGACTAATATTTCAAAGATGCTTGTTCTATAAGGACCCAAAAATCTCAGATATAATGAATGCATCCAGGTGTGATTGATCCATACATCTACATGTACAGCAATCTTGAGGGCCTCTCAATAATAACACATTCAATGTAACTTTTTTCGAGGCCAACACTTACTCTTCAAACCTTTGTTTCAGGACATGTTGATCCAGGAGAGTCAGAGATGGAGACTGCACTCAGAGAAACACACGAGGAAGCTGGCCTTTCAAAAGAACAATTCACAATAGTTGACAATTTCAAAGATGAGCTTTTATATGAAGTTAGGGGCAAGCCAAAGAGAGTTGTTTATTGGATTGCAGAACTAAAGAATCCTGAGACACCTATTAAACTTTCAGATGAACATATAAAATATGACTGGGTAAACTATGCCAATGTAAATAACTATGCTCAATGGGATGATATGAAATTAACAATGAAACGAGTACATCAATTCATTAATGAAAAGCTATTAGTGTCAAATTAGCCTAATTGACTTGCATGTAAATGTATCAGATCCCAGGACAATAAATATTAAATACTCAAGCAATAGTCATTCACCGCAAAATTTCCATTAACGTGGCTTAAAACCCCGTTTCATGGAGACACTCGGTAAAATTACGATTTCTCTGCACCATGATGTCCAATCAAGATCATTTGAGTACCTACAGTATGTGTTCCTGAGATGTCTGGTCATCTGCTAATGACAACGGTTATCTACTGTATGAAAGCTATATTGACGTAATCTATGACTGAAATTGGGATGACAAAATTTGAGAAAACTTTTGCTTGTGAAAACTATTTACAAAAGTTTTCCAGAGACTCAGTCTACTTGGCTAAGGTTTTATTTGAAGATAGATTGCCTTATTAAGCAGGTAGAGAGGTATACAGAATGTGGAAGCAAATGCCATATTGAAAAATGCTACATTACAGTTGGAACATGTGGGTAGGGCAGTGTTGTATATGGGGATTAGATGTACTTTACTTGTTTTCATGAACTTAAAACATTGCATTATGAAATCTGCAGTCTTCGTGCCGGGTATTCTCTGGGTTTGTATTGTCTCATTGGGGCTTTCTACCTTTAAAACAAACCCCTTACCTAAATCATGGGCATTCAACTAGATGAATGCCCATGCCTAAATGGATTAGTCCCGGGGGATTAGTGTCTCAGGAACATTTTTTGTAAATAGTTATTATAAGCAATTCTGAAAGAATATCACACCTTTTTAATGTCCTTTTAGTTTTCCCGAAATTACGTCAATATGACGTGCAAACGTTGGGCGGTTGTTGCCATCCCCCGATGCCCAAGTGGGCCAAGTGTGTCGGGAACACATAGGTACTTGAATGATCTTGATTGAACATCTTGGTGCAGAGAAATTATAATTTTAATGAGTTGTTTCACGAAAAAACAGGGTTATATACCACGTTAAGAGGGCAAGTGTCCGTGGCTTTCAGTTTTCCTTTCCCCGTGCCGTCTTGTACATTTTAGAGTTTTCAAGCTGTGCACATAATGAATGAATTGATATTTTAAGTTGAACTATAGAGTATGAGTAAGGACATTTGTCTTTTATCAAGGTGAAATATATGGGTGGTAGAAGAAAAATATTTGTTTTAATAATCAATACACAAGAATTTATAAAAGATTAAAACACAATGCCAATAATGGAAAATCAAAGAGTAGTACAAACATGCATGTCCAAAATAGATATCGTTACACTGATTTTTTTTCGCCTGATAGATAAATTGTTATATTTGAAATACAAATGAAAATGGATTTGTTATTGTATGATCATATCGTTAGTTTTTCAATAAATATTATATTTTAAAAGAAATCCTCCATTTACATCATCATTGGGGTAGGAGATACATGTAGAAGTCTTGACTACTTTCAATATTTATACCTATTTATCATGTTTATTGTTTAAGTCGACATGGTATACAATAATGTAGCCTTGTATGGCTTGGTCGTATATTTAGATATTTGGTATGGTATTGGTCTTATATATGATATCACGTTTGGGCGTTATTTTGGTTGGAATGGTAACACATTGAGATCGATTTGACAGATTGGTATGGGAACACATTGATATCTGACGGTTCAGCCTAGGTCTCCCGCCAAAATTTGTATGCAGTGAACCCCCGGGGTGTACCTCCATATCTCTCTATTCAGTATGTCGATATCATGTAGACATTAGACTAAGAACTTGATGAAAGAGTACGTATGGACTTGTTCCGGAATAAGTGTACTACCAATCACTCTTAACGTTCATCTTAAGCCCAATTAAAGGAACAAAAATATGTTATAATTATCCATACCCAATTTATTATATATTTTATAATAACAATACAAAAAGCAAGCAATCGGTAACAGAATTTAACAAATATATCTTTGAAAATGTAAAATAACAATTTGATTTGAATTAAATTAGTTTAGGGTTTTGAGCATTTGAGAAAACGTCAAATCGATATAACACGACCCTTTTTAGTGTTAGTCATTTTTTATTATTTATGTTGATCTCAGATGAGACGCATTTTCTCCTCTTGATTCCCAATTGAGGAAACATGTGTCGCTTCTGACAGAAAATGGACCCTTTATCATGTCAGGAAAAACAGCATGCATATCTTCGTCTAGAGTTGTATCAAAATGAAGTTTTCTCAATTTTTGTATTATTTAACTGATATTTTCCAGAATATACCATTGTATTTAGCACAGAAAGTTGAAGCACTATGATATGAGCAGTATAAGTAAGAGAATCATCATTCATCGTATACCATATACGGTGCTTCAAGTTCCTGTGATAATTGGAATATCAGATACACCAAACTGTCCAAGGCGAAAGTCCATCCAAGTGGTTTGGACAATTATGCCCCATACTCGTCGATTCCGGTGCACAACTGCACGACTATGAATCCATATAGGCGCTCCCAGAGACGATCGTTTGAAGGAGTGTAGTTGGAAAGTTCCTTCTTCATGAGGCTACGCATGGCAATCCCCAGATGCTGAAAAGACATCAAGTCACTTATGTGAGTGGTCGGTTACATGCGCCGAAGGTCTTTAAAACATGTAAGGGGTTTGGGGTCCCACGATTGCAGTCGATCCCGGGAGTTCGATAAAGCTTGTATTCGCGAATGCAACTTTCGGCTGTCGGCTTCCGGAATAACCTTCTATTTTATGGGCAACTTATTTAAATATGTAAAGTGCCTAGCACTTCCATTCATGAATTGGTCACAAAATGGTATGCAATTCGGTAGCCGACAGTCGAAAATTGCATTCACGAATACAACAGCAACGTAAATAAAATGTCTATACTTACTGGGAAGTAATCTTTAGGCACATTGTATCCTGAACAGCCGTGTCGACCACCAGCTGCCCTCAGCAGGGGAACAACATTCTCCAACTTATCAAGATTCTCTATCACCTGTAACGAAACATTTGAATACATGATATCTAGTTTTCCAATTCTTATACCCCACTCTATAAGGTCACAACAGAATAGGTTAAAATGCATTTTATCTTAAAGAATGTACAGTTGTAGCAAGAATAGTCCATTCTTTTTCTATCGATTTTTTCTATTGACTTTAAATAATGCACACTTGGCAAGCTATCAAAAACCAATGTGTGGTACAAAAGATGTATCGATAGTTCAATAGTCAATAAAAAAATCTTTACAGTTGAATAGTACAGTGTTTAGCTTAAAGGGGGAACAAGGCCTGTAGGGAGAAAATATGACATTTTTAACTTTTTCTGAGCTATCAAGGCAACATTTGGCTTAACATCTTCTTTAACATACCTATTTTCTTAAAATCAATGTCTGGATAAACTATCAATTTCAGCATTAAGAAGTGTAAATTCAGTTCAAAGCTTCTAAAAGGGGAAATCGACTTTTATATTTTTAAATCTACCATATTTCAAGAGGAATATCAGCTGAAATAATGTTTATCCAAGGGGTTTCTTTGAAGATAATGAAAATAGATGTAAGTCTTGATGAAATATCCAAACTTAAATATATTTTGACACTGGTCCATGATCGTTGAATGGCCCCTCTGCACTAATTGTTGCACCTTTAAATGGATCGTGGATAATCTACCTTTCATAAAAGTCAGTGTGGGTTTGAAGTATTATAAAACATGAGTACTGGCTGTTGGGAGAAATGATGGCCTCGGGCATACGACCCTCGGCCATTATTTCACCGAACAGCCACTACTCATGGTTTATACATTATACATGTGGCGTTTTCTGGCCCACCCTGTGTATGTAAAGGTAAAGAAAAGCCTGGGTTTCAGGCCAATAATTACCATGTTGATGTACTTGAAGACGCGGGTGACGTGAAAGAGCAGCTTTGACGAGCTCTGCATCTGCTCTACTGATGAACCTTTAGCGAAAGAGAAGACTTGTTGCGTCTCTGGCTTATCTTGAAACATTCTGAAAGTAAGCCATACACATATAGTAAATGTAGCACTTATTCATTTGAGTTTGATAAATACCTGAGTGATAGTATATGAAGTAGTTGGGATTTTAATTGAATTTCTGTATTTTCTTTTTTTATTGAGAAACGCTTGTACAACTTAGAATTCATGTCTTGATCCTTGTCAAAACTAATCAAATCGTGAAAGATAGTCCATTATTGACTATATATCGTATCTACTGTTGTGACGCGGCAACGAACTTACTTGACGAATGATTCGAATCCCCTGCTAGCCGTATCTCCTTTGTTCCAGGCATTCCACGAGACACGAAGTTGAAGTTTCTCGTTGACGCTGAGGTCCAACCTCTCGCTAGCTGAGCTGTTAATGTATCTCACCCGATCGTACAATCTGTTATGGAGAAATTATGAAATATATGACAACGAGGGATTGGAGAAATTACATCGTGAGGTATCACAGCCTCCTTTCAGGTTCGTTCTTTGCATGGCAGAGATGGTCTGAGTATCAGAATGGAAAAATCATGATTAGAAACGATTAGAAATTATGATATAATGGACGAATGTGACATTCGTCCATTATATCATAATTTTAACGGAATGAAAAGATATGAGATGTTGATATTATCGATGTCATGTATTTTTAGAAATATTTCTTTGTTACTGAATACAAATTAAATGTAATCTAGTTAGTTACGTTGTCAACTGATCTCCACAATGGTTATATTGCCATCGGAAAGTATTATTTGGGAAACGCTCTTGCTTATAGTCAGACAAACAAAGAAACGTAAACAAAGAACCGTAAACAAACAAACAGACAAACAAATGTACTTACTGCACGATGCAAGTTTCAGCTACAGTTGCGTATTGTGTCTGTAAAACATGAAGAATAGCAATATCATTAATTACAAATTACTGATGAATGATAAGTGGTGAGGAATATGAAAGTGGGCAGGAATGTTTTCTTCTGCGAGAACAATTACGATTACGTAGCCAGGTTTCAAGAAGCGTGGCCAGGTTACACCCAAGAGTGAAGAGGCAAAATCAGACGAGGCAAATTTAAGGTCAACGAGGCATATTCTACCCGTGTTCTTCATTTCCACATTTTCAGTTGTGAAAAACGTGTGAAAATATATATTTCTGTATAATTTTGGTAAGGCAGACATTTTTATATTGTTTTTAAATGATGAAAACTTGGCAAACTATCAAACACTGTCAATCCTCTTTTTTGCCACACTGGTTTTTGATAGATTGCCAAGTGTGCATTCTTAAACAACAATAGAAAAATAATTCACTCTTCTTTGTTACAACTGTTTATTCTTAGAAATGAAACACAGTTCGTTCATTCTATTGTGACCTAAGTGTGATTTAAGGGTTGATATAGGTCAGGTCGCCTCAATTTTTGAAATCTATGTCGCATGTACAGACACGGTGCGTAGCAACATTGAATGCACATAGCTTTTTCACTTTTACATATCGAGAAGAATCGTCAACTTTAAAAAGTGGACTTTTCATCAAGGCACTTTTCTAAAAAAAGGAAATAAATTATTTAAAATCTTAATGTCGTCAAGCTCTTGCAACTTGCATCAAAGTTACGAAAACTGAGGTCAGATCATTTATAAATCATGAGGTGTCTAGTATTCTTAACTCAATATTCGAAAAATACGAAGTCTGTACTACTTGTATGTTGTTATTTCTGTCGTGTTTCATTAGTGATAATATTTTAAATAACTCCAATATATTTGGCAGAGTTTAATGTTTCAGGATAGGTTCTAAAATCCATATTTGGTTGTTGACTTATCTCCAAGTAGCCCTTTCTACCAAGGAGGGAAGAGCTTTTACCGAGGAGGAGCTTTTGCCAAGGGGAGGAGTTTTTGACAGCTTTGGCTAAAAAACGTGCGGAAAGTGCTCAGAATGCTGATAAACTGCATGATTTTGAAAAAATCTAGCCAGGGGAGCAGGCTCCCCCAGCTCCCATGGGTATGGGCCTGCTTTGACTATTCCAAACTATAGAACTGTTTGATGCAAATAAAATATACATACATACAAACACATACATTAATGGCGATCGTGCAGAATATCAGATATGGTGTGCCTTTTACAAAACAAATGCATCGAATCTTTTTAAATTTCACGTAAATAATTTTAGAATTCACAAGTTATTGCAAAATCATACCGAGCCATTCTAATACGTACTGCATCTCCTTTCTTCAAACAGATTTATGAATCTAGGTGAAAAGGTTGCAAAAATGGTAATTCATGATAGATACATGCATTGAGGCGTCATCGCCGTTCTTTATGAACATGGTACATAAAAATTAACAAGTTTGTGGCTTAACCCACTTGTAACTTCTTCATACCTAGTCCTGGTCCACACTTAAAAGTGGCAAAAGTGTACAATTTCGTTGGAAAATAATACAAACCTTCTTGTCACGCCTAACCATCGCGTAAGCAGGCGTCACCGTACAGCGTCAAAAAATACAGTAACTTACAGTTTTCTGTACGGTGACGAAAATTAACTGAGTTGAACCAAAAACTATAATGAGGGTTTTAAAAATATTAATTAGATGAAAATAAATACGATTTCGGGTGTAATGAAAACAGCATTCTCTTATGAATTGTTTTAACTTTCTAATTATGATAAAAGTTTTTCGAGCACTGCTCGGATTTTCTCTGACTGGATCGGCCCACATAATCGACTCGAGAGAAAAATGGTGTTTTTTTCACTTTTCGTTTGGTTATTATTTTCCCTGTCGTCGGAGAGTATGGATTATTTTTATGAGAATATGTATTTGTTATCTACACATTTTAGAACAGATGAATATTCGGCAAATAATCATTCAGTGTATTTATTTAAAAAAGATCAGAACTGTACGGTGACGCATCAGCTGTACGGTGACGCTTCCTTAGATTTTTATGAAGTGCTCTAAGCTTACTGTTCGAACAAGAGGTAAAGAAGCGTCAGATCTACATGTACATTATCACTGGTAAGTATCAAGCGAAGGTTACAGCCGTCACCTTCGCATTTAAGATGGCGGACAGGAAGTATTAATTTCGATATTTTTAGTTTTCATGGAATTAACTATTTGAAAGTTGACTTAATGCTTTGGTATCATTTGAACTAAACCAGGCTTTTCTCATATGACTAACAAATATAGCCTACACAGCCATCTTTACCCCATGCAAGATATTGCATCTTTCATCCTAAAAAGTCACACGTGCAAGATGAGATTTACTTGTGACATCCCTTGTTTTAAAACATCAATAACATAGCAACAAGAGAGTTTTTGGTTTCATGATCTTTACCGTATCATACATTTCCAGTAACCTTCCATTAAGCTGTGGAAGATATCGTTGAACTGTAGCGCCCATGCACTATATATGAACAAATGATCATACTCCAGAGTTTCCATTTCATACTCTTAGTCTCATTTAGTTCATCAAAGCATAGCGTCACCGTACAGCTGGTGCGTCACCGTACAAATTTGATCTTTTTAAAATTAAATAATGAATGGTTGTTTGCTGAATCTTCGCCCGTTCTAAAATGTGTAAGTAACAAATACATATTCTCATAAAAATAATCCATACTCTCAGGCGGTAGGGCAAATAATAACCAAACAAAATGTGAAAAACAACCTTTTTTCACTCTGGTCGATTATGTGGGCCGATTCACTCAGAAAAAATCAGAACGGTGCTCGTAAAACGTTTATCATAATCAGAAAGTTAAAACCATTTCTAAGAGAATGCTGTTTTTATTTCACATGAAATCGTATTAGTTTTCATCAAATTAATTTTTTTAAACCCTTGTCATAGTTTTTGCTTCAAAGCAGTTAATTTGCGTTACCGTACAGAAAACTGTACTCCGCTATTTTTTGACGCTGTACGGTGACGCCTGCTTACGCGATGGTAAGGCGTGCTTGTACTAAATATGAAAACCTGAAAATTGCTGATTTATTGTTTCAGTTCCCAGCACGAGGGCTTTTAAAATCTATGAATGAATTCACTAATTAGGTCAGCAATGTTTTTCAAGCTTCGATAGTTACATTAATACCGTATAAGTCTTGATTTGCAAGTTTCTGATCGTAGTAATTTAATAAATTCAAGGTATTTCAAGATCAGAATTAGAATTAGTCCCCCAAAGAAAAAAATGTACCAATATTTTATGTGATGTCATAAACAGAACTGTTTTACCGAGACCACTGTTTAAAATACAGAAGAAAATACTCACCATTTCAGCGTTGTTATTTTTCGGGTCCAGACCACAAGGATAGGATTTTGAAGTGCCTTTAACTTTTATAAGGCCCCCGCCTTTTTGGTGACATTTCATTGGCTAGACGAATCAGCATATTTGGGAAATTATATCTTGTATCAATCCGCCGTGTCTGAGCCAGGCAAACGAATGTCGTCCCATTTGCAGATTAATAAAGGATTCGATGGCCAGTGAACGCTGCGCTACTAACTCAAAAAATCAAGGGTCCATTGACAGGTCAGGGTGATATATACTTTGGCATCACATCAAAACAACTCCATCTCTCTAGATATATTATTACTCATTGATAGAGTACAGGGTGAACAAAAACTGAAAAGTGTACATTCCTACTTAAACTACTAGTGAGGAGTGATGCCTTTTATTGCAAATACCAATAGTTGTACCCAAACTATGTTTTGTTTTTACCATAGTTTAAGTAAAATGTTCCCCAAAGAAACACAGTTACAACTTAGCCTATCACGTGACATCATTCATATTAAGAGCTATACTCCCCTCCATAAGTTTGGCAACCTTAGCTCCCCCCTTGAACTACGTGTTAAAGCCCCTTTAATGAAATTACTTATAATATTGATGGAAACGTAACTTGACTTTATTTCAAATACCTCCAAATTTTCCCAATTTTTTCCTCAATTACAATAGGTCGAAAATTGATGATAAATTTGATGACAATTTGAAAATCGTCAAAAATTGAGAAAATGTAAACGTAAAATCGAGACTCATACGAGATGCTAAATTAAAAAATGATATAAAAAATGTATGACTTCGAATACTTATGATTCAGATGTAGACGTAATTTTGCATATTCCTCATTCTAATTGGTTAGACCCAATTGGACCAGGTTAATGAACTAGCATTCAAATCTATGAAATGAATATTCATGTCAGATGTGGTATCTGATTTCTCATCGAATTCATATACCTGTCCAGTTGACTAATCAAAACATAGAATCAAATACATTTTTGTGACTAAATTCTTAAACAAAAAATCAAAACTACATTCGTTTTTTATTGATGATGAATGAGTTAAATGAGTTTCTTTTTTGTATATATTTTGTCAGTTTGATATTTTCCACATTCGCGATAAGATATAGTTCTTCTGCACAAAAGTAGACGCATCCACGTTATTTTGTCACATCTTCTGAATCAGTCGAGTGGACATATCTCAGAAATGGTAAGTTTTTATTTTTATTTAGCATTCAGACATTCTAGACTGTACTACAGTGACGTTTATTTATATTTGTATGTTCCACATGGTGAATATTAAAATATGCATTTATAGCGAAATATCCTTTTATAAGAAGTACTGAAAACGAAGAACAATAAATGTCTCCCGTACACGACCTTTATAACTTGAAGTACTTTTATTTCAAACACATCATAAGATACATGGCTGTTCGCATGGTGGAACTACAAAAAACCATAACTATAATAAAAAGGGAATATAAACTAGCATAAGGCATACATTTTGATAACGGTTACATGATGATTTACATGTAATAATTATAACTAGAGAACAACAGCGCGAAGGTGTAGCAAATCCCATCGAACAGCCATGGCTGCCATTTTAGCCTTTTAACTAAATTGTCATGATACTATGTCCCGATCTCATGTACATTTACGTTGCAAACAGTGAAAATAATGCTAAAACGGCCGCCTGTTGATGCTGTGAGGTATCATCAATTGTTATTTAATCCAAATAAAGTAAACATTATTTTGTAGATTTAGACACGGGCTTTCAGGTCATATATGCATTTTAGTCATTAAATGAACAAGAACGCTGGATTATACGTGTTAATAGGGTATCAAATTGAAATAAAATAACGAAATTAAATATGAACACATTAATGATAAATGACTTTCCGCTATCAGTATTAATGACTATCCGCTACTCAGAATAATTAAAATTGTCTGAACTATGTGAAGAATTTTTCTATATAACCCCTTGAATGGTCTAATTCACTACCGTCCTCAAAAACCGATCATTTAAAATATTCGATAGTGTAATATCCCTCAAACTATTCATTTATTTAAGTATAAAATTTCAACAAAACGTTCCACTGCTTTTTTCAGTTATGGCGAAATACTTATGATAAAACATAAATACTGGCCAATAATTTCCACCATTTTCAAAATGGCCGCTTGTATTAGCTAAATGTCATTAGAAAGTGTAATAAGCTAGAACTAGGGATTTACATCAAACAACGTCATTGCATTACTCATTTCAACTCCTCTTCGACTTATTCAATATCCAATACGATTGTTGACACTAAAATGGTGGCCAATTTAAAACAGCTAACATTCTGAAAATCGGCTTTACATATAAAACAGAAACAATATTGGACCAGCAGTATTTGAGTTATCGCCTGGACAGACGGACGGGTGGATGGATACGTTCACTATATCCCCCCAAACTTCGTTTGATGGGAAAATTAAATAGTAGGGTCTATAGTGGTCGACCTTGCTAATTGTTCTTTTTTGCCTTTTCAACCATGACATTTTTCTTTTTTCAGCCTCTTTACAACTTATCCCCATCGTCCTACCTCGGTAAGTATCAGTAAATACGCAAAGTAGATTAGCTTGTCTTACTTTTGGAATTTTGATTCTAATATAGGAATGAAGACGGTGTTGTGAAAATCAAAATAAAGATGAAAAAGCATTTATAAGACACAAATATTATACACATTTAGTGAGAGACGTTCATTATTTCAATGTAGGGCTGTCAGCCTGGTTCAACCAATACGCACGAGGCAGCACACTACTGGGCAAGCAGGAGCTGAGGGCTGTTCTCTCCAAACACGGGCTCAAACCAACCGACAGTGAGCTCCAGTCGATGATCGATGAGGTCTCCGTCGAGAGTAAGTGGAATTTTTTGACTTCATCAATCTGTCTTCAAGCTAGTTCATGATTTTATAATTATACCATGTAATCAAGTATTTCCAAAAATTACACGCAAATATGGTTACGTTATTTGGACCTGAAAGAGGGGATATCACTGCTCTATCCGCATGCTTTGAAAACACTGCCTGATTTCAAGCATTCTACCTTTTAAATATGTTTCGCCTTGCTTATACTCTAGTATGTCATATGCTAATTGAGTTTATTATCAAGATATGAAGTTTTCTCAGGGATGATGCATTTGTCCAAAAGATTATAACTGTTACATGATCAGAAATACTCAGTGCTAGATTGGAGTCTCCTAAGATATTTTGTACAGCCCTTTGTTGATTGTTGGAACATGAAAAGGATCTGTTAAAATAGAAAGACCTTCTAGTCACCAGAGACATTGTCATATTCGAGCCAAAATTTAACATAAACCATTTCTTATGGACACATTTTTTGGACAGGTAATGGCATCGGATTCCAGGCGTTCATTGATTTGGCCAGCGAATACGATGGTTACAGGGACCAAAACAAGGAATTCGCAGAGGCATTCAGAATATATGATCGCAGTGGTGAGTGGCTTTGTAACTTCATGAATAATCGAGATAGGTTTTGATATATACTATTAGTGAGGCATGTCAGTGCTGCTAAAGAGAATCTATATTATCAAATATCCCTAATAGCATAAAATAGAGGGAACTTGAACGAATTGTTACGAAATATGATCACATGCTACAATCTACATATTGTGGATATCTAACAACCAGTGTTTTAGTAATTCACATCAGTTTAGTTCAGATACCACTATTAAAAGTAAGTTTCACTACATACAAGAATAACTTTTAATGTACGAGGAAATTATGGCCCCTTCTACATATATATAATATGTTCCTGACAGTATAAACTAATATGAAAAAGAGCTGTAATCATAATACTAAAAGGTACACAAATGGTAAAAAAATTACACGCAAATATGGTTAAGTTATTTGGACCTGAAAGAGTACACCGATGATGAGGTGGACCTTATTGACTGAGATCTGGATATAATTGATATCCACTTCTAGGTTCCGGTGAAATTTCCAAAGAAGACCTTGAATACTGTCTGAACAAGATGGGCAACAAGGGGGCGTCGGTGGACGCCATCATTGCAGAAGCTGACAGAAATAAGGATGGAAAGATCCAATATGACGGTTGGTTAAATTAACTTTATTTTGAAATAGTGACATTTGAACTCGGTTTGTAGTTGGTATTGTAGAAAATCATCATATCTGCATATGATGGAGCTGCTGGATTTCAATGTACAATTCAATACATGGGGAAGTTAAGATATTTTTACTGTTTTTGTACCTGTCATGGTTATTATCAATCTCTGGTACATCCAATCCAAGGCATTCTTTATTTTCAGAATTCGTTGAATTGATGAAGAGACGTTTATAGACCACGTGACTACTACATGTCGACCCAGCACATAATTGTTATGAACATTTTGTTATGAACATTCTCAAGAATTTATCAAAAATTTTAGATTTTCTATACCACTCGGTGAACATTTTCTATAGTTTTAGATTTGTCTATGTTTCCCAGTATTTACAGTGACACTCAATTGACAATTATTCAACATCAACTACTTATTTTCAAATTATGATATGTATTTTCACATATCTTATTAAGTGGTTAATTGTAGTGTGTATGTGTGTCTGCAGGGTCCTAATGGAAACAAGAAAACATATATTTCTCTTATTCGATAACCCTGAATAAATAAAATAGAAATAAATAAACTTGTATTAAATCTTATACATCATCTACTAAAATGGTTGTCCAATCAGTGGTCAGGACCCAACCACGTGACTTAACATCATCACATGATTGGATAGTCTATTTTATGATGGACGTCTTCAAATGTTTTATCGCTAAAAGTCTACTAATAAATTGTTATCGCTTTGTGAAAATATATATTTATGTAACCACTAAATTATATGTGTCTTAGTTATTTCATTTTGAGGAGTACATCTGGTCGCAATATTTATCATTGGATTTTTATTGAGATTTGATACATATAGTACTATATTCTATAGGAAATATTAAATATTACATGTACCTCCAGAACGTTACGGGCTAATGCACCTGATATTTTGTAGTTAAGGATATACAGTAATCCGAACAATAGGACGCGACGATTGTGCGAAATTGAGAGCAGCAGCTGTATACCACATTTCAACCAATATGTCTTTAACCCCCCTATCACACCAAACTAGTTCTTACCCGTTCTTGCCTGTCCTACGAAAACGTCGTAAAACGGGCTCAATCTGGCTGTGGTCAGGAAATATGTCTAAAATAATTAGCTACTTCGTTCATAAACAGTCTTCAATACGTCCATCTTATTCGCAGTTCGTTCAGGTCGCACCACGTCGGTGTGCAACGTCGTATAATGCGTCCATTAGTCTAGAAGGTCATCATGACCTGATTACAGAACGGTATGGTCGCCATCGAATTTTGAATCGATTCAAAATTCTAAAATCACCTTCCCGTCCGGGAAAGTCCATGGAGTTCGTAAACAGACCGTAGAACATTGTAGCTACGTTCATTCTGTTCGCACACAGATTAAAACTAGTTTTGAAGAACGTAGTGGCAACTTGCTTTGTGTCAATCTAGAGGACCTATCGTTTCGACGAAGGTGCACAATTTTCTTACTGATTGCATAATATTTGCAATAACAATGCTAGTTGGTGGAAGCATTAGTCTTAAATACTTTTATAGGATCATAAGTGTGTGTGTGTGTGTGTGTGTGTGTGTGCGTGCGTGCGTGCGTGCGTGTGTGTATACGTGTGTGTGTTTTGGGTGCCTCTATTTCTAAATTATTCCTAGTATACAATCGACATAATTATTTGTTAGAATTTTAGAAGGAGTGCTTACTAAAATGTTAGTTACATACATTGTGACATTTTTATATGATATAGACATGGTATATGCCATGATATAGCCTCAGAATTCACTTATCTATGAATGAAGTTCTTATTGAATGAGTGACAATGATAGCTCCAAATGGTGCACCCCAGGCAATGGTTACGTTCGTGTGCCTTGAGAATAACTTTCGATGACTCGCCTCCGCGACAAAATAAAGTTCCATTTCACAAAAGTAGGTACTTTTAGTTTAGTTTATCACGTCTTCTGGGTGAGTCGATTAGATCTTCAATCTTCATTATGGTAAGTCTTTATTTGCATTTATGAATGTAGTTTCGACTTTATTTAAATTAAAAAAAAGTTCAACTAAAAGCAAAAAGCAAACATATTTTGGAGCTCAAAATTTATATTTGATTTTGATTATATATCTTTTCTGCTCACTAATACCACATTTATTCCGGGATCCATCAATAAGAAAATTGCAATTAGTTAAAAATTTAAAAAAATTCAAAATGTCCCAATTACTGTTTTTGTGTGACCTACATATAAATGGTTAATTTGAAGATGGATGGATAAGGGACATAACTCAAGGACTATGTTTTTAAAATGATTATTCACTGCATGCCATGCCAACGCATTTGACAAAGTGTACGTTTTTCGACCATCCGGATTTTAGTTTTGTATAAATTTATTTTCTGCTTGAAAGAAAAATGTCAAGATGGTTAACTTTGAATAATGACGTTACGTTACATTCTTATACAAATACTAATAAATAGTTATACAGGGTCATGAAATTGCTGACATTTATTCAGCAGTTGTTCCATCTGGTAGATTCTCTATTCATTTGTAATATGTATTAGACACATATATAATGTTGTATTTGAAGTAATATATAAATTAATATTTTTCTTTGGAAACGTCCACAAAAATTAACTGTGTCGTAGGGCATACGTGTTTTTCTTATGGAACTATAAGAACGCTAAATAGGAACAGGAAAACCCCAAACGCCCTATTCTGGTGACTTTGAAACTGCGTGTGTATGTGTATATTTCTAGATTATTCCTAGTATACAATCGGTATATTCATTTGTTAGAATTTCAATGCTCGATCTCCATTGAACAAAATGTGCAATTTTACTCAAATATGATTGATTTGCTTCCTAGGCCTACTTATGTCTCTGTATTTAAAAAATACCGATGTTCTTTCGTGCTACGCTTCTTTAATCTGTGAAAAATGCTTCTTTTTTCAGCCTCTCTTCAACTTATCCCCATCGTCCTACCTTGGTGAGTATCAATACGTAACGTATACTACTGGATTAGCATCTTGTCTTTCAGATTCTTGATTTTATTTCTGGAATATATATAAAATAAAGAAAGAAAAAGGCAAACATGCAAAGTGTGAGTAGGGTCACCCTGTGAATACTAAAAGGATTCGTCCTAAAATCAACAGGCGAAAGTAGAGAAGTAACCATGAATTTTACAATTATACTTTCACGTACCATGTATGGTTTTATGAATTAGTTTATGAATTTTAACGGTCAACTTTCAACGATTTAAAAAAAATAAGACTGCATTCAGCCAATCGCCAACGATATTACTGCTCAACAAAATAAATTAAGTGAGTGTTTTGGAAGACATCAAAACATCCAATTTGTTAATGTGAACATTATTCCAACAGGGCTGTCGTCCTGGTTCAACCAATACGCACGAGGCAGCACATTACTGGGCAAGCAGGAGCTGAGGGCTGTTCTCTCCAAACACGGGCTCAAACCAACCGACAGTGAGCTCCAGTCGATGATCGATGAGGTCTCCGTCGAGAGTAAGTGCTGGTTTTGGACTTTATTCTGATTTAAAACTGGAATATAGTTTTATGATTATTTCATCAGGAATAACTTTTTAAACCAAATTCACAAATCCTGCTGATGCATTGACACCTAGCAAGATATCATTGCAGCTCCAAAAATCAGAATAGAAACATAAAAAGAATCCATTAAAACAAAATAACCTTGGATCAGAAAACATCTGTATTTATCAAAAATTAAAGCATGCACACATCAACTATTCTGTAACGGATATTATTTTTGATAGGTAATGGCATCGGTTTTCAGGCCTTCATTGATCTGACCAGTGAATTTATGGATTACAGGGACCAGGAGAAAGAATTGGCAGAAGCATTCAGAATATATGATCGCAGTGGTGAGTCATTCTGATTTATCAGAGTCCCTCGATCTTTACCTAACGCTTTTGAGAACTATTCCAAAAGGATAGTAAAGGCTGTGGATCCCACAATGGTGGTGAGTGGTTTCGTAACTTCATATGTACCTGTAATCCATTTGGAACAGTACAGGGTGGGCCAAAAAATTTTGCAACCTTTTTAGAAGGCAAAAAAAGTATTATAACATTATGGTATTGACATGAAATTTTTTTTACAGAAACTTAAGGATAGGCATATTTTACAATTTAAATGCTTAAGCTAATACTGACATCAAATTTTTTTGTCAGATGTTTGAATATTAATGGTAAATTGTTCATGTGTCCGAGATTTACCGATTTTCCTAGAAAATGTGATTTTCTATCATTTTATGTGATCATCGATAGAACATTTGTTATGTTCACTAAATCTGCTGCAATCTTTGTTAAATGGTGTATTGAGCGGCTATTCATCAGGACTAATGAATCAAGGGGTATTTTGCTCCAGATATTCCATAGTGACTTTTGGCCTATGGTCAGGAGCGCTATCCTGCTGGAATATGTAATCACTTGGGGCTGAAAGAGCCCCCATTCTTGAAAGATGTCCCTTTAGAAGAAGATTAATCCTGAGTCGAATGGCCACCCAATACACCAGATGCCAACCCCTGGGACTATCACACATGGGGGCACCTGGAGCAATGTATTGTAGTTAATGGTTATACCCCACAAATTATTGATCAACTATAAGAAGTTCTGCAGGATAAGTGGAGACGACTACCACAAGAACTGCTGGATCTCGCCATTGACCAGTTCAGTTCTCGTCTCCGTGTGATTGTTAAGGTGAAAGGCGGATGCATAGAACATTTGTTTAATAAATAATTAATACAGTGTAACAATATTACCATAGTGACTAGATCCTGATATAAACCTGTACTAGACATTGGTTAAACAGTTATCAAAGATTGTAGCAGATTTAGTAAACATAATGAATGTGTTATTGTTGATCACATAAAATCATAGAAAGTCCGATTTTCTCGGAAAATGGTAAATCTCGGACAAATGAACAATTTACCATTAATATTCAAACATCTGACAAAAAAATTTGATGTCAGTATTAGCTTAAGTATTTAAATGGTAAAATATGCCTATCCTTAAGTTTCTGTAAAAAAAAATTCATGTCAATACCATAATGTTATAATACTTTTTTTGCCTTCTTAAAAGGTTGCAAAATTTTTTGGCCCACCCTGTATATATTGCAATAGCTTGATCATGTTTTGGAGGGCCCTAAAACTGAAACTGTTTCATCTATGGTAGAGCAGAGCGAATTTGGTGTCATTGTAATCATGGGCATTCAATCTATTGAAAGCCGACTGTTGTAATATACTTTCTGCTTCTAGGTTCCGGTGAAATTTCCAAAGAAGACCTTGAATACTGCCTGAACAAGATGGGCAACAAGAGCGCGTCAGTGGACTCTATCATTGCAGAGGCTGACAAAAATAATGATGGCAAGATCCAATATGACGGTGGGTTAAACTACATTTGAAATAAAGTAACCCCCCCCCCCCATCCGACCACCACTGAGACCAGCCAATATTGTTCGAATTAGCAGGTGTTCACATTTCAATTTTTTAAATATGTAAGTCAATGGAAAACAAATTCGAACCGAGAAAACCGAGAGATGTTCGGACTAGAGAGGTGTTCGGATATACAGCTTCCACTTTAGTGCCATTTGAACTTTCTAAAGTTTGTTTAGTTAGTAAAGTAACATCGAAAAACATCATATGGTGGAGCTGCCGGGTTTTTGAATAACGAGCGGTTTTTTAATATACGATTTAATACAATAAAATAATTTACTGTTTTATTAACCACTAATCAACAAGTTATTCTTTCCTTTCAGAGTTCGTTGATTTGATGAAAGGTCTGTAAACCACGTGATCACTGCATGTCGACCCAATACATAATTGATATGGACATTTTGTTTTATGTACCCCTCTTGAGACATCTTGATTCCCAAGATTTTAGTTGCGAATCATGAACAATTTATTGAGTCACGTGCTTCAATTATTTTCACACATTGCAAAAGATTTTACACAATATAATTTTGGAAACGTTTCTGCAAGGGTTAACTTGGTCAACACTTACCATTTGACATTCATACATAATGAGACATTTGACCTGCATAAGCGCCTGAGTTGTTATTCCCTTCTACTATTTATAGATTTTCACTTCAATTCATAGTTGTAATCAGTTTCACTTGAGTGAGTGCTTGGTTGATTATTTCATGCATCCACATTATTCAAAATACTGTGATTGACTGGAATTTGACACGCCTTACCTAGCTATGTGTGAATGTCCTACTAGTGGCCATGCAGGACCTTGCCACGTGACTCGACATCACCATCAGTTTGGATAATTCATTTCAAGTACGATTGACATCTTACATAAATGGGCATAAATGTAATCTTGCTGAAAATCTGTTGTTATACTATTGAGAAATATACATTTACACGAGATTTATGCGTCCACCTTATATTAATTATTTCTCTAGTTGAAAGCCCATGGTTATACGTAAAGGATTTGATACACCGTTGATCTATCTACCATTCATAGATGTCACCCGATGTCCATGCTTACAGAAACTGAATTTTACATATTTTTTCAAACTCTGTTTTGAGGCTACCTATGAATAACACCGATCGGTGGTCGTTGAGGTCGGTCTTTTCCGTAAACCCTTAACTCGTCCCACACAATGGTCAGAACAAATGATACAATATCGTGACCACAGTTCCTACTCCTAGGCTGTTTGAAATAGTCATAGGAGACAAATTACTGAAAATTTCCTATGGAAATAGTGTTAAAAAGAAATACAGTATATCAGTCATAAGCTCAATTTAGATAAAGAGACTCTGATAAAACAAAATGGTTCCACTGATCCACACACATACTAAACTCTTAGCTCGCTGTGGAATAGGTCCCAGGAATAGGTACAGTGTTGTACATGTTACGATGGCGGTTTTGCACATGTGACATATGATTGCGACATGTACGTATGAAAATGGCCAATTGATATCGATTCTAACAGATGTTAATCACACATAATGTCAAAACATCTACCGGGTGTCCCAAAAATGTACTCGATTGAAACGAAACTCCTTTGTCCTTCATCGAAAAAAGTTGAACTTTGATATAAATTCCTATTTTGTAAGTTGTTTAGACCACGTGCATGCAAGTTACGTCCATCAATGCTGAATGTCATTTGAAACACGGAAAAGGGTGATGGTAGCTTAAACAATTTTAGGACACCCTGTATTTTGATCACGCTGTAAACAAGATTTGCCATCTGATGCAATTGACCAGACAGAGCCTGTAGGTGAGCCAGTGCACATCTGGACAATTCTCAAGAAAACGGACTCAATACCCGATGAAATGCATGTAAAAGCTAATTTCACATTCCGACTAAATCACCGAATATGCTGATATGCTGGGTGTTTACATATTACGTGATCTCGTGAAATCTGCATCACACGTTTGATGATTATAACACGCCTAATAATCGACAACGTACAGTGATAAAATATACGGGTGTACACTTTAGCTGTTTAGAGCAAAAATTGTGATGTAGGTTTTAAAAGTTTTTATGTAAGGAATATGATGAAATATTTCATTTTTAATTTCATGTGCATGATCTTGGCAAGACTTTTAACTTTTTAATTACGTTACAGATTCTCAAACAGAGCGCGATGTTTTTCCAGGTACTTCAATCCATATCCATGTAAGCATTTTCCAACCGGTCAATTATGTCAGTGGAATTGCATCGAAAAAATCCGAGCACTACTCGAGAATCTATTAACGTAATTAGAAAGTTAAAAGTCTTACCAAGAGCATGCACATGAAATTAGACATGAAATACTACTTTATATTCCTTAGATAAATGTTTTAAAAAATACATCACGATTTTCGTTCCAAACATGACAACGTACAGCTAAGTGTACAACCGTATATTTTGTCACTATACGTTGTCGATGATTAGGCGTGTATAAGGGAGTGATTGAATGAGGTGTTTAAGGTATGCAACGTCAAACGCATTTGATAAAAAACAGTTGCATCGTTTTAAGAGAACTAGAGCATGTACGTGTAAATCAAGGGTGTACGAAAAGACCGATGGCTCCAAGCACCGACTACGTATTTTTGACCCGTATGCGTGGAGATTGATTGGTCGGTGGTAGGTGTGGGCCTGTTTTACGTACACCCTGAAATCAAGACACCGATGATTCTTGTTTTTCCAGGAATCTAATAACTATTTTCCTTACACAAAAGCACGGGGTAAAGCAGACCCGATGACAATGGATGATGCAATGAGCTTGCTCGGCGGTATCATGACTGTGTAACGGGTCTTAATGTATAAGTGTGCTCGGCGGTAGGTTCAAACAACGCGGATCCTCAAAGCATGTGCTCATGGTATATTCGTGTTTTAACACCCGTGCAAAAGGGTACGTAGCTAATTTAGCCTGATAGTGGAACGCGCGGGGCACGGTACAACTGTGCACAAGGGTGATGAAATGTGAGCAAACAGATATTTTCATCATTCAGAATTGAAACATCAGTTTGCTCAAATTTCATCACCCGCGTTTTGTATGGAACCTGCGCGTTCAACTGTCACGCTTAATTTGGTACGTATTCCGTGGATACAGTAAAACCTGTCTTGGTGAACACCTGTCTCTATATAGTGGACACCCTTCCTACCCAAATACTTTCCCGACTTCTGTGAAAATTATTACCCTTTCTGTAGGCAAGTGAAAATATACCGGCAAAAATGTTAATTAGACCCAGGTTTACTGAACATTCTTTGTCCATCAATCAAGTAAAGGGGAGAACAAATCCCTACAAAATCAGAAAATTATACAGATCAGACAGACTTTGAAAAAGCACACGCGTGGTCAGTGGCATCTCCAACATTCATCTCTTCGATAAATACAACTAGATAACGGCAACTCCGCGGAGTAGCAAATCCCAACGAACAAAATATCAATTACCGAATTCCAATCAATTATACTCATTACTTTGGTTGAAAATGAAAAAATTAGATTTTAGAATTGCGAATTCCTGCAAAGCAGCCATTTTGAATTTTCTGAGGTACAAATCTGAAAAATAATACCATAATTGTGATCTCCTCCAAAATTCCTTCAATTTGAGTATAATATAGCCATACTTTGAAGGGATCGAAAAATTATTGCGAAATCGTACATTAGACGGCCATTTTGAATTTTCCGAGGCTCGAATCAGAAAAAAGATACAATATTTGCAATCTACTCTTAATTGCCTTTCATTTGAGTATAATAAAGCTATACTTCAGAAAGATCTAAAAATAAGCGAAAATTTCTGTTTTCCTGTCCCCCCATACATGGCCCCTGGGGGTCAGGATGAAAAACACGGAATATATGTGAAATAGATAAATGTTGTGAATACACTACCAAAATTTCAAACAATAATATTAATTACTTTGGTTTAGAATGAAAAATTTATGATTTTTGCGAAAAAGTCCCGTCATTTTTAAAGCGGCGGCCATCTTGAAATTTTTTTTTGCGTAAAACTATTCACCAATATACATCTTTCCACTAAATATGAAGAAAATCTGTCAACTTGTATTTGAGTTATCTTCCGGACAGACGGACGGACTGACTGACTGACGGACAGACGGACGGACGGACGGACGGACGGACAGAGGGCTTCACTATATCCCTAACGAACTTCGTTCGTTGGGATAATGACGGCTTCAGGGCTTAGTCAAAACAAATGTACAAAGGTGATGAGAGAAGGTAACTACTGTGTAACTCATCACGAACATACGCAACAATGCAAATAGGCCTGGCAATGATTGGTCCATCGAATCATCAACCGGATCATCACTAGTCCTTTCCCATCTACATGTAGTGGATTTCGTGATATACATTACTTATCATACTCATATGACTACAGTAACTAATATATGATTTCAATAGCAATAAAGCTTTATTAACATGCATATTTTATTGATGGTTTCACATATATAAACATCATTAGACAACGTTGATAGAAAACAATTTTCAAGCTGATTAAATGGGCACGCATCATCGCTCAACATCAGTTTAATCTGGTATTAAATACTCCTATTTAATTAAAAATGATCTACTTAAAGGTGGCAATTTTATTGAATTAGAAGTTAGAATCTGACAAAAGGGGAGAATAAACCAGATTTCATAGATGAAACTTTCTTAATGTAAAGAGATGGGTTCATCTATGAATTATGGGTAATATTTTCCTCTTATCTCACAAGGTACTACCACTCATGCGTAAAGAATATAGTATGTGGTTTGAAATTGGTCACACATTGATGAATGCCAGCTTCAAAAATGTGTTTAAATTAACTTATGTTTGCTATGTAACCACATACATATGAGTGATAATATGACATCCATACATGAAGCGTTTTTGCCATAGGCCCCTCCACCCCTCCCCTATTTTTACTTCCAATGGTGAGATGGGTAGAGGTGGAGTGGGGGAGGGGGTCACAAATGAAGCAAGACCTGCATAAATGTGATTAGATTTCTCACTGAACACATCATCCAAGTCATTTATTTATATGACATGATTATTGAGTCAATAAAATATATACTATATGTATATGAACAGCAAAGTTCAAAGTAATGGCTATATACTACTCATACAGTCGTGTGCACATCCATAATAATACATGGCAAATTGGATAATAAATTCTGACAATGCATCAAACCAATTTGAGTGATTTCTTTATGTACTGAATATTCAACATACTCCGAGTCCATCATTTTACATTTATTTATATTATTGTTCAAGAATACAATCACATATTCAGATATATCTAAAAAGAATGATTGAATCTTTGGATAATAAAAATGCATCCATATTGAAACCTCCAGTATTATTATTTCAATTCATCACAGACATAGTCATGTTTTATAAACTCACTTCTATGTTGCTCATTTACAACTTATACCTACACCTGTACATTGTGTAGATAATGTTGAGCTCTTTGAACACTTCATTAACTTCATCATATACACTTACATACTTAATACTGTGGTATATGACTCCGTCACTTTATAATAATTGATTTTCCATTAAGAAATATCAGACAGTAGTATACAGTAAAACCTGTAAAGTGGTACACCTCTAGGAGTGGATTACATCCATAAGTGGAACAGTTCAAGCTCCTGGTACTCATTAGCTTTATGTAAAATAAACCTCAAAAGTAGACTACATCCATAAGTGGAACAGTTCAAGCTCCTGGTACTCATTAGCTTTATGTAAAATAAACCTCTCCAGTGGAACACCTCAAAAGTGGATTACATCCATAAGTGGAACAGTTCAAGCTCCTGGTACTCATTAGCTTTATGTAAAACAAACCTCTCAAGTGGAACACCTCAAAAGTGGATTACATCCATAAGTGGAACAGTTCAAGTTCATGGTACTCATTAGCTTTATGTAAAATAAACCTCTCAAGTGGAGCACCTCAAAGTGGACTACATCCATAAGTGGAACAGTTCAAGTTCATGGTACTCACTAACTTAATGTAAAATAAACCTCTCAAGTGGAACACCTCAAAGGTGGAATACTAATTTGAGCTACCAAAGGCTTTCCACTTGTAGAGGTTTTACTGTAACGTTATACAAGTAATAATAATCAAAGGAAACTCTAGTCATGGCAATTAATATTCGATGACAATACACTGATACATGGGTGTAGCTAGGCACGAGGCAGGCAAGGTAATTTGTAATTTCCACTAAAATCTCTTTCTGAGATTTTTTCCACAAATAGAAAAATATGTCCCATTGTAGCAAATATGCTCCTTGGCCAAAGCTGACCATGCCCCAATGACCCTGTGAGATATATTACAAAATACTGGATAGTAAAATTCTGGACTTCCCAAGTACAGGTTTTAAGAAAACATTTCTTTTAAATGAAAATTTACAACTTGTCATCAGTTATTTTACAAAAAAGTCATTAGTTTTTTCACTGGTAATTAATTTGATCTTATATTTATAAACAATTTATCAATGTGACACTAGAAAAGTAACTAAATCATGTTTTTCACTTGTAAGAAGTTGGGTCCAACATCAGCTCCTGGCAAAATATGCAATTGTTTGCAATTCTGAAATGGGGGGGGGGGGGGGGGGGGGCTGAAATGACTTCTTTGATTGAAGTCTTGCATTGAGCCCATTTTCACAATTTCCTCTCAAAGGCAATGGATGAATAGATAGTTGGGGGTAAAAAGGTGAGATTTTTTAATTCCATATTTATTTAATATGCCGTTGTCTCTTCATTCAATAAAGTCTGTTAATCTCCATAAAAACATCTTCAAACATTTAAGATGGGAGTGAACTACTCATACAAGGTTACATTTCAAGGTATTCACTTCTAAAGCCAGGTGTTCATAATTTAGTGGACATTACTTCTTTTAAAGGTTTTACTCAACATTTTATTAATTATCCACTGTTTTTCTTCTGAATTAGTATTGGAATATGAGTTGAACTCTACCTACACTATATGGTTACCACATGTTCTAATCAATATTTAACATTAATTTGTTTTGTGAAATAATACTCATACAATTGATTATTATTGACTGATTTACTTAAATGACTCGTTAAACACTATCTTCAAAACCAACTGTTAAACTTCACACAATAAAGCTCAACATTTTTGCAACACAAAAAAATAAAATATAAATGTGCATCAAGTGCAAACATGTGATTTGTTGATAAACACTGTAATTTCAATTGTATGCTGTATCTCTTTACACAGAGATCACAATTGTCATATATTGTGCTTAATGAGCAGAAATACAATGACTTAAATGAGAATTATGTGTATTGGAGCATGATTAATGAACTCTATGTTACAGCAAAAATAACTTCCCAGATCATCATCATTTGTCATTGCATTTTTATTTATATCATCATGGGTGTACCAAAGTAAGGAAACTGCCTCAATAAAAATTTTCAGGAAACGATGTCGTTTAAAATTAGAATATCCTTTTTAGTTTAAGTTTTTCCTTGTCTATTATAAATTTGCATTTCCTTTGGAGGTTCAGCTACTGAATATTATCATCACAAAATTCCATGACATGAGAGTGTGAACTATCAAAGTATGACATTAATAATCTACCGATACATTGCATTTCAAATGTCATTTGAGGTGACTGTCTAAGATAATGGACTTAATGCAGTGTAAACATTTTAGGATAACAATTTTCAATATAAACAGCTAGTAAGTTTAACCTTCTTTATAAGCTTTATAATATTTTTCTTTAATTGTTTTCACAATGATCACTGACCTAATGATCACAGTCAATAATATTTATGGCACTGACGGCATCCAGTTGACAATGTTCTCGGTGAATTAGAAAAAATCTTTGTTACACCAAGATGAAAATTTGAAAATATTCCTTCTTACACCTCATTGAAAATTTCCTCATAAGAGAAAGTTGAGAATTTGGAAAAATTTGGACCTGTTTAAATTAAATTGGGAGGACATTTCACTATTAAACGCAATCATATTCATATTTTTGAGCAACTTGTGAAACAAGTGATAGTCAGTCGTGTAAGCAACAAATCCTAAACAATGAACAATTTGTTACCCAAGTGAAGTTATGATCTTAACCATGTTGTATTAATGGAATCTGCTCAGTATAGCAAAGCAATACAATTGATCAATTATGTATAAGAATGTATTAATTGATTTGAAATGATGTTGGATAACAATGGCTGATATCATAATAGCAGAACCTAATTTACTTCATTGTACATACACGCCTAACCATCGCGTAAGCAGGCGTCACCGTACAGCGTCAAAAAATACAGTAGTACAGTTTTCTGTACGGTGACGAAAATTAACTGAGTTGAAGCAAAAACTATAATGAGGGTTTTAAAAAGATTAATTAGATGAAAATAAATACGATTTCGGGTGTGATAAAAACGGCATTCTCTTAGGAATGGTTTTAACTTTCTAATTATGATAAAAGTTTTTCGAGCACTGCTCGGATTTTTTCTGACTGGATCGGCCCACATAATCGACTCGAGAGAAAAATGTTGTTTTTTCACTTTTCGTTTGGTTATTATTTTCCCTGTCTTCTGAGAGTATGGATTATTTTTATGAGAATATGTATTTGTTATCTACACATTTTAGAACAGATGAATATTCGGCAAAAAATCATTCAGTGTATTTATTCAAAAAAGATCAGAACTATACGGTGACGCATCAGCTGTACGGTGACGCTTCCTTAGATATTATGCAGTGCTCTAAGCTTACTGTTCGAACAAGAGGTAAAGAAGCGTCAGATCTACATGTACATTATCACTGGTAAGTATCAAGCGAAGGTTACAGCCGTCACTTTCGCATTTAAGATGGCGGACAGGAAGTATTAATTTCGATATTTTTAGTTTTCATGGAATTAACTATTTGAAAGTTGACGTAATGCTTTGGTATCATTTGAACTAAACCAGACTTTTCTCATATGACTAACAAAGATAGCCTACACAGCCATCTTTACCCCATGCAAGATATTGCATCTTTCATCCTAAAAAGTCACACGAGCAAGATGAGATTTACCTGTGACATCCCTTGTTTTAAAACATCAATAACATAGCAACAAGAGAGTTTTTGGTTTCATGATCTTTACCGTATCATACATTTCAAGTAACCTTCCATTAAGCGGTGGAAGATATCGTTGAACTGTAGCGCCCATGCGCTATATATGAACAAATGATCATACTCCAGAGTTTCCATTTCAAACAATCTCAGTCTCATTTAGTTCATCAAAGCATAGCGTCACCGTACAGCTGGTGCGTCACCGTACAAATTTGATCTTTTTTAAATATACATAATGCATGGTTGTTTGCTGAATCTTCGCCCATTCTAAAATGTGTAGTCAACAAATACATATTCTCATAAAAATAATCAATACTCTCAGACGGCAGGGAAAATAATAACCAAACGAAATGTGAAAAAACAACCTTTTTTCACTTGGGTCGATTATGTGGGCCGATTCACTCAGCAAAAATCCGAACAGTGCTCGTAAAACGTTTATCATAATCAGTAAGTTAAAACCATTTCTAAGAGAATGCTGTTTTTATTTCACATGAAATCGTATTAGTTTTCATCAAATTAATTTTTTTTAAACCCTTGTCATAGTTTTTCCTTCAAAGCAGTTAATTTGCGTTACCGTACAGAAAACTGTACTCCGCTATTTTTTGACGCTGTACGGTGACGCCTCCTTATGCGATGGTAAGGCGTGACATAGAGAAATCGTGATGTTTAGAGCACATTGAAGTAATTCGTTAACAACTTATTACAATGATGATGTGTTTATAAAACATCCTATCAATTTGAAACACTGTAAGATCAACATTGAATACTTATCTGGTTACTTGCCAGGTAAAACATTTAGAGAAAATAAAACTCTCAGACCTTAGTTAATATCTTAAAAATAAACTTTGGAAGAAATATGGTTGTTTATAATATACAAAAATAAGTAGATATGCTACAATACAAAGTAATTTTGTATGATAAATGTAGAACTTACATTGATATCTCAGCATTAGAACATTACATACAGAATTTAAAGGGACATTCCTGGCCAGATCATTTCTATCCTGATATGATAGCTATAATCATATATGACATCACTTCCTGTGTGAAATCTTAAAAGATGGCAGCCTACTGGAACTGAGAACTACATTTCTAAGTGATGATCAATATTGACCATATCAATAATCAAAACATTTTTCCGTGTTTTGTTAAATACATGGAAAGTATACATATGGTTATAGCTGCCATATTAAGAGAGTCTGGCTGGCAAGGAATATATCTTTAAGTGCTGTCAGTGAACCAATCAGACATATAGGTATTTATCATGTACCAGAAACTCTATTATCAATCATTTTTATTGGAATTATAAAATTGAGGATAGTCATTAGAGGTGTAACTCCCAAGTCCTTAACTCGAGTACAGCTTGTCAGAGCTGCCTATACATTGCCTCTAGAAACTTGCAATCTATTTCAACTCGCGAGCTAGCTATAACTCGAGGTAACTCGCAAGTTTTGCCTATCTTGCAAGCATGTAAAATGAATTTGGGTCCCAGAGATCGTGCAACATTACTTCATTAGGAGAATAAATATACCAATGATCGCAGTATTTAGGATTTTTACTCAAGTTTTGGAAATATTTGGATTTTTCTGGGGAGTTACACCTCTAATAGTCATGCATTAAGCCCATTGTGTGACCCACATTCTTTCTCACTTCTTGACTACTACAACGAGAATGGGTTGGATGGTGGGTATGGGAGTTTAATGCAAGTCCAACAAAGGGGTTGTTCCAAAAACACTCTATTAAAAATAACTGAGTTATATTCAACATCTTTTGAGAAAACCAATAGGAATTTATATACCCAAATAAGCAATAGATATGAAGCAAGATTACATGAACATTTAAGAAGCATATGCATATGTATATACTTTGTTTCATAAAAAAAGTATAGTGAAATTTACAGTGATATAGCACTGTGAAGTTGTTTGAATTTATCATAGATACAACTTCTGACATACATTGCCACAATTAAAACTTCTGATTTCAACTGAAATGCTTTATGGTGGCAAATAGACTGGCCAGAGGTACAACTAAATACATTTACATTAAATGGTGGAATATAAAATAATACATTTCAGTTGATATAAAAAGTTTTGATTGTTTCTAAAATAAATATGTACTATTTTACACTCCTTATATGGCATTGAGAATATAATTTCCTAATATGGAGTAGGCTATTCAGCAAGGGGACTTATGGGTTTCCCCCTTCCTTTGAATCCAAGTGTTCCATCTGGTCCCTTTGGTTGCCTTATGACACCGCCCATGTCAGACATACGTCCTTGAATTTGGCGGCGACCTAACATTGGGCTTGCATTAGGGCTTAAGTCCTTTACTAGGGGGCTAACTTCCTGTGCTGCTTTGAGGCGGCGTGCAACCCAAGGACTCCCTGGGCTACCTTCTTCCCCTGAGGAATACCCCTTTCTTGTGGGGTCAGGGCTACCTTTGGGACTTTCTTCATCACCTCTCCCACCCGCAAGGGGAGATTTCTTTGGAACACTTAATCGCCTCCGTTGCATGGTGGGTGAAGTCTTAGGACTTGATTTAGGACTTGACCTAGGTGAGGCATTTGGACTAAGGTAGCTACCATATCCAGGAGTAGGACTTAGAGAATTCCTGGAAGGGGTTTTCTGTGGTTTGTTTCCCCAGGACTGTGATCGATTTCTTGGACAATCGCCTTTGCCCCAAGAGTTGCTGCGATTCCTTGATGTCGGACCATCAGCCTCAGAGCCGCTACTATTTGGTGTATCAGCGTCACCGTCCCCAGTTAATTCCTCAACCCGTGAGTTGCGCTTCTTTTGATTACGTCGTTTCTTTCGCTTTTTATCCTCAACTTCTACATCGCTTCCTTTTTCTCCATCTGATTTAAAATCATTTTTCATTTCATTTTCTTTATCTTTACGCTCTTTGTCCTTATTTTTCCTCTGATCGGCTAATAATACAACACGTAGGCCAGATCTCCAATTATCAGTACTATTCATAGTGTCACATGCCTTTTTAGCGAATTCGTGTTTTTCAAATTCAACAACTGCACATGTGCTAGTCCCGATCTCTGGATGTTTACTGGTATGTTTCTTAACATCCTGAGGCACAGTTTTTCCAGGTTTTAGAATACGAATCAATGCTATATCTCCACACTTGGAAAATAGCTGCGATATATTTCCTATTGATGGATTTTCCATTGGCAGATTAATGGCAACAACTGTCTTTGATGGGGTTGTTTCATCATAATCAGGAAGCGGATCTTTTCTCTTTACTTTAGTTCCTTCTTCATTCACTAATAACTTTTCAGATTGTCTAAGACTGTAAGCCACGACACGATAATCCTTTGTCAATGACTTCATCTTTTTGAACGAGGTTATAAGCTTGAGACTGACATAGCCTTGCTTGTTACGTTTTACGTGTTTCAACAGGAAAGCGTCTTTCAGAATATTTGCATCTGAAAAATAAAACTCCACTTGGTTGATGACTTTGTCACGGATTTCATCATTCGGTGCCACAAATTCACCAAGTGACGGACCTTCTGCATCAGAATTCTCCCCAATACTCAACCCCTCTTCTTCACTTTGGACACCAGAACTACATCCTTCTTCCTCCTTTAACTGTTCAACTCTCAGTACGGGCGCGGCTGGTGACTTCATTATTGCTTCAGCCTGTGTTTCATCACTTGAATTCACAACAGGTGGAATGTCATTTGCTGAAATTCCATCACTCAATTCGCCATTTTGTAAAGCCGTTGATTCACTCATGTTGGACTAAGTAAGTATCCAGCACTTCTCAATTCCAATTAATAGTCTGTAATCAACGATACTCACACGAGAAAGTCACAATATGGTATGATTTGAACCCCAAATTGACCCACACTTTTCGGGCAACGTAACTGGGGCAAATGGCATTTTTCATGAGTCACCCCATAAAAATTAGTCACTGGGCTAAAATCCAATTAGTGCTTTCCTTATTTTAAGAAAAATAGGGTTATATTTGCACAATATAACACGTGAATATTTATTTCCGTATCACAAATGAACCATACTTATGAAATTCCCCTTATTGAACTCACAATATGAATTTAAGATGGGAAGAAATATTTGTTGCTCGATTAGTTTTTCTGCACTCTCAAATCAACATGGCGGATCAAAATTTAGAAATTCTTGAAAGTCGACTGAAATCTTTAGAAAACTCCGTCTATGGGGACTCAAATAAAGATCTGTCATATCCAAAGGTAGAAAGTCTTTATATTTGTAGTATAGGTCAACTTATGGTGTTTTCGGAACATGCAAACTTTATTAGAATGCCACACTTTTGTAAAAATTATATGAACAAATTCAAACCCGGAAGTACAGTTGGGGACATAAATAAATGACAGGTGGATTTGCTGAAGTGAGGATTTCCCATGTTAAAAATAAGAGAATTTACAAGAGGCCATACATCAGTGGATGAGATTATACAAAATGTAAAATATACAAATTTTAAGGGATATATATCTAGACAATATTGGAAATTATGGGCTTTCAGACCACCATAATTAGGAAATGGTGATCGAAAATCGACCTGTCATTTATTTTTGTCCCCAACTGTACAGTTGTATCACTAGATGCAGAGGGGGAATAACCACAGAGTTCAAAGATGATATACGCTTATAATTATGTCACCACCAAAAGTGGTGACATATTGTTATGGTCTCCGTTTTTTTGTGACGGCGGTTGGCGTCAGGTGGTTGGCGTCCGGCGGTTGGCGTCCGGCGGCTGGCGGTTGGCGTCCGGCGTCTGTAACAATTTCTTACAACTTCCTATAACTTAACAAATACTGTTTAGAACGACTTCAATTTTTTTCTAAATCATCTACATGTTCTCAGAAGTTCAAATCTGACTTAAGATTTGACATTTGACCTTCAATGACCTTCTCAAGGTCAAAAAGGTCTTTTTTCAACTTGCTTCACATTGACTAAATTTTTTTTCAAAATCATCTACATGTTCTCAGAAATTCAAATCTGACTTTAGATTTGACTTTAGATTTGACATTTGACCTTCAAATCTGACTTTAGATTTGACATTTCACCTTCAATGACCTTCTCAAGGTCAAAAAAGGTCAAAAAGGTCTGTTTTCAACTTGCTTCAAATTGACTAAATTTTTTTTTCAAAATCATCTACGTGTTCTCAGGAATTCAAATCTGACTTTAGATTTGACATTTGACCTTCAATGACCTTCTCAAAGTCAAAAAAGGTCAAAAAGGTCTTTTTTCAACTTGCTTCAAATTGACTAAATTTTTTTTTCAAAATCATCTACATGTTCTCAGAAATTCAAATCTGACTTTAGATTTGACATTTGACCTTTAATGACCTTCTCAAGGTCAAAAAAGGTCAAAAAGGTCTTTTTTCAACTTGCTTCAAAGGAGTTGGGTAAACTAGCAACAGAGAGTGCCCCAATTGAAGTGTGAAAAAACTTTTTTTAAGAATAGGAGAAAAAAACATCAGAAATGCATAGATTGAAGTCTATATTTTAGGGTAGTATTTTTAAAAAAGTTTAGAAAAAATTGTTACGGTGTCTGGAGACCTTCAAAGAGGGTGGGGGCCAGAAGGAAAAAAATTCACATATTTTGCAACCCTCTTGATGAATTCCAATTTACTCAGCTATGAATGAATGTTTTTCATTTATCTGTCCTGGATTATGTAAATATATATTTATTTGATCCATACATACAATTGATTTAAACAATATGTACAGTTTAGAGGTAAGTAAAGCTTTGAAAGGACATTTCATGCTGAGTCTGGGTGACATTTTTATTCACTGGAGGTAGTAATCCTTTGAGTGTTTTCACATAGAGCATAACAAGTCTCCACTCTAATAAGTGCTTCTTTAGTTACATAAATGTTATATTGTTGCATACAAAGAATAATTTTGATGGAGACTTATTATGCTCGATGTGAATTTTAGAACTTTATAGAAAATTTTGCCTGCCATTTTTGTTGATTATTCAAAATGGCCAAATGCTATTCATGCTGCATATGTAGGAAGCAAGGGCATTATAAAATTTTAGATGCTAAAATACCTGAAACATCAAGTGGTTATATGTGCACAACATCTGAATCAGGTAGTTCAAGTGATAATGAGTAAAACTAATCAGAAAATGTATCATTGTTATTTCATTAACAAGCCAATGATGAAATGTGTTGAGATTTTAGATGTTTTTCACATTTTAGGTGATCTCCAAGAAGTGATTATCTCCGTTATCTGTACTTCCTGTTTCCTAGACATTATCAGAATGATTGATAATAAACTTAATAGTTGCTTTAAAATTATGTTGAATAATATCATTATGTATTTATATACAGTGTGTGTGTTTAGTGTGTGGTTTTTAGCATACCCTATGTCGCTAACAGGAAGCAGGACATATTTCTCAAAAATAAACATTACTTTACGAGTCAAATCATGAAATGTACATTCTGAATTTAAATGAATTAAAAATAATAAAGTATTTTCATTATGTTAGGTACTTTTGTTCTCTTTCAGTGTTGCGTGGGAAGGGCGGAATATATTAATATAAATATCTCATTATTGGCAAATTGCCAATTTACTATATATTGTAATTCCAACCTCTATGAGACTAAATTCCTACAGATATTTGTGATATTTTAACCAAAAAGGTATATTTTGGTAGAAAATAATGATTTTTATTAATTTGACCTTGACCTGGGGAATATGACCTTGACCTAAATTTTCATACATTTTTGAAACACATATATCACATAGATTAATAAAATAGAGAGAAAACTTGAAAATCAGGTGGGGCTTAAAATGGCCTTGTTTACCCAACTCCTTTACTTAATTTTTTTTTCAAAATCATCTACATGTTCTCAGAAGTTCAAATCTGACTTTACATTTGACCTTCAATGACCTTCTCAATGTCAAAAAAAGTCAAAGAGGTATTTTTTCAACTTGCTTCAAATTGACGATTTTTTTTTCAAAATCATCTACATGTTCTAAGAAGTTCAAATAAAACCTTCTTAAGGTCAAAAGGTATTTTCCAACTTGCTTTAAATTGACCAAATTGTTTTAGGTGGTGACATTTTGTCATGTTAATGCCTTGTGTAAACCTGTATTGAAATCACATAATCTTGATTGGGTCAAAAGTCGACAAACAAATGACATCATCAATGGCAGCTTCAAAATTTTTGAAATATGCTTCTGTAACACTAACAACGCTTAGGCACGCCCGTCAGGGAGCTGTAGAGTACCGAGCCAGATACTAGATTCAAACGGGAGTGTGCTGAATTCAATGCCCCGTACAGGTATTGAACCCAGGACCTTCAAAATCAGGAAAAGCTGCAGATTTCATCATGCAATGTTTTACATACATACATGTACATTGTATTTCATACAAATAAAGTACATATGATCAGTTAGTGGTAATCCACTCAAGTGTTGCCTGGTATGCGAACTGTAAGTGTCGCAAATAATGATGTACACAGATGAGCCTAGATGCGTAGCATGCTAAAACGACAGGCAAGTGTCGCCTCATATCAAGGTCATCTCAGCGAGACGTTTGCACAAGGAAAACAGCGACACTTGCACGTCATTTTGGCAGATCTGATGTTAGCCATTTTTATTTTCATATTTTAGGATGTTACTACCTGGTGTCTTTCCTTCAGATTCAAGCTCCTGCACATCCTCCTCGAAAAAAACACATTCAGTATCCTAAAACATCATTCTTCCACTCGACACTATGCATATTATAAATTCATTTCGAAAAATGTAGAAATTAGCTGAAAAACTCACGAGTTGACGATTCGCTGTCGGGAGCCATTTATTTATTTTATTTTGTTATGCTAATTAAATATGCGAGCATGCACAGATATAATATAGAAATAAGGGAGTGGAAGGGATTGATCATTTTGTTTCTAATTCGGCTAATACAACGAAAATGAGAATTTTTTTGGGAAAAAAATGCGACGCACAACTGTCATTTTTCAAAGCGACACTAGAGTGGATTACCGCAGACTGATGATCCCCATATAAAACACTGGCGTATGTGACATGCGTTTAGATGTAACCTTTTAAATATAACAATTTCGAATGATCTTGATTGGAGATCATGGTGCAGAGAAATCATAATTTTACTGAGTGGCTCCACGAAACAATAAAAAAGGTTAATTATCAGAAAAAATAACATTTCTTATTGTACATATTTTCTCTTCCAGGTGATTGACAGTTTAAGTAATATAGATAAGCAACTAAACACTGCAGTGGCCTCTAGGGACAAAATAAAGAAACTATTAGACCAGAGTAAGTACATTTCTATTGAAATCTCAATAACTGAGCTTTATCTATGGTAATCTTAATAACTGAGCTTTATCTATGGTAATCTTAATAACTGAGCTTTATCTATGGTAATCTTAATAACTGAGCTTTATCTATGGTAATCTTAATAACTGAGCTTTATCTATGTTTCATGTTAAAGCGTCCTCATAAAGATGGGCATGAAGACCCACCAAAGTTGCATCTCAGATTTCAGATTTAGAGAGAAGCTTTGTGAAAAATTGTTTGAATTTGAAAATATTCCTGGCTCATGTCAATCATTCATTGTCATATATGTAATTTCTTAAAATCCCAAAGTTCATACTTTATTCCAAAATAATAAAAATACTTTTTGGCATCAAAACTATTCAAACATGGTCTGTTATAATGCCCCATTCATAGGTTTGTATGAGACCCCCAATCAGTATGGGATGGTGATTTTGATGACATTAAAATTAGGCTGTAAATTCCCTACCCTGAAAGTAACCATATGAATCAATTTCTTTATGTCAAAATACCACCCTTGAGTCAATAATGCATTTCAAAATCCAGACATGGGGGGGGGGGGGTTATGAAAAAATGTGAATGATAAATAACCAGAATCTAGTGAGATCAATAAATGGATGTTCATTATTGGAGGTTTTTCTTAGATCCTTGACTTTATTTTATCTTATTTTTAATTTTTTAGTCTTTAACCTATTGACCACTTAACACAGAATCGTCTATGAAGAATCGTCTATGAAGTTACAAATTTCTGTCATTATTATTCAATGTACATTGTCTTATTTTTTGAAGCCCCTCTGATGGAAAAATACTTGGACCCAACCTATGCTTCCGAGTCAGGTCTCTCACAAACAGCAAAGGTTGACATCATTTTATCAGGTAATACAAGTTGGGCCAAAAATGCAATACTTGTTAATATCAAATCATACTATAAGTTATTGAATGATTTGATATATTCTGCTCGAGAAATTCCGTATTGGAACGAGATGAAGTCGAGTGTCAATACAGAATATCGAGACAGAATATATCCTGTATGTAATATTTTCTGTATTGCGATGGAGATGATTAACGGGGACCATCTCAGTAGCAATACAGATTGGTACAGCACGAGAACTGACCAATCAGAAGGCTTCATTTTACAGATGATACAATAAATGTACATATCACTCCTCCTTATTTTTTGCAAGTTGAAATCACGAGTTCTGTTAGTGATATTAGTGAATTTTGCATTTGGAAAATGTACTTGAATGTCAATTCCATTCTGCACTCTGTACATGCAGAATCCTAGGAGGACTGACATACTCACATTCTAATCAGTTCTCTAAAATTTATATTTATGAAATGAAAGTTGAAGAATCATTCAAGATATACAGAATGCAAGTAAATTAAATGGATATACCATAAATATTGTGAAAGTTCAGAATTATACTTTACATTGTGGGCCTTCTAGAAATCCCCTGCTTACATATACACTTTACTTTATTTAATATTTACAGAAGAGGACCAAATTAGGAAACTTGCTGCAGACTTCGAAAAAATAAAAAATGCAACACAAAGTTTAGATAGTGAGCATCTGAAAGGTAGGATATTATCATTATTCCAACAAACAAAATTTTCATCTGTCTGTTAGTTTGTCAATCTGGAGCATTGCTCTGATATGAGCTCAACTGATTTTATTAATATTTGGAACAAAGATGTACAATAGTATGTATAGGAATTTGGAAATAATGGATATTGCTGTAAGAAATGTTGATAGCATCTAACGATGTATATGTAAAATACATTATAAATGTATCTTTCTTGTCATTTTGCCTGACCACTTGAACCAGGGGGTACTGAAATGTCAATTTCTGTTAATTTCGGAAAATCCAAAATGGCTGCTTAAAGGCAGAAATTTTAAAATGCTATCTGAAATGAAACAAAATCAGAAATCCATCAGATCTAAGAACATACTTTACTTTTGTATATACACAGTATACATGTATTGATATATGTTCATCTATGTACAGTCTTAGCATTGGACTACAATCTATAACACTGTAAACTATAATAGTATCTACACATTTGTACATTTTTATACTACATAAATACAGAGTTTAATCAAATCAAATCTGGGCCTGATCTTGCGTTGATGTGACATATGACACTATACTCTCCGCCTACAAATACCTTTATTAATATTTCTCCGCATTAACTTGAAATGTGAATGCAATATTCTTAAATCTGCTACGACAATGATCACCATGGAAGTGATAATGATAAAGATGGCCATAGACCCAAGAGTTGCCGCACTTGCTCGATTATCAGAGTCCGTAAATGCAGCATTGGAACTGTACTTCCCATGAACACTTTCTCGTGTTTCTTCATGAAATGTTGACTTGTATTCAATGTTTGTGTCCAGTTCTAGCTGATCCAGTGAAGTTTTCTGTCTTGTAAGACTTGTAGTTGACACTGGAGGACTTGTTGCTGATGTTGTGTCCATTGCGGAATTTGAAGTTGACATTGTATGATTTAAAGTTGACATTGTACGACTTATGGGACTTGTTGTTGATATTGTATGGTTTGAAGTTGTCATTGTATGATTTGAAGTTGCCATTGCAGAATTTGAAGTTGAGATTGCTGGATTTGTTGTTGACATTGTATGATTTGAAGTTGCCATTGCAGAATTTGAAGTTGAGATTGCAGGATTTCTTGTTGACATTGTAGGATTTGAAGTTGACATTGCAGGATTTGTTGTTGACATTGCATGATTTGAAGTTGTCATTGTATGATTTGAAGTTCCCATTGCAGAATTTGAAGTTGAGATTGCAGGATTTCTTGTTGACATTGTAGGATTTGAAGTTGACATTGCAGGATTTGTTGTTGACATTGCATGATTTGAAGTTGTCATTGCAGGATTTGAAGTTGACATTGCAGGATTTGTTGTTGACATTGTATGATTTGAAGTTGTCATTGCAGGATTTGAAGTTGACATTGCAGGATTTGTTGTTGACATTGCATGATTTGAAGTTGTCATTGCAGGATTTGAAGTTGACATTGCAGGATTTGTTGTTGACATTGTATGATTTGAAGTTGTCATTGCAGGATTTGAAGTTGACATTGCAGGATTTCTTGTTGACATTGTATGATTTGAAGTTGCCATTGCAGGATTTGAAGTTGACATTGCAGGATTTGTTGTGAACATTACAGGATTTGAAGTTGACATTGCATGATTTGAAGTTGCCATTGCAGGATTTGAAGTTGAGATTTCAGGATTTGTTGTTGACATTGTATGATTTGAAGTTGCCATTGCACTATTTGAAGTTAAGATTGCAGGATTTGTTGTTGACATTGCAGGATTTGAAGTTGACATTGCAGGATTTGAAGTTGACATTGCAGGATTTGTTGTTGACATTGTATAATTTGAAGTTGCCATTGCAGGATTTGAAGTTGACAAAGCAGGGTTTGTTGTTGACATTGTATGATTTGAAGTTGACATTAGGGGACTTGTATTTGCATTTGACATAACAGAACTTGTTGAATTTCCAGACATTAGGATTTCAGGGCTTTCAGGTTCACATATTAATCCAACATCAGTTGAATGGTCACATTGGACTTGTAACCCAGAACATCTGGCCCCATTACTAACGCTACATTGCATGATGTTGCTCTCAGATCCACTACACGATATATCAGAGAACCATATTTTAGTTGGATCATCATTGAAAGCTCCTGCTGTATAAGCTTCTGCAGACCCATTAGGGAATCCTAGTTGTCTGCATGCAACTGTGGCCTCATTGATCCCCCAAGGGCTGTCACTGCAAATGGTACCCCACTCAGGAGAAGTGTTATTCACGCGCCATTGAAGTTTACCAGTGTTTGGGGTATTACCTTCAACCAGTCGTACTAAATCTTTCTCTGAACCTTGAAATAAAGTATGCTTCTGTCAGAGATTGATGTAGGAAATGCTCAAATATCACTGAAATTTGAGAAATTTAAAGCAAGAAAAAGGTTTCGCTTAGGATAATACTAACTCTAATTTCATTTTTGGCAGTGATGAAATGAAATCAAACAGGAGATAATACTAACTATATGGAAAGAATACACTCCATAAACATGTTGAATAATGTAATACTTTTCCATAGGCTGTACATATACTACAATGCAGTATTCTTTTTACCTGGAGCTTGACAGTCGACACCAACATCTTCCAAGTGAAGGCAATTGCTCCCTGCATCGAGATAGTCACAGTCCATCAATTTTAACTCATCACCAACGCAATCAAAGCTGTAAGGAATGTCATCATAATGTTTTTACATTCTGGTGTGCCAGAGCCCTTCTTATCTGCCGTTTGTAACATGGGCTTTAAATAGATTCATAGAAGGATAAAGACAAAGGGGACATGGCTATCGCGATGATGTTTGTAATTGTATGATAATCTTGGAACAATATACATGTACATGAATGCTAAATCATGAATTTTACCACACCCTGAATTTGATGGAGCTAGAATGAGATATATACGTATACTGACTTATGATTGGTTAAATTTAAGATGTACTCAACCAGGACGTGTCTGTTTTTACTGCAATGGTTGAAAGAATTTGCCAAGAAATATGATTCTGTAGATAAAATGAAACCCTAGCTTTCAGTTATTCACTCTTATGTTGACAGCAAACATTGCCAGTGTTTGGGGACTAAAAGTTTTTAACCCGAATGTATTGCTGTAAGGCAAATATAATTATTGGGTTAACATTTTTCAGTTATCGGTATACAGTTTCACAAATGCATTTCAATCAATTCCTTGTATATGTAATGAATCATATTGCACTGCTCTTTCCTTAAGAATTTCTTTTTTTGAAGTTCAATCAATTAAAAATATTTATGTGGCTATTGGCATGTGTGCAAATGTGGAACTAATGTATATTTCTACTTTGGTTCAGCTTTCATAGTAGTTTGCAACAACAACTTTTCGATTTAGAGAAAGCCCATGCCATGATTGGCCCATGCCTTTTGGAAAAAATGAAAATAATTTTTTTAATAGATATATTTTATATACCTTCTGTATGCTACTTTTGTACCAGGACCAGCGCTGCCATATTGCGAACAATGATATGCTCTGACATTTCCTGTTGGGTAACCCAACTGACGACAAACCACTTCTGCCTCACGTGAATCCCAGCGATCATCGCAAATTGTCCAGTATTTATTTTTAATGTTAATTTCAACTCTTCCCGAGTAAACATTGTCCTCATCAACCAATCGGATTTCTTCTTGACTTTGTACTTTTTCAATGACAGTTATGACAACCATGTGGAGCAATATCAATGTTTTCCCCATGCTGGTCATTTTTGATTTGATTTACTTCACTTATTAATGTTTAAAGTCTGTTGGAGGGAGTTTTAATTATCCCACCGAACAAAATTCGAGGGGGATGTAGGAAAGCTGTCTGTCTATCCGTCCATCCAGTCATTCTTCTGTCTGGGCAATAACTCAAATACTAGTTGACGGATTTGATTCAAATTTTCTAGGCTTATGCCTTATGGGTAGTAGAACCTCTGCTCGAGAAGGAATTTTCAATATGGCCACTCAATTCAAAATGGTGGCCATTTTTGTAAAAAATTTAATCTTTGATAACTCAAATACTCGTGGTTCGGTTTGGTTCAAATTTTATATGCTGTTGCTTAGGACAAAGGAGTCTTGCTCAAGAAGAGATTTTCAAGATGGCCACTGAATTTCAAGATGGTCACCATTTTTGTAACCTGTAATATTTGATAATTCAAATATCAGTGAATGTATTTTGTTCAAATTTTACATGCTGATGCCTAGGGACATACGAGCTCTGCTCATGAAGGGATTTTCAAGATTGCAGCTAAATTTCAAAATGGCCACCATTTTTCCTAAAAAAATATTATCTTTGATAACTCAAATTCTAGTCGATTGATTTGGTTCAAATTTCATATGCTGTTGCCTAGGGACAAAGAAGCCGTACTTAAAAAGACATTTTCAAATTGGCTGCTGAATTTCTAAATGGCTGCCATTTTTTCGTAAAAAATGTAATCTTTGATAGCTCAAATACCAGCTGACCCACTATTTTTCATTAAAGATGTAATCTTTGATAACTCAAGTTGATGGATTTGGATCAAATTTTATATGCTAATGCCTAGTACATATGATAGGTGGCAGCTGAATTTCAAAATGGCCACCATGTTTCAAACATAATCTTTGATAACTCAAATACCAGTGGATGGATTTGGTTCAAATTTTACATGGCCGCTAGGTGGGATTTGCTTCTCCGTGGAGTTGCTGTTTTTCTAGTTTAAGTTACCATTAGGCCCATTTATATCAATACCAAGAATAAACAAATCTGAATTAGACAATGCCTTGTTCTTAATTGATGAACTTTATTGGGTCCATTATTTCAATATAATATCAGTGATTGATCTGATGAATGTAATATTTACCATCCTTGTTTGTTCACTTACCTCAAATCTACCCTCCAGTCTTATATAAATTTTGTATATAAACTTTATTTCTATACTATTATTGATCTCTATTGTTTTAATAACCTAACCCTGATTCAATCTTATCTTAATTTCCTATTATAAAATCTGACAATGCATACCATTAATGAATATTTTCTTATTTGGTAGCTATTTTATTTGTTCTTTCTGTTAATGCCATTAATACTTATACTGCACTGTATGTACATTGATTTTAACCTCTTAATTGGTACCTTTGTTTGGCTATTTTGTCTTGAATTACCTTTATAATCTAATTGAATGAAGTTCAAGTGGGAAGATTGACATAGGCGACACCCCTCTCCCCTAACCAATAAAAATAAAACCATGAGAAAGAAGAAGAGCTTTAAAATGGTTTTTATTTAAAAATTCTAGCTCTATTTTGAAGGAAGTTGCATCAATTTTTGTAAAATTCAAAATAAATCTTATTGACTGAATTTTTTTTTGGCGATTGCACCCCCCCTGACTGAAAGCTGGCTACGCCCCTGATGAGAACTTGACTATCCATTCATTCCTTCATCCATTCATTTGACTACATAGGCAATAACTCAAATACCAGTTGTTCTATTGGCTGATGCCTTATTGGCATACAAAGCTTGCTTCAAAATTGAATCATAACTGCTAATGCAATTCTGAATTTACAATTAAGTTTTCTCAATAAAGGAATTGTCGGTCATTACTTGAATGCCTCTTTACCAACTTTATTAATCTCTGTTCAAGAGAAAATTTTCAAAATGACCTCTTAATTCAAAATGGCTGTCATGTTTTGTCAAAAACCTGACATTCTGGCTTTAAATTCTATTGATTTGTGTACCTGTCAGTTTTTTCAAGGTTTGACTGCTTAACACAATTGTCAGAGCCAATATTACTTACAGAAACTGTAATGACAAATAAACTTTAAAATTGCCAAAGTGGTACCTCAGACGTGATGTCTCAGTACATTGGTCCACACACATTTTACACTGTTTTCACTTGCTCTTTTTGTATGTTTCAGGAATTCCCAAGGTAGCCTCTAGACTCCAACAGCTAGCACAGGTGAACATAGATCAGAAAGAACAGGTTGGTCAGCTGACAGAAGACGTTAGGAATCTCCTAGTTGAATACAACAATACTGTATCCTTTAGCAATGGTAAAACTGATATTACAACTTTGTAAATCAGTTATCCACTAAAAGTTTTGACCTTTATTTTCTTAAGTAGAGTACTGAATGCATGTATTAAAATCAGAAATATTGAGAATTCTTTTGGCTGGAATGTGTCATTATTATCTCTTTGCTCATAGAGAACTGTCAGAATATCATGTATCTGCAATATTGTGGTTTTGAGAAATATGTTAACTTTGAATCATGTTTTCTTAAATGAATCGTTTCATTGATTAAAATTTGGTGTAAAAAGGATTGATGTAAAGATTCATCCCAAAAATTACATTTCATTGAATTATAATATTCTCTTTGTCTTATATTTTGTTAAACATGTGTACAGTGAACACCTATTGAGACACAAAAATGTGTTCACTAGAGTATGTGTGGAGGTAGGGCGTTCACGAGAGAAAGGTGTTTACTAAAAAGAGGTGTTCACTAAAATGTTTTAATATATTTTACTGAGAACTGATAAAAAAAACATATTTTCTTAAACTGCAATCAGATATCATTACTTTCCAAACAGTTTATACAGTGGGATGAGATTGTGACACAACTAGAAATCGATGCCCAACCAAAGAAGTCATATGACTGACATTTTTGCGCTGATACATTGATACTCTGAGGTGATACTACTTCCAGTGAACATTAACATCAAATGTTAATTCCTTTTATTGACACCACAGGTGTCAGGACTCTAAAACAAGTGTGTATAACTTTAAGCAGAGACAATTCCATATAAAATAGTATATGTGATATTGTAAAATGTTATTATATGTCTTGAAGTGAAAATATATTGGTTAACTAATTGAAGTGAAAATATTTTGGTTAACTAATTGAAGTGAAAATATATTGGTTAACTAATTGAAGTGAACAATTTATATACATACAAGCATGGTCTTCTATGACGTCTCAAATGCTTTGTTTGTGTGTTTGTTTGTGCTTTTAAAGATTGACTATTCCAAAAATTCAGACCAACCTTCAAAGACCTAATTTGTGGGATTCGTACATGTACCAGGTAGATGCATATAGTGCAAGAAATGAGACCAGGTCATTATTAATTTATCAAGAGCAACCATGAATAAAACAATCATATTTAAACTTAACCATTAGTGGAATGTATACGTAGGCTATTATTATAAAGGCTATTATCATTGGCATTGTCATATTTCATTATTTCTTTCAATAAAATTCAGACTGCACATGGAGCACAATGTGTTACAGTAAATGGGTAAATTTGATGTTATTAATTTGGTGAATTTTCACATTTTGGTCTTATTTATATAATAGAATATTTGAGCAAAGTTCAATTTTTGCATTTTTGGATTTCTCATATCATTTCTACAGCTCAATCACGAATTCCATGTGTGTCCATCTGACCAAACTTGGAATTTAAGGGATTGTCTTACATTTTAGCAAAGATGTAAATTGCCAAATTCATCAAAATGAAGCTGGTGCTAAATTAACCCAAGCTAGAGTATTGTATTGTTTGAATCCATATTTCTTAGTTTTGTGATTTACCATGCATTGTTGTAAATAAAGCATAATGTGCAATACAAAATGAATGTTAGTTAATTTATAAATCTGGTTTGTGAAGAACTGTTGACATAGGAATATGTATATGAAATATGTCCTTTTGATATTACTAGTATATCAAAGATGCTTCACTTGTATTCTAATCAAAACATTAAAGGGGCAATAAGGCTTGTAGGGGATTTCTTAATAAAAATAGATGTTAGTCTTGATGAAATATCCAAACTTAAATATATTTTGACACTGGTCCATGATCGTTGAATGGCCCCTCTGCACTACTTGTTGCACCTTTAACTTGTTTCATTTGTACCTAAGTAAAATAAATGAATTAATTATTTAAACAACATTAATTAATTCCGAAATTTACCTCCTTCTTACTATGACGTAGGATGGAGAAATCATGCTATCTCTAGCCACATCTATACATTGTTTTTGTGTAAACGCTGTAAATAATTGATGGGTGCATGCACCTTTTATGATTTTAAAAGTGCAATGCATCATACATTAGTTGCTTTTTAATTCAATATTCATACAGCAAGCCAAGGTGTGTCCAGTTCCAGCCAATCAGGACACAGTATTTCATATAGATGCATTGCATGAAATAATCAACCATGTACCCACTCTATTGCACCCTGGCTATTTTTAGATTCTAGTGAAACTGATTTCAATTTCTATAAAATCTATAAATTAAATAGTATCATGGGGGATAATAAGCCTGGTATCAAATTGCACAAACGAAATTATGTTTCATCAAAAAGAGAATCAACAATAGAAATATGCCAATGCTCTTAATGTGCGTTTGCCTCCTGTGCATTATATTTATGTTGATCGACTATCTATAGCAATGTAAATATTTGGACGTGTCATGATCGCATTCTGACGACCAATCAAATTACAACTTCCATTCAGTTCTGACTAAATGCACTCATGGCAGGGATTTTAAGATTCAAAGTTCAAAACTTTGCACATTTAGCCCTAAAGTCACCTGTAAACTTCCACAAATCATTGACCAGGGCCATGAGTCTGTTGATTGACAATCCCCAGTACAGCTGGCTAAAGGAACTGGGCCTTGAGAGTGACAACAAGGGAGTTTTCAATGGTTCATGGGAGGGTGCTGGTGAGGTTAGTTCAAAAAGTAATAAATCAATGTAAACTGCTTCTAAAAAGTTATTCAGTAACAGAGTATAATTTTCTTGACAGCCTATGATCAGTTACTGATTAGTTTTTCCTGTGTACATGAAGTCATATCGCAATAATCTTGTGATCATTGCGATAGTTTTTGAATGTTGCCATTGTTTGTTGCCATTAGGGATTGATGCCAAATGTGTCTGAACGATAGAAATGATAACATTGCAATTTATGGGATGAAACTGACAGACCTTGACATATTCGTAAACCCACCATTTTTAATTGATTTTATAATCGACGAGGCGCTCGCTGCCTCATCCTGGCTACACTACAGAAATGTATCATTATCTTTATCGAACACACACACACATACATCGAGAACAATATGATTTAGGCAATAAAACTATATCTGTCATCATGGCTGCATATTTGGGGTTCTCCAACTTGAAAGATTTTATATATAGTGGTAACTCGAGAAGTTATATCTTATTCACTGGAACGTCATACTAGAAATCTGGTTACAATGAAAACCTGCTGGCCCAGCTGGGGCACTAACGCACCATTCAGAATGATCTATCCCGTGGTGCGTTAGTGTGTAGCGCAATTACATTATAACCTAAAAGCTCTAAAAATCCATAGGCATGTTTTCATGGCATTTAGGTTTCATCCTGTTTATTTTTCCCTTACAAAATGGGATCTTAACTTTCTATTGAATTATGGGTTGTCATTGCAATGAATTACTTTTCACTCACTATCATCTCATATAGGTTGTGACATTTTTGCTATGCTAAAGTAAGTTTAGGTACCTTGTTATTGTAGTGTTGATATAGAAGATATCTTCAAATACAATACATGTTTTTTTCTTTTAGACTGTGACATCATACTGCCCTGCCAACAATCAGCCTATCGCCAGAGTTGTTCAGGTAACATAGTAATAATATTTTGGAAATTCAGAAGTTGTTTATTTATCATATTAACAAAATACTTTTATTTGAAAAAATGTTTTATGTTTTTAGTTGTCTTCTCTGAGCTGTATTCCTATGTTATAAATTCATCAGATGGATCCTTTTACAGTAAAACTTGTATATAGTGAACATTTTTTTGCTAAGAAAACGAGTGCCTTTAGTGGGCCCAGATTTTTTTTTAGTTTTTGGGCCCCAACATTTTGTAAGGCCTCAAAAATGGGCCTTTTTGGCCATAATTTGGCCTTTTTTGGCCAATTTATGAAAAATGGGCCTTAATTTTTCAAAACATTTTCTACGTGCAAGCGAAATTTTTCTCCTGACTCAAAATTTGGGCCCCCCTTGTTAATTCCTGGATCCCCCACTGACTCATCACTCATCTGATCTCTGATTCGCAACACTAAAAAGGAAAGTAGTTGACATATTTTATCAAAGAGAGGGAATCAAATGTTTAACTCTATATTGTAGGGTAACCTTGCTGACTATGAAAAGACTCTACAAGCCAGTCGGGATGCTTGGCAGACATGGTGTGAGGTATGTTTAGTGGTTTCATTAGCAGCATGCAATTTTTACCTATAACTATAATATTGAGAGTTCTAAAAAAATGTTGTATAATGCTATTTTGTTCCAACAAGGTTCGGAAAGATATTTTATTTCATTCTCAAGAATTGGTAGAAAGGAACAAAAAACAATTGCACTAAAAACAAAAAATGTTAATAAAAACAGTTATATAAAATACATGTATATATAAATAATTTTCACATTAAATTGTTGTCAATCAGTCTACATAACATAAAGGACCATGTTTTTTTACATAATGTTCTCAATGATTGGTTCAAGAAAAAAACATTGTTGAATTCAGTTCACCATATCGATACCAATCCTTTATGATTTCCATCAATTTTGCGTGTTGTTGTCATTAATTCAGCCTGTTGTGAGAAATTCTAGTGAAACCTCTGTCTTTTACTATCTGTCAGATTTTAAACTTTATTTTTTTAAGTAAAATAACTAGAGTGTAAACCTGTGTCATAGTTTTTAGAATACCTCTGGTATGTTATTTAAAGTTTTACATGTACTGTCAGTGTCAGTCTTTGATGTTAGCCAGTAGTTAGTATTCCCTCAAGAAAAATACATTCTTTATTTTACAGGTTCCAGGCCCTCACAGAGGAGAAGTGGTGCGTCAAATGGGTGAGGCACTCAGAGAAAAAATACATCTGCTTGGAAAACTAGTACGTTGTTTTTTCAATCTAGTACATGGTACATATTTGTAAAACAATGAATTCTAACCATAGGCCAGTCCTGGGAGGCCAGTAAAATACTCTTCAGGCTTCTGAGGGCACCGTTAAGTAGGATATATTGTATAATGAATTGACTCCTAGCCATACAAGATGTTGTTAATAATATAGTTTCAACAAGTTTTTACTGATTTTTTTGTCATGTGAGTGTTTCTGTTGAGAAAAGGATTCCAAACTTGTTGATGTTTGAGATAATAAAAGCACTTGGACAATGATTTTATCTCAGCTTCATCCCTCATACCGTATGAGATGGAATTTTGCTTGTATGACTTTTTTTATTTCAACCACCATCAACTTGTGTCCCTTAGTCTGTGTTCTTCAAGGATATTACACAACACAACTCTTACATTGTTGTATTATAGGATTCCCTAGAGATGGGTAAGATATTGCCAGAGGGAGTGGGTGAGGTCCAGGAGTACATAGATGTCTGTGACTATGCCGTAGGACTCTCAAGGATGTTGGAAGGAAAAGTTCTGCCATCTGAAAGTAAGTAAAATATTTTTTAGTCATCCATTCTTTCAGGTCTTAAAATGGTGAAAAATCAAATATTCATGACAAAATGGAAACATGTTCTGGTGCTGTTACATATCTGGGACAACTTTGACATTCTTGATGAAACCATAGTAACATAACTTATTGACATAACTTGGTATTACTTGTAGGACCTGGGCATGCCTTGATGGAACAGTGGAATCCATTAGGAACTGTAGGTGTCATCACAGCATTCAATTTCCCTGTAGCCGTATATGGTTGGAACCATAGTAACATAACTTGGTATTATTTGTAGGACCTGGGCATGCCTTGATGGAACAATGGAATCCATTAGGAACTGTAGGTGTCATCACAGCATTCAATTTCCCTGTAGCCGTATATGGTTGGAACCATAGTAACATAACTTGGTATTATTTGTAGGACCTGGGCATGCCTTGATGGAACAGTGGAATCCATTAGGAACTGTAGGTGTCATCACAGCATTCAATTTCCCTGTAGCTGTATACGGTTGGAACTCTGCCATTGCTCTGGTGTGTGGCAACACAGTTTTGTGGTGAGTCATCATGTCACCATGGTTACAGCTAAATACATTGGTCTAAACCCCTCATTCAGAGACAAAGGTCATCATGTCACCATGGTTACAGCTAAATACATTAGTCTAAACCCCTCATTCAGAGACAAAGGTCATCATGTGACCATGGTTACAGCTAAATACATTAGTCTAAACCCCTCATTCAGAGACAAAGGTAATCATGTCACCATGGTTACAGCTAAATACATTTATCTAAACCTCTCATTCAGAGACCAAGGTAATCATGTCACCATGGTTACAGCTAAATACATTTATCTAAACCTCTCATTCAGAGACCAAGGTGCAACTATTAATCAAGCTTTCACAACTCAAGCAACTGGTGCATTAACATGGTCAGTTTGAATATCCGGCATATTATACAGAATCACATGGTCTCACATAGGATACATCCTGATGCTGTGTTTATTTTTTGGGTTCTTTAACATGCCAAAAAATATGGGTTATTACTGTTTATAGTGTTTCTCTCTATTCTGAAATGCCTGTTTATTCTGAAGATTTTAATTTACAGTGTGATATACTTCACTTTATGATTGTAGGAAAGGTGCACCTTCAACCCCCCTAGTCAGTGTGGCTGTTACAAAGTAAGGCATAGTTCAACATATCCCAATAATATATGCTTCGTGCGATCTTCTAAACCTTTCATTTCAAAATGCAGATAATTGTCTGGAAAACTTTATTCCATTGATGAATCTAATAGATTTTATAAATTGATAACTGAATGTCTGCAGTGAATTGAATTCCTGAAATAAAGCTACAGGTGACAGAAGTTCTAGTCATCAGCTGTTTCTACTTCGATATGATTTTACATACAAATGGGTTTGTGTTATTTTGTGTTTCAAATGTTGCCCATTGCACTTTCAGAATTTTAGAAAAGGTTCTCCGTGATAATAATTTCCCAACTGCCGTTTGTTCCTTGGTATCTGGCGGTGCAGATATTGGACAAAAGATGGCGCAAGATGAGAGAATCCCACTTTTGTCTTTCACTGGGAGTACCCCTGTAAGTTGCAGTTGTTGAATACTGTTGGCATACAGCTGTTCATTGCTGTTGGACTGCAGCTGTTGAATTTGAATATGTTCACTTTGTATTCATTAGTGCATGTTAACTGCATCTCAGTTATGAAATGTCTGTATTTCTCAAGTAATTTTCCATCCAGCATTTGAAACTGGGAATACTTTGTACTTCAGGGTTTCTGTTTGCAATTTCATCAATATGTAGCTTCCACTTTTAATTTAAACGATTACCTTATGTTAATGTATACATTCATTTATATTCTAGGTGGGGAAGGCTGTTGCTCTAATGGTACAAGAGAGGTTTGGCAAGTCTCTGTTAGAACTGGGTGGAAACAATGCTATCATAGGTCAGTAAAACATTCATGAAAAATTAATATACTAGGGGCAAAAATAGAAGTGGACATCTAAAAATAATATTTCTTTTTTCATCTATCCTGAGTGATATACTAAATAATTTCCGTTTATCTATTGATATTCTAACTTAGTTATAAAGTTTTAGTCAATGGTTTTAATTTGGTCATCGCTAATAAAATTAACATTTTGCTGAATGGTAAAGATTTTATTATTAAGAAATGAAATTCCCAACAACGTGCATTATACAGTTGCTGATTGGTTCAGAATCAAAAAAATTCTTATGAAAAAAAGTTATTTTGAAGTTAACTGTAAAAATCCCATGAGTTGATCAAGCAGATCAATGTTAAACATGTTGAAAGTTAACACTGATACCTGCATATTTAGAGGTTCTGATGAAGCATTAATATTATAAATAGTACAAGGATATCCATCGCTAAAATTTGTGCGCAGTGAAAACTGCTCACAATGTTCATAAACATTTCTATCTGTTGATATTTCTAAATTAAAATCAAAGGTGCTATGTATAGTATTTTAATACCATAGGGTAATACTACAATTTAAGCCAAAATGGTTTAAATTTGTCATTTTGCCTTTAAATATCCATTTCCCTTGAATATCTGTATATATTTTCTTTAGTGAATGAAGACGCAGATGTTGACATGGTTGTCCGCGCTGGTGTTTTTGCCTGTGCGGGAACTGCTGGCCAGAGATGTACTACAACAAGACGACTGGTAATATAGTATTACTATTAACAGATTCTCATATCATGGGAAGCGAGGGACAAAATTTGGGTTTGCTTCAAGTTGCAGCAAAGAATATAGTGTAAATGTTGGAAGCAATCAATAGACATGATGCCATTGCATTCCTAAATGCGTTCAAAACTTGTGGTTGTGCCATAGCCAATTGCAGACCTTGTTGCTATGTGGGCAATAGACTTGATTGCAAACCTTTGCAGTACATGTTTCTAATCTAAGTGTTGCACTAATATGAATGTGTGTATTAGGTGTAGAAATGCCTGAATTCATTAAAATTGAAACATTGGATCTCATTTGCTTTAGAAAATTGCCCAAAAGGCTTAAAAATCAAGGCATTTTTCAAAATTAAAGTTAAAAGTATTTTTTCAGAAAAAAGTACTGAGAAGGAATTTTGTATACTCAATGTTAAGTACATGTAGGTCTCTATAAATCATTTCTCTGAATTTAGATTCAAGATTCACTCATAGAATTTGAAGATACATGTACGTATACTCCATTATATTATATGAAACTGTTTTGTTCTTGTAGATATTACATGAGAAAGTTCACGACACTGTGGTAGATGGACTGAAAAAAGCTTATGAACAAGTTTCTAAAAAAGTAGGAGATCCTATAAATGGTATGAGATTTATGTACTATTATTATTGAAATATGACCAATATGCCATCTATAATTCAGTGTGATAACAAGAATGAAGATGGGATTCAGTCCAAGGAGGATTGGCAGCCAGAATGCAACATTGATACTCCCTAACAAAGCTAGAGTCAATCCTGGAGCCGTATTTCCCACTTCAAAATTTGAATTGCAAGTTTTGGTCTTATTACCAAACAAAAAATTTAAAACACACAAGCAATGATCAAGATTGCCAGTGGCTTAATTAATGACCATTAGTTTTAATATTTTGAATGCTGATTGTGAATTTATAGCCAGTTAAATGTCAGACAATAATGATGCTAGCTTTGTTGGAGAATATCGTAATTCTACCTGCAGCCGCGAAAATATACAGGCATGATCGGCAATATCGCATTACTTGGAGATTAAAGAATATCGAGTTGGAAATCTGGCCTCCAATCCTCCTTGGATTCAGTCTGATGGACAGCAGGGTAAAGAAATGTCAATATTTGATTGGCTTGGTATTTTACCACATATATGTGGTTTAAAAAAATTATTTATGAAATATTTTGAGAGATTTTTGTAACCCTGCATTTGGATATTCAAAGGAAAATTACATGGAATATAACACCTAAATTATTAATTTACATGTATTATGGTTATATAATTCTTATGTCTTGTTATACATCTCTATTTATCTAGTTATATTGGTAGCATTATATCTACTTCACTTCTCTTGGCAAATTATAAATATTTGTATGTGAGCGTTACTGGAAGTATAACAACAAGAATAAATCCCACACACCCGATGAAATATGCCAATTGAACCAATCTGAGAAAAAATGACAAATGGACCAACGTTACTTCATCCAAAACAAATGCTTTCCTTTCACTAAATCGTTTTATGAACATAGTAGGAAGTGTAACCCTGTACATGTATAAGTCTTTGAGGAACAAATACATATCTACATTTTTGAAGCTATAACAGATACGCACACTATTTAGTATAGCAAACCTATGAATTCACATTTCATTCAACATTTCGAGTAAGTGTTTGAAGCAATTCCCCTACATAGTAATTTTACTGTACATGTATAAGAACTTTAAGTGAATGCTAAAGAGTTGCTTTATCTTTTGTATGAAGAAGTTCTAATCGAGTTTACTGAGTTGCACTGTGATACATTGCCTGATGTTACATTTGTACGTACGATTGTATGGTTTGTCATCTACTTTTGCCATTGTGCTTACATAATACTATTCACATAGGAACAGGACCCAGCTTACATCTAAGTATGTGTATGAAAGCTTTCCTGTAATCCTTGCTCCTAGCAAGATACACAATGACATTTGTGAATGAATTGCAAAAAAGTATAGTGGCAGCGATGTGGTTCACTTCTGGTTTAATAAAGTTCCCTGGTTGAATCGAATGTAGGAATAAACAAACAGATGTTGGAGAATAGCAAATAAAAAAGGATATTAATACAAAGCTTATAAGCTTGGCAATTCTTGACATGCGGCGTGACCAATGAGAAAGTCTGTTTGAATTTACATCATTATTTTGCAAATTACTCCCAGACTTGTGCAGTTTTGTTTTTCTTTCCATTATAGTATTTTCTTTCTGACCAATGAATCCAGTATTTGAACTAGAACATTCAGGAGTTGGATTGGGCAACTGAGATTTCTGACCATAGAATCTGGTAGTTGAACTGGAACATCCAGGAGTTGGATCGGGTAACTGGGAATTCTGACCATAGAATCTGGTAGTTGAACTGGAACATCCAGGAGCTGGATTGGCCAAGTGAGATTTCTGACCATAGAATCCAGTAGTTGAACTGGAACATCCAGGAGCTGGATCGGCCAACTGAGATTTCTGACCGTAGAATCTGGTAGTTGAACTGGAACATCCAGGAGTTGGATCGGGCAACTGAGAATTCTGACCATAGAATCTGGTAGTTGAACTGGAACATCCAGGAGTTGGATCGGGCAACTGAGAATTCTGACCATAGAATCTGGTAGTTGAACTGGAACATCCAGGAGCTGGGTCGGCCAACTGAAATTTCTGACCGTAGAATCCAGGAGTTGATTTGGAACATCCAGGAGTTTGATCAAGCAATTGAGGATTCCTTTTGTAGAAATCAGTAGTGTTCATCCCTATGGTCACGGGAATGTCAGGTTTCACATTTAGATCATTGTTGAACGGTGATACTTTAATATGTCTTATGGTTGTTCTTAAGCGCATTTTAGGATTTTGTGATTCCATACCATGTTCATATTTTGTAAGATGTGCCACATGTTTGTGAAGATTACAGAATGTTAAACATTGTAGGACGAGGAGAACTATTATGTGAAGAAACATGATGATACTTAAACCCATCAAATGATACTCATGGATAAGTCCATTGCTCAAATGGCAACCTTTGTCTGTACGCTTGTTTCTATGAAACAAAAGAAAGCTGCTGACATATACAATCCAAATAGCTACACTCAGTAATATGAGAGCATAAGCAGTTTTCTTACTAAATCCCCCTTTAACACATTTTCGCTTGGCTGCTAAAAACATTTCAATCCAGAGCAGAAGAACACCCGTCATGGTTACTCCCGCTGAAATCATTGCCAAATAGTTAATAATTAGACAGGGTATTGTCTCGCTTAATGTTCCAGATAGTTCAAAGGTTCCTCTTGCGATCATTATTGCTCCTAATATGGTATCATTCAAAGCTAAGTATCCGCGAAATATATTTGAAACTGTTTGTAATTTTTTATAGCGCTTAATTGACATAACGACTAAAAGATTCACAGCAACTATTATAACTGCTACTATAATTTGCAAAGTTGGTGCTAATAAATTTCCCTTTTCTGTCATTTCTATCGCTCCTTGCATTTGAGTGACATTTGTACATTTGTCATCACGACTTAGATTACCAATAAATGTGCAGTTAATCGTCATGACTGCTCTATGACTGACTCTTCTTGACTAGTCTTACACTAAAGTACCCTACTGGGCAGACTATGTCTATTTTTTTGGTGTGGTGGTCATGTAGGAAAACATGACATGTTATTCACCTTGTTATCCCTGACATCAAATTCCATTATCCTATAGTATAACTCCTACTGTCATGAAGCCATGCCATATGGTCTATTGTTCAAATTGCTCCATGTTGAAATGAAACAGTTTAAAGAAATTGAGGAGGTTGCAATCATGATGTAACATAACACATAACCATGTAATTCTTAGATTTCAGATTAAATGTAACCTCAAATGATGTTGTATTTTTTTTGTAATTATCAAGACGATGATTATTTTCAGTAAATATGTCGCAGGTGCTAAGAGGATAATGTAGGTTCATTTTGTTCATGATTGTTTTTTCAAATAGCGAATATCTCATTATTGTTAAGTCGGATCTTACCCTTTTCTAATGGAATGACTAAATCCATTTATCAGTCCTTTAATGCCCGAGTCACATTTGTTCTGATTCGCCCGGCCGATTGAGTATTTCTTTCAAAACTGAATACAATTTTGAACAAAATACTCAATCGGCTGGGCACCAGCCAATAAATTGGAACAAATGTCGCATAAGTCAACCATCCATTAATGCCTATTTGTAAGACCAAATATGAGACTTTGAATATATAAGTGATGATGACACAAGCAATTTAATAATGAATAAAGGTCACAGTTGTCAGTAAAGTACCTCTTGATATGCACATCTCAGCCCAACTTATATCCTCCTATTTTTGATATTGAGTTTGTGGCAAAAGTTGATTTAAAACCTTGACCTTTGACCTTGCAAATTTTACTTTTTAGACCTCATTAGGTTGTGATTTGCTAGGCCCCATGGATTATAAAACCTGTATTTAAAAGGTAGGTCCCATGGGGTATAAAACCTGTATTTGATTGCTAGAGGATACATTGCTAGGCCCCATGGATTATAAAACCTCTATTTGATTGCTAGAGGATACATTGCTACGCCCCATGGATTATAAAACCTGTATTTGATTGCTAGAGGATACATTGCTAGGCCCCATGGATTATAAAACATGTATTTGATATTTAGAGGGAACATTGCTAGGCCCCCTGCATTCCAAGGCTGCTGTAGACCAGTACCTGGCTACCATAGAAGAAGCAAAGAAAGATGGCGGCACCATAGAATATGGAGGAAATGTATGATTTTTATTCACTTCTCTAAACAAAACACATTTCATGAAAAACTGTAATTTGAAGTTGAAATTTAGTATTCTTGCACTCAAACCACCATTTATTCAATGTGGAGTAATGAATAAATTAAAAATGCATATATCCTAATGAGGAGATAATGTAGTAGTATAATGAACTACCGTAAATCAATGATTGAAAACTATGATTTAAGAAGCAAATTCAACTTAGATTGATACTTTTATTCACTTTTATTATTTACTTTTGAATATGGAAAACAATGAAACATAAGAGACATTTCAAGCAAACAAGAATATTAACGTGCATATATTTATTTGAATTCATATCATTACAGGTGATAGAACGTGAAGGAAACTATGTGGAGCCCACTATAATCAGCGGTCTTGCTCACGATGCCCCTTGTGTACTCAGAGAGACGTTTGTTCCTATAGTTTACTGCATTAAGTCCAAGGTAAATAGAACTTTGTATACTTCAGCTGCCATGGTAACTTACAGAGTGTGTCATGGTGAATGCAGTAGCTCGTCAATTAAATTAGGGCTAATAAAGTAAAATGTGCCTTTGTGCCTTTTTTGATTGAGGTATTATTGCTTATAATAGATTTTAAGTAGACACAGTTAATTAGATTTTACTCCATTGTTTTGTTCTTTTCCAATATAGTAAAATGTATGCAGGGGTTTCATTAGAATTTCTCACAACAGGCTTAATAAATGAAAACAACAGGCAAAATTAATAGAAATCAAATGTTGATAAGTCCCTAAAAACAACAGGCGATTATATGAAAACAACCGGTGAAAATCACCTGTTGACTGCTGCTAATGAAATCCCTGCATGTACAGTATGATAATTGAATTCAACAGAAACCTGGCCAAATTATTCATATTGAGCAACATTGAATATAGAGTTTATGAATCATTTAAAATGGCAAAAGAAAAACTTCACATTTCTAGGTGTTACTTAGCCTAAGATGTTATTTCAGCAGATCAAATTGCAGTGAACTTTTGCTCATGATGCTCCCCTTGAGGAAAGCTAAACTACAAATTATACATAAATACAGTAGATTAGATTAACAGTTTACAAATATATGAAATTAACCAGGTACAAAATCCAGGGTGAGAAAATACAAGTAGTTAACAGCTCATCCCCAGTTCGTTAATCAATAGCTATTTAAATCAAACCTGCTATGCTAAGGTGACATACGATATTTGTATTCTACGGAATATTTCCTCTACCAATCCAGTGCCCTGGTATTTCCTGCGACTCTATTTCTGGCTAATATTTAATTTGTCATTTGAGATTGATGAGAAATGATTGCTATACAGTAAACCCTGTCATAGTGTACACCTCTCTCTAGTGAACACCTGTCTTAGTGAAAACCTCTTTCTAGTGAACACCTGTCTCTAGTAGGCACCCTTCCTCCGCACATATTCTACTGATATCTGTATAAATCACCCTCTCTAGTGAACACCTACCAAAGCTGAATGTTTTTTTCATGCCAAGTCTTTTACAAATATACACAGATGTTACTGTTTTAGGCTTACTTCATTCTGTAAAGGGAGAGTCTATGAACCAAACAACTCATTATGATAAATAAATGTACAGATTATGATACATAAATGTACAGATTATGATACATAAATATACAGATTATGATACATAAATGTACAGATTATGATACATAAATATACAGATTATGATAAATAAAAGTACAGATTATGATACATAAATGTACAGATTATGATACATAAATGTACAGATTTTATGATACATAAATGTACAGATTATGATACTATAAGTTATTGAATGATTTGAAGTACAATACAGGATATATTCTGCTCGAGAAATTCCGTATTGGAACGAGACGTAGTCGAGTGCCAATACAGAATATCGAGACAGAATATATCCTGTATTGAACTTCAAATCATTCAATAACGTTTTTATCGTGTGATCCTCTGTATTGCTACTGAGATTGTCCTCTCCGTACCAATATTTTCTGTATTGCGACGGAGTTGATCAACGGGGACAATCTCAGTAGCAATACAGATTGGTACAGCACAAGAACTGACCAATCAGAAGGCTTCATTTTACAGATCATACGATAAATAAATGTACAGATTATATTATATAAATATACAGATTATGATACATAAATGTAAAGATTAAGGTGCATAAATGTACAGATTATGATACATAAATGTACAGATTATATTACATAAATATACAGATTAAGATACATAAATGTACAGATTATATTACATAAATATACAGATTATGATAAATAAATGTACAGATTAAGATACATAAATGTACAGCATGGCTAAATTAACTGAGAGATTATTATTTAATCATCCTTTAAGTCAAGAAGAAATTAAAAGTACTTTTAAATGGCGGTTTTCTGTGATACCTGTTTCAAGATATGATATTTTCAGAGAAAACAAAAGTTTCAGATTATTAATCCAAACTAACCTCTCTCTCACTTTCATTTTTTATATCATGTGTAATTTTTAGATAAAAATAATCTCTAGTCACTATGTGATTATGCATGAATTTGACAAGATAGCACTCTTGTTATGTGGCAATGCTGCACTTTCACTATTATGTGACTATAAATCACTCTGTCAATGTGTACCACTCTCACTATATGCCTACACACTACTCTTCCTACTTGTGACTATTTTTGACAACTACAGAAGGAAAAAACAGGAAGCTCTACCTATGCAAATATTTATCTATCTATGCCTGCCCCGTCAGCTATTTCAAACTACAAACTTCTGACTATAAACCATAATTCTAGCATTTTTATGTCACCACCAAAAAGTGGTGCCATATTGTGGTTGGCGATCAGCGTCTAACAAGTTCTTACAACTTCCAATAACTTTACAAATACTGTTTAGACTGACTTTGATTTTTTCAAAATCATCTACAAGTTTTCAGAAGTTCATATCTGACTTCATATTTAAGATTTGAAAGGTCAAAAGGGTATTTTTTCTACTTGCTTCAAATTGACAATTTTTCAAAATCATCTACAAGTTACAGAAGTTCAAGTCTGACTTTAGATTTGAGATTTGACCTTCAATGACCTTCAAAGTCCAAAAAGGTCAACTTGCTTCAAATTGACCAATTTTTTTTTAATCATCTACAAGTTCTCAGAAGTTCACATCTGGCTAAAGATTTGACCTTCAATGACATTCTCAAGGTCAAAAAGATGTAACCTTTAATGAACTTGTCATGGTCAAAAGTTTTTGTTCCCTTCTTGCTTCAAATTGACCATTTTTTCAAAATCATCTTCAAGTTCTCAGAAGTTCACACCTGATTTGAGATTTCACCATTTATGATGTTCTGAGGGTAAAAAGGTCTTTTTTCTTCACTTGTTTCAAATTGACCAATTGACCAAATCTGACTTAAAATTAAACTCATAATATTGTGAGCAACTAGGTGGTGACATTTTGTCATGTTAATGCCTTGTTCATAAGTTTTGAGAGGCTTGTTTTATTTATTCTCGTATTTATGTTAATTTTATCCAACAATGTTGATTATAAGGTATTGATTTTATGATTATAAGCTTCCTATAACAATAATAACAGCATGGGTTAATGGGAGCCCTGGAAATAACAGAGATGTATAAGATACTTGTCTTAGCGTATCGTTTTTATCGTACCTAACAAGAGGTACGATATTGTAGTCAGCTTGACGGGCGGCGTCTCACTTTTCAGCTTGTCTACAGGTTTCCAGCCAAACCATTTGAGGGATTCATCTGAAATTTTCAGGGATGTTTCTACATATCAACGTCAAGAACTGATTAGTTTTTGGGCATTCTATGTAAATTTTAAGGTGGCCATTTTGGATTTTCCGTCCTAAAATCTTTACTTTCAAGACTTGTCTACAGGTTTCCAGCCAAACCATTTGAGGGATTCATCTGAAATTTTCAGGGATGTTTCTACATATCAACGTCAAGAACTGATTAGTTTTTGGGCATTCTGGGTAAATCTTAAGGTGGCCATTTTGCATTTTTCATCCTAAAATCTTCACTTTCAAGACTTTTTTACAGGTTTCCAGCCAAACCATTTGAGGGATTCATCTGAAATTTTCAGGGATGTTTCTTCATTTCAACGTCAAGAACTGATTAGTTCTTGGGCATTCTGGGTAAATTTTAAGGTGGCCATTTTGGATTTTCCGTCCTAAAATCTTCACTTTCAAGACTTGTCTACAGGTTTTCAGCCAAACCATTTGAGGGATTCATCTGAAATTTTCAGGGATGTTTCTTCATTTCAACGTCAAGAACTGATTAGTTTTTGGGCATTCTGAGTAAATTTTAAGGTGGCCATTTTGGATTTTCCGTCCTAAAATCTTTACTTTCAAGACTTGTCTACAGGTTTCCAGCCAAACCGTTCAAATTTTTACATATGTTACACAGTGATAAGTTCTAGAGCTGATTAACTTTTCTGCGGCCATCTTGCTTTCTTGGTCAACAAGACCACAATGCTGTGTTTTAGGTACGATATTGTTCACATCTGTGCCTTGTTTTGCATATTCTTCAAAATTAGTGGGCTATTAACAAAATCATAATGCTTCAAAATGAGTATCTCAATTTATATTCACTGTGGGATTCTGACTATAAATTCCAATAGGCATCAAAACGAGAATTTCAGATAATTTTGAGATTCCTCTGAAATAAGCTTTATTATACTATTTATTTATAAAATGTGTTTTAGAGAAGATTGCAGATATTGGTTCGTTTTTATGTCACCACCAAAAGTGGTGACATATTGTTATGGTCTCCGTTTTTTTGCGACGGCGTCCGGCGGTTGGAGGTTGGAGGTTGGAGGTTGGCGTCCGGCGTCTGTAACAATTTCTTACAACTTCCTATAACTTAACAAATACTTTTTAGACTGACTTCAATTTTTTTCTAAATCATCTACATGTTCTCAGAAGTTCAAATCTGACTTTAGATTTGACATTTGACCTTCAATGACCTTCTCAAGGTCAAAAAGGTCTTTTTTCAACTTGCTTCACATTGACTAGATTTTTTTTCAAAATCATCTACATGTTCTCAGAAATTCAAATCTGACTTTAGATTTGACTTTAGATTTGACCTTCAAATCTGACTTTAGATTTGACATTTGACCTTCAATGACCTTCTCAAGGTCAAAAAAGGTAAAAAAGGTCTGTTTTCAACTTGCTTCAAATTGACTAAATTTTTTTTTCAAAATCATCTACATGTTCTCAGAAATTCAAATCTGACTTTAGATTTGACTTAAGATTTGACATTTGACCTTCAATGACCTTCTCAAAGTCAAAAAAGGTCAAAAAGGTCTTTTTTCAACTTGCTTCAAATTGACTAAATTTTTTTTTCAAAATCATCTACATGTTCTCAGAAATTCAAATCTGACTTTAGATTTGACATTTGACCTTCAATGACCTTGTCAAGGTCAAAAAAGGTCAAAAAGGTCTGT